TCATTTAGAACGCTTCAGAACCATTTAAAACGCTCCAGAATCATTTAGAACGTTCCAGAGCCATTTAGAATTGTCCAGAATCATTGAGGACTGTCTAAAACAACTTAGAACGCTCCAGAATCATTTAGAACGTTCCAGAGCCATTTAGAATTGTCCAGAATCATTGAGGACTGTCTAAAACAACTTAGAACGCTCCAGAATCATTTAGAACGTTCCAGAGCCATTTAGAATTGTCCAGAATCATTGAGGACTGTCTAAAACAACTTAGAACGCTCCAGAATCATTTAGAACGTTCCAGAGCCATTTAGAATTGTCCAGAATCATTGAGGACTGTCTAAAACAACTTAGAACGCTCCAGAATCTTCATTTAGAACTGTCTAGAACCATTCAAAACGCTCCAGAATCATTTAGAACGTTCCAGAGCCATTTAGAATTGTCCAGAACCATTCAGAACTATCTAAAACAATCTAGAACGCTCCAGAATCGTTCAAAACAGTTTAGAACCATTTCAAATTAATTTCGCGTTATTTCCTTTACACCCAATATGGAAAGATATTCCAAATATTTACTCCGTCTCCACATGGTAACAGATAGAACGCGAACGCGCGGAGTTCGTACGATTTTTCCTTATCTTATCTTTGGGAAAAAAGGTTAAAATCGCCGGGTTATCAGTCTCGGTTGTGCCCCCCGGCGCTGTTGCCGGATCTCCGCCTACCCGGGCGTCGGTTTTTTTCGAGTTTGTTTACGAAATTGTACAGGGCGCGGCGTTGCCGGTTTGAGGGTTTCGTCGGTGCGTTTAGGGAAAGTGGAATTTTCGCGGAAAATGAGGGTTGAGGGGGGAGTGCGGGGGAAGGGGAGGGTTTTGTATAGTGAATGAGGTGAATGAGGAATTAACTTTTCTATCATAATTTTCTATCATAATTTTTTAATTAATTAACACCCTATAGAAGGAAATTTGTGGCGAATGGTGATTTGTAGATGTGAGTCGGGAAAATGTAAATTTCTGAAAAACGGTGAATCGTAGGAAAATTTCGTTTGGGGAAATTAAAGAATGTAATTTTCTCTACAAAATAACACAAATCTGAAGTTTCTAACGTTACAAGTTTCGGAGTAATCAAATATTTACAACGAAACGATTTTTTGATGGTATATAACAAAAAAATCAAAATTTAAAGACAACCGCGTCTCAAAAAAAAAAATTCTTAAAAAATAAAACGAAAGTTCGCAATTTCCTCTACAAAACCGTCCATATTTCAAGTTTCCACCGCCACTAATTCAAAAGTTACAACCAAAAAACCCGCAACAAAACCTTCCAATTTACATACCAGTTCGATTACAAATCGTATCCCCCCCGTACGACGCGTCTGCTGACCCCGTTTTCCCCGACCGGTGGGGGGCTCCGGGGCTAATTTTATACTCCAATTATGCGATCGTGTACGTTCCGATTCCGCGTGGATATTTCCAAGAGGTCACCAAGAGATTCCTTCTACCAAAAAAAAACGCCAATCGATTAATCGATTGCTTTTTAATCGTCACTAATGTCACCTGTCAATGAAGTTTAACGAAGTTTAGTCGAATAATCGATTGCTAATCGATTTGTGGGGGGAAATATGATGGAAAATCGCGGCGACGAAACACCTGTTCGACAGAAAAACGGATAAGAATCGGAACAGAAAAAAAAAACAACAAGCTTAATCACTATTTACGTTGATTTTGAAATTTTTATCGCTCGAGCGTATGTTAATATGTTGAACGTATCTTTTTCGAAGCGATTTGATCGGATTTAACTAGACAAATACACGCTCGAATGGCGTCTAAAATTTTTTATTTATTTACACTTTACACGCCGTCGTATTTTCGTAAAACGATCAAAATAATCGCAGCAATCTGGTGGTTATTTGACGGCTGACGTTTGACGTAACAATACTCGCGTTGTTTTTTTGTTCTAACGAACATCTAATTACATACATTTTTAACGACTCAATTTATCTAATAAGCTTCGGTAATCGAACGTTTTTTATCGATTGATAAATAATCTAAATCCACATCGAATTAACCCGGCGAAAAGGGACCAGATAAAAATATTATATCGCTCGTTCACTTTCGCCCGAAGAAATCGACCATCTTCCCTCTCCCTCCGACGCGAAACTCGAAGCCTGCTAAACGCATCATTAATAAAAAATAAAATGATAACAATCAAAGTGGTTTACGAATTCATTAGTCATTTTACCAAACAGTCCTGAAACTATTACTCTAATTTTACAATTGTTAAATCGGTTAATTACCTCAAATGTCAAGTGTCAAATGTCATCTGTCAATTGTGTTTGAAATGTCAATACTATCATCTGTCAACTGTATTGAACCATTCGAACAGTCCAGAAACTATTACTCTAATTTTACAATTGTTAAATCGGTTAATTACCTCAAATGTCAAGTGTCATCTGTCAATGGTGTTTGAAATGTCAATAGTATTATCTGTCAACTGTATCGGACCATTCACCTGTGGAGAGCGTCTGGATTGTCGGCTGTCAATAGTGTCAGATGTCACATTGGAGGTGTTAGAAACGTAATCGTTTCGAAAATGGTGGCATAGACAAAATAAAAAGCATTTTCTGCGTTCGCATTTGCATTGTAATAAATAATAATAATAAAAAATAATTTAATCTGTTTAGGTCGGAAAAGAAAGAGAAGGATATGTTCGAGAAACGTGCCTTATCGGCGTTGGTTCGTTGCTGATGACATATTTATACGGAGGCAGGGTGATAAAAAAGAAAAACTGCGCATGTGCGTGAATTTTGCAAGCGCCAGCAAATCCTGACCTTAGTGAAGGATTTAAAAAGAAAGGTGGCGTTGCGACGATGGTCATTTTATACACCATTTTTTTAGTTTATTTTATTTTATTTTTTTCAGGTGAAAGATTAAATTCCTTTCGACGGAATGTCTTTTGATAAGCGTCGTTACCTTTAGTACACGAATCGAAATGTCGCTAACTTCACTCGATTCCCGACGGATGTTAATTGAAATGACAGTTTGATTACGTCAAATGTCATCTTTCAATTCGTCAATTATGCCTAATTGTGATTAGGTAAAACGTCAAATTTTGATTGTGTCAAATGTCATCTTTTAATTAATTAATTATGCCTAATTTTGATTATGTTAAATGTCAAACTACGGTTATGTCAAATGGCATCTTTTAATTCATCAATTATGCCTGAATGTTTGCCAAACTTGTCAAATGTCGTCGTTCAATTCATCAATTATGTCAACTGTCGCCTTTCAATTCATCAATTATGCCTAATTTTGATTAGGTACGTCAAAATGTCAAACGTCAAACTTCGATTACGTCAAATGTCACTTTAAGCGGCGCGTACTGTTCAGTCGATTACGTAACCGAGGCGTAGACAAAAAAAATAACAACAACAACAAGAAGAAGAAGAAAAACAACGCGAGACAACGAAACAACAGAAACGCTATGTTTACGATTTCGCTTTTACGACGAAGAACGACCTTCTAAATGTAGGAAATTCAAGGTCGCCGATAGAAAAACGAACGGTACTCGCTCAAACGAGCACCATCATCGTCGTCGTCGTCTGCAGGAAGTTCCTGCTTACGGTTACGTTTACGTTACGTCTGTTGTACGCGTAACCGAAGGTTAACTTTGATTATAACGATAGATTGGTTATTTCGATTTTGACAGAAACGTCAAAATTCGTCGTTTTATTCCACGGTCCTATATTTCTAAGGTCTGGAAACATGGGTAAAAAAAGTGTCCTGTTATTTGAGGATAAAACAGGGTTCCTAAAACGGCCGCTAGGAGGCGATTTTGAATCTTTTTTTTTCTTATGGAAAGAGGGGTCAAGTGAGGGGTCAAGTTTTAAAGGTAATTTCATTCTTGTTTTTTTTCGTTTAAAGGACGAGCAATTGTCACTTTCATCAACTTTAAATTTGACAAATAAATGTCAGAGCCAAGAAACAATAGCAACAATTAATTAACACATTTTATAGGTTCAGAATTAATTCATAAATGTATCAATATGGCCGGGGGTTAAAACTAAATTGGTCTTCACTTGAATACGCGTTATTAAAATGTTTTCAAATTTGGGGGTTGACTTAAGAATGAAATTACCTTTAAAACGAGGTGTCACTTGACCCCTCTTTCCATAAGAAAAAAACATTCAAAATGGCGTCTAACTGTCATTTTAAAAGTTTCAACTGTCATTTTTACGTCAAAAAATAGTATTTTTACTCCAATATAAACACCCCAAATTTCGCGACAAAATCTCTTACCATTCAAAAGTTAAAGGGGGGGGTCGACGGACTTTTGGTCCTCACTGTATAGGACTGTGTTTTATTCGAACGTGGAGACGTCAGAAATGTGTGACAGGTGACAGAACTGACGTAAAAACGTCAAAAAAATTACGTATGTATATATAATATTAGCGCGGTTTTTTCCGTTTCCACGGCCGCCTCGACTTATCGAAACTAATAATTTACAAACGAAAAATACGAGACCCGTTTAGCGTTTTACTAATGATAGCGTTATCTGTGACGTAGCCGAAACGGGTCCACGGCCTACTAACGCATTCCGAACCGGGTTCGAAACGCGCGAGAGCGAGAGAGAGAGAGAGAGAGAGCGAGAGAGAGAGCGAGAGCGAGAGCGAGAGAAAGAAAGACAGACTCGCATCGATATGCGTGTGCCTTCCGAATCGATTCTCTCGAACCGACCGGACATTTTATAACCGGACACCCTGTATAACGTATAAATATCGTCGACAATCGAAATACAAAGGTTAAGTATGAATTACGAAACAATCGACGCTAGCCAAAAGTCAGGCATGCGTACTCCAAGGTCTCACGCGCTAATGCGATGTGTGTGATTATTATATGGAAGAACGGAGAAACGCGCGGTTGCCGCGTTTCGCGCGAATTCCTCGGATTCGAGGAATTTTTCCGACGATGCGAAAAATGTAGAACAGATGCGAGGTTATCAAATTTCGTAGATTTTCCTCAAATTCGAGGATATTTTTGATGATGTGGATAATGGAGAAAAGATGCGAGGTTGTCAAATGTCGCAGGATTTCCTCAAATTCGAGGAAATTTTTGATGATGTGGATAATAAAGAACAGATGCGAGGTTGTCAAGTTTCGCAGAATTTCCTCAAATTCGAAGAAATTTGTGACGATGTAAATAATAAAGAACACATGCGAGGTTGTCAAATGTCGCAGAATTTCCTCAAATCCGAGGAAATTTTTGATGATTTGGATAATGGAGAAAAGATGCGAGGTTGTCAAGTTTCGAGGAAATTTTAGATGATGTGAATAATAAAGAACAGATGTGAGGTTGTCAAATGTGGCAGAATTTCCTCAAATTCGAGGATATTTTTGATGATGTGGATAATGGAGAAAAGATGCGAGGTTGTCAAATGTCGCAGAATTTTCTCAAATCCGAGGAATTTTTAGACGACGTGATTAATAAGGAACAGATGCGAGGTTGTCAAGTTTCGCAGAATTTCCTCAAATTCGAAGAAATTTGTGACGATGTGAATAATAAAGAACAGATGCGAGGTTGTCAATTGTCGCAGAATTTTCTCAAATTCGAGGAAATTTTTGAGAGAAGCGGCGTTGCCAAATAAATTTTTCATACGGCAAATTTCAGAAAAACACGCGTATAATTTCACCGGGTATTCTCGTCTCCGTACGGATTCCGATAAGACCTCGCTTATCAAAACAATATACCAGCTTTATCTTAACCGAAACATTAAATATATTTCGAATTCTATGAAATACCCTTATTCAATTTCCATATACTATTAATTAATTCACTAAATAATGCGTGTTAATGAACCCACACTACAACCGGACTCATTCATTACGAATAACATTATTATAACGAAGAACCTTGTATGTTAAATTATATTTAAAAAAAAAATCGGAATTTTTTCTTCTTCTCCCATTTCCACACATTACGTTTTCGATTACGCAAATTTTGTTCGTGTGCGTGCGATTACGAAATTACGCGCGTTTCAATTTCAATGCCGACTCGATCCGAAACATTGTTGCCGATCTACGCCCATTCAAACTAAAATTTATAATCACGCTAAATAAAATTACATAAAACTTAATAAAATAATATTAATACGTTCGATTCGACCTATAATTTGTTCGGAAATAACCGAGCGTGACGTCACCGATGGATTATAATTTCGGTATATCGCAAATTATGCTTATTCGCCCATTTTCCAACTGTCACTTGTCAAACTAATTAAACTGTTTACTGTCAAACTTATGAAACTTGTCACTTGTCAAACTTGTCACTTGTCAAACTTGTCACTTGTCAAACTTGTTAAACTTGTGTTTTTGTCACTTGTCAAACTTGTCACATTTATGCCACTTTTCGAATTCGTCTATTTTTTCGCCATTTGCCACGTCTCAATTGCGGTGTGTCACTTGTCGTTTGTCAATTTAAAATTGGAGAAACATTTTGCAAAAAAAAACCCAGACGAAAATCGGGTATTTAGACGACGAAAAAAAAAATAATAAATAAATAAAAATTATTTACGTTTCGCGCGAAATTCGCGACCTTGATCTTGGCATTAACTTTCGATCTCGATTAGCGAAAAAAAAAACCAAAATAAAAACAAGGCGAGAGAGAAAGAGAAGGGCGGATGATGGGAGGGAGAAAGAAGGAGAAGAAAAAAAAATGGAACCCGCTATCTCGGAATCGGTTTCGATAATAAATCGGGTACCATCTAAAGTACCTTAAGCGTATGTAAAAGTGCAATTATCGCAAATTATTCCCGTCGTCTCGATTTTATTTTTGTACAGTTTTTCTAATCTCGATAAGATCGTAAACAAACGCCCGGCGATTTTTTTATTAATTTATTATTAATTAACCTATATTTATATTTTACGGGGATTTTTTTTTGTAATTATTGTAATTCGTAAGCAAATAAGATATCGAGCCTCTAAATGAGTTTTGTTGATTTGGTGAATTGGTTTTCCAAGATGAGTTGTTAATTAAATGAGTTGTTTGATGTACCTAAAGTGAGTTTTTTTAATGGATTTGAGACAAAATGGTTTCTTTAGTGAACGAGTTTAATGAATTTTATGTAAAATGAGTTTTCATAATGAATTTGAGACAAAAATAGTTGTTAATTTAATGTAAAATGAGTTTTCAAAATGAATTTGAGAGAAAATGAGTTGTTAATTTAATGAATTTAATGTAAAATAACTTTTCATAATGAATTTGAGACAAAAAGAGTTGTTAATTTAATGAATTTAATGTAAAATGAATTTGAGACAAAATGAGCTGCTAATTTAATGAATTTAATGTAAAATGAATTTGAGACAAAATGAGTTTTCATAATGAATTTGAGAGAAAAAGAGTTGTTAATTTAATGAATTTAATGTAAAATGAGTTGTCAAAATGAATCTGAGACAGAATAAGTTGGTATTTTAATGAATTTGTCGTAAAATGAGTTTTTATAATGAATTTGAGACAAAAATAGTTGTTAATTTAATGTAAAATGAGTTTTCAAAATGAATTTGAGACAAGAAGAGTTATTAATTTGATGAATTTGATACAAAATGAGTTGTTAAATCAAAGAATTTAATATAAAATGAGTTTTCAAAATGATTTCGGGAGAAAATGAGTTGTTAATTCAATAAATTTGATGTAAAAATGAGTTTGTGAAATGAATTTGAGTCTATTAATTTAATAAAAGAATTTAGTGTAAATGTGAGTCTTCAAAATCAATTTCAGACGAAATGTTTCGTTAATTTAAAGAATTCAATATAAAACGAGTTGTTAATTTAATGAATTTAATGAAAAATAAGTCGTCAATCAAACAAATTTGATGCAAAATAACTGTTATTTATAATCAATTAAAACAAAATTCGTACAAAATGAGTGTTTGGTGATTTGTTATTGCGTAAAATAAATTTTTAACGAACAAATTCCTTATAAAGAAAAATATATAAATCGCCGAAAAATTAAATAGGATATCGGATGGAAAATTTCGAAACGAAATAACCGGCTAAAAACGATATTACGGCCGATATAAATAAATAAACGCGATTACATTTTTATAATCGCTACAATTACTGTATACGTACTGCTGCATCAAAAGTTTTTCTTGAGTATACAATCCGAGATTATAATAATTATCTTATCAAAAGAGAAACGGGTTATTTTCCTAAATGCGATGATATACACATCACTACGATTTCAGTTTCGACCTTGGAGCAGTCGAGAGAGAGAAAAATCGCATTTTAATCGAGCAAATTAAAACACAACGCCATTTTATTATTATTTTTTTCATATATCTTTATAAATTATAGATTTGTAATAAGAAAAAATACACAACAGTCATCCAAAAATCCTCTTACAATGTCCCTTAAATACAGGGTGTTAATTAATTGAATGCCGATAATTTAGGATGTGAATATTTGTATGATTTTAAGAAGAAAAGTTTATATCAATGTATGTTCTAAACCTCTTAGTTATCGAACTACAGGGTGTTAAATTTTAGAAAAAAAAAATAACTTTTCTATCATAATTTTTTTATTACTCCAGATATTTTTATGAAGTTTTGTATACACTTTTTAATTATTAAGGTGCATTTTTTGAGGCATTCTTCTTCCTTAAAGGCCTCATCTACTTGGCTATTTGGAGTATTTGGACAAAACAGGTGGTAAATGACATGATACAAAAGACAAATGACATATGACAGGTGACATATGACAACGAATTAATAGACAATTTCATATTATGAACGATTGGAATGTATTTGAGCGGATTCTTTTCGATTAGGAATATATCTCACATAAAAAAGTAGTACCATATTTCGCCATATGTTTTAGGCGTGTAGGTTTATATTTTAGGTCGTGGAATTTAGGTTGTGTTTCGTCGCCCACCCCGATTATGAAAAACCGTTTTTTCCTATAGATAGAGATACAACATAGTGTCGTCTCGGAAAATTGTAAAATGGAAATGCCAGCAGAACGGGGATTTTATTAATAGTGTCTCCTCGCTCTCCTCCGTTCCCCCCCAAAAACGAAACGCGCCGGATTTTGCGTCCGAGTTGGCTGTGGTAAAGTTTTTAGCACGGTTTTATAAATAAAACACGTTGCACATTCGGGTCAGGAGTACATATTATATCTATATGTATATACACACACACACACACACCTATGTATTTTTAATTATAATTTTTTATTTTTGTATTTTCCGAGCCATCTATTCGATTCGATTGGAGCCAAACTCTTTTACAAGTGACTGTTGACAAATGACAAGTAACAAATAACAAGTGACATTTGACGGATGACAAGTGACAAATGACAACAAACTGAATGTTTGGATTGTATTTGAGTGGATTCTTCTTCTATTTCTATTTATATTTTTAATTTTCGTATTTTTCAAGCGGTGATTAATTAACATTTCGATTTGATTGAGTATATGGAATGTTTGGAGACAATCTGTAAATGGTTTATTTCACCTGTCATATGTCATATGTCATTTGTCTTTTGTATCATGTCATTTACCACCTGTTTTGTCCAAATACTTCAAATAGCCAAGTAGCGAGGCCTTTAAGAAAGAAGAAGATTTGCCATGAAGATTTGTCATGTGTCATGTGTCATGTGTCATTTGTCATTTGTCATTTGTCATGGAAAATTAGTCTCGGTTAATCGAAGATTGAAAATAGACGGTAAAAAAAACGTTCGCGATGAATATAGTAGAATAGGAAAAAGAGAAGAAATTAACGGTAAAAACAAAATGCCATATATATCGAGTAGGCGAGACGGCTTTTATAATAAAATGCGCCGCGTTTCGCTTAGTAGGCGATCAAAAACGCGTCCCGATTCGAAAAATTTCGCCGGTACCGTGATTATTTGTCCAGCAATTTTTCGATTTCGATAATAGACAAAAACAAAAATCGAGCGGCGAGAAACGGCGAAAAAATCCCGGCCCGGCCCGGCGCATACTTTTCAAATTATCAATTTCGAATTCGACCAATTCAACTAATTCAACTAATTCGACTAATTCGACTAATCATATATTTAATACGCCTACGAATATATTGTAACATGATTGTAATGAAATTCGCGAAGAATTTTCGCAAAATAAATTTTTCCGAGGACGCGATTTGTTTTCCGAAAATTCGATTAACGCGCGCGCGTTTTTCGAATTTTCGACTCGCACATTTTCGCCATTTTTTCGTTCTAGACGAATCCGATTCAAAATAAAATATTATCTACGTATACGTTACTCGAGCAATTAATTCGTTTTTTTACTTAATCATCAAATACGACTTTTGACAGATGACAATAGACATTTGACAGATGACAAGAAACATTTGATAGATAACAAGAGACATTTTACATTTTACAGATAAAAAAGACTGTTATAATACGTTAAAGTTACAATAATTGTTTCATATTTTGAACAATACACAATTTTGCACCCAATTATGCATTTAGACGTCAACAAATAACTTAGTATCTGATAGATATCAAGTAATCGTTGACAGAAAAGAAGAGACATGCACATTTGACAGTTGACAATAAACTGTTAAAAGGTAAGAAAAAAAATTAAGTTACAGTTATTTCATTCATCTTTTCACACTTATTCGCGCCTACTTATTCGATTTAGTTGTTAAACAATTACGTGCAACTGTTGACAATTGACAAGTGACATTTGAGAGATGACAAGTGACATTTGAGAGACGACAAGTGACGTTTGAGAGATGACAAGCGACCGTCGACGGTTGCGAGTAAAGCACACAGGCGACTAGATTGTAGAATTTCATTGAGCATTTCTAATTAGGTATACGAGCGAGTATTATACTATAGAACGAGCGCGCGTGTCCGTTTATTTACGTTTCGAATTTATATCGCGACCACGTGTAGATGTATTTCTTTTTTTTTTTACTTCTTTTTCTTTCTTTCTTTTTCCTCGTCTGTTTCGTTCGAATCGAATTATAATTGCAAAAATACGGTTCTCGCCGACGTCCATTGTTGGCTGATGTAAAGCGATATAAGAGAACACGTGTTTGTGTGTGTGTGTGTGTGTGTGAAAGAGAGAGAGAGAGAGAGAGAAACCTGGCGAGACAGGTGAGCGAGCGAGAGGAAGAGAGGGAGACATATATCAATGAAAACGTACAAAAAATAAAAATAATGATAAAAATAACAATAATAAATAGAAAATTGAATCGAATTGAATGGTGTAAAACCTGGACATGTTTGTAGTTTCTGTTATCGATAATTTTTATATACAGGGTGTTCCTAAACATCGTGTACATCCGAAAGGGGGTTATTCCTTGGCTTATTTTATGACTAAAAGTTCATATAAACATCTAAAGGGTGTTGAAAGTTTTTTTTTTTGCTTTTTTTCTTTGTAACTCTGTTTCTCTGTTTCTTTTGTAAAAAAAAACTCTGTAAAAGTCGTGTGTTAAATTTCGATAGTAAAATATAACTCCACTTAAAATAGACTACACAGAAACGAACACAAATCGCTAAGAATCTATACCTACCGATTTTAATTGAACCACCCTGTATATATATATATATATATATATCGCACGTACTTGTATACATAGTAGTAGGTGATTGTATCGCGTTCGTGGGAGTGTAATTTCTACGGTGGTTTTTAATGCGTGAAAAATTTTTTTATCGAGATTAATACACGTGGTAGCCATCAAGGTTATTGGGTAGCTTCAATGTCGGAGGTCGCAGGAATTTCCGAACGAACAGAAGGTGAACGAAAAAATATATATTATACAGGGTGTCCCAATAAAAAGTAGCCCCTTTATTGAGCTTATAATTTTTCGGTTTTTAAGAAGAAACTTTAACACCTCGTATCTACAAAACAAAGCATTCGCGAACATTTTTTATAGCAATTATCATTATTTTTTCAATTAGAATCACCCCGTGAAGTTTGTCGCAACTATTAATTAACACCCTGTATACGCATCGATAATTATTATCACCAAAACGACTGTACTATTTTATTAAATTCGGGGTATTTTTTGTCGAATTAGAATTAAATAAATCTTCTTTCAGGCCACTCCAAGCTTGAATTGAAATGTGACAGATGACAAGCAACAACATTGACAAATGACACGCCGCAATTGAAGTGTTACAAATATGACAGCTGACGGATGGCAGGTATATCGAGAAAAATTGTTCACAATTTAATGAAATCCGGTCATTTTGTGTCGAAATGTATTTTTTTTTCTTGTATGGAGAAAAGTCGACCGAACGCACACACATGTTAATTTGCATGTAATTAACCGGCCTGTCGTTGGCAATTTATTTTACATTTTTTTTTTGTAATTTTTTCCTTTTTTTAAATATAAACCTGTTGAATTGAAACCGGGAGGAGGTTTCTCGGCGAAGAGACCTTGATAAGGTCGTCAGTTTCTCTTAAAAACTTTTAAAATCATTTAATTTCTTAATTTGTTTTAAATTCGGTTTAAGCAACGCCCTGTATAGGAGATGTAATGCGAAAAAATATGCAGAAAATAAAAAAAAATTGTTGCCGGAAGGATCGGTTTTCCGAATTGATTGAATATCGTTGGAAATAATCGAGAAATAAAACGAATTTTTCCTACTATAACATCTAAGCATGCTTAGTACAATGTTTGATTTTAGAAAGGAAAATCTTACCTATTATTTTTTTTTTGTTTATTTTATTCGAAATATGTCTCGATAGGTATTAATGAAATTTATCGTTTAATTCATCGTGTTCATTCAATAGGTAAAGATTTTTTTATGACTTTGAATAATATGTATAAATGTAATTTATAAAATATTTCGAAATGTTAGGCATTTTTTTTATAATTATTTTATTGACTGGTTAGTTTCATTAATTGTTACAATGAGGAAAATTAATTGTAAAACCCTAATAAATTCCATCAGTTAAAAGCTTTAGTTAAATTCATTACTGTTTTGATTTAGAGCTCGTATAGAGTTTCATCACTCTGCTTGTTAACGAAACAATTCTTAACTTAATAGTGTGAATAAATTTTTAACCATTTTTCAACAAAATTTGATAGATAATGAAATTTTATTAACCTCTAGTTTTAATCAAGAGCGTTTAACGAAACTCGCATTTATGAAACACTTTATACAACGAATAAATTCAAATAGTGTGAGTAATATACTAATTTTGAGTTTCATTAAGATGAAGCACGTGTTTTAAAGAAACAATTTGTACCTACAATGAAAAAAATTTAATAAATTTGAATAATTGTCTTAATTTTGAGTTTCATCGACCCTTGTTAACAAAACAATTAATAAATTTCAGTGATTTTAGTTATTTTTAGTTTTATCAGGAGCAACTTCATTAATTTTGTGTTTCATCAAGAGGATTTAACAAGACGCGTGTTAATGAAACACTGTACAATGAAAAAATTTAATAATTTATTAATTTGAGGATTTGTATTAACTTTGAGTTCCATCAAGAGCCTTTTTAAAGAAAAGCAAATTAATGAAACACTTTGTACAATGCATCAATGTTTTCCATTAATTTGAGTAATTGTATTAACTTTGAGTTTCATCAAGAGCCTTTTTAAAGAAACGCAAATTAATGAAACACTTTGTACAGTACAATTAAAAAAAATAATAAATTTGAGTACCTATAGTTTCATTAATATTGAGTTTCATCAAGAGCCTTTTTAAAAAAGCCCAAATTAACGACACTTTGTACAATGAAAAAAATTATTAAATTTGAGTACCTATAGTTTCATTAATTTTGACTTTCAACAAGAGCCCTTTTAAAGAAACGCAAATTAATGAAACACTTTGTACAATGAATGAATTCAATATAGTATATTTGAGTAAATTTAATAATTTTGAGATAATGAAAGACTTTATACAATGAATCAATGTTTTCTATTAATTTGAGTAATTGTATTGTAACTTTAAGTTTCATTAAGAACCTTTTTATTGAAACGGAAATTAATGACTTTGTACAATGAAAAAATGAAAAAAATTATAAAATTTGAGTACCTATAGTTTCATTAAAGCCTTTTTAAAGAAACGCGCGTTAATGAAACACTTTGAGCAACGAAAAAATTTAATAAACTCGAGTATATTTTCATTAATTTCGATTATAACGAAGCGCCCGTTAACGAAACACTCTTCAACCCGGTACCAGAGCTCAGAAACTCATAAAAATTCACAAAAATCCGATTCAAACATCCAAAAAACAAAGTACCATAAATCGAAGTAGGTACTCACCTTCCACCCCGCCGAGCTGTTGCTATCCCCCTTATCCTTGAAATAGGGCACGTTCTGCACCATCCACTCGTAGATCTGGCTCAGCGTCAACCGCTGATCCGGCGACGTTTTGATCGCCTGCGTGATCAAATCGGCGTAGCTCAAATTACCCCAAGCGTTCCTGCGGCTCGAGTTCTTCTTCTGCGCCGGCATCGCCGCCGCCACGCCGCCCGCCGGCGGACACGCCGCCGCCCCCGTACCGCCGCCCCCGGCCGGGCACTTGTTGCCGCCCTCGTCCTCGGCGTAGTTGTCGGGCCGCGGCAGCGGCCACGTGTTGGAGCGCGCCCGCTGCTGCGGCTCGAAGCCGTCCAGCTCGGCAAGCGGCTCCATCAGATTGACGTCCATCTTCTGGACGTTCCAGTACTGACCGTTCATGGTGGATTTTCGCTTGGATAAAACGACGAATTCGATTCGATTCGAATCACAGAACGAATATTTCTTCCGCTAGATGCTGAATAGTCGCACTATCGATGTGTTCGTCGGTAGTACTCACTTGTTTGGTACTACTTATTTTGTGTACTTGTGACTATTTGGTTGCAAAAACGAATTCGATTCGATTCTTCCACTAGATGCTGAATAGTCGCACTATCGATGTGTTCGTTGGTGGTACTTACTTGTTTGGTACTACTTATTTTTGGTTGTGTATAAAACGGATTCGATTCGACGCGAATTACAGAACGAATATTTCTTCCACTTGCGGTGAGATGTTGAATAAGTCACTCTATCGATGTGTTCGTTGGTAGTACTTACTTGTTTGGTACTACTTATTTTGCGTACTTGCGACTATTTGGTTGCAAAAACGAATTCGATTCGATGCGAATTACAAATCGAATATTTCTTCCACTTGCGGTACGATGCTGAATAGTCGCACTATCGATGTGTTCGTTGGTAGTACTCGCTTGTTTGGTACTACTTATTTTGCGTACTTGCGACTATTTGGTTGTATAAAACGAATTCGATTCGAATCGACGCGAATTACAAAACAAAATATCTCTTCCACTTGCGGTAAGATGCTGAATCGATGTGTTCGTTGGTACTACTTATTTTGAACTTGTATATCACTCACTATATTAACAATTAAAAAAAAGGTACCTACTAAACTAATTTTACTAATAACACTTTTTTAGTACTTTTTTTCAGCTTCGCACTATTTTCGCGGTGGTACTAACAAAAACCGTTTCAGTACCTTTACTAGTACTATCGTAACGAACCCACGAAACACACGAATATCGCTCGCGCGCGCCTCGACGATTACCACCAACTATTATCCCGAATTTAATTTCATTAAATAATTAATAAATAAATTTTTGGTTTTCTTCTTCTCTCGCGTAGAAATAAAAAAATCGTTCACGCCGGAATTTTCAACGTTTCAACTGCGACGCAGTAGCGGTCGTTGGCGGGTCGCGTGCGTAACTGGTCGGGTCGCGGCTGGTTCGAACATGACAGAACGGCGATGTCTGATCTGATCGGCGGTCGGACTGCGTCTGAACTGAAATACTGGAAAACGCCGAGCGATAGAACGCGATAAACGAGCGAGCGGTGTGGTGGAGTAGCGAGAGCGGAGCGGCGGAGCGGCGACCGGCGGATCGGGCGGAGAGAGCGCCGGGCGCCGGACGATCGACGGCGGTTTCGGATTCGGATTCGCGTGGATTTTTCGTTTTTTCGTGCGATGACGGCGGTGGTGATGATGATGATGATGGGATTGCGTTCCGGGCGCTCTGTGTGTTGTGTTTTGTGTGTGTGTGTGTCGGAGCGATGTCGGTCGGTGAGAGTCGGATGGGCGGCGTTGCCGGATTTGGTGTCGGGTTTTTCTTGTTTAGGTGGTGGGTTTTTTTGGAAGTGGGTTTTTTTGGAAGTGGTTTTTTTTTGGAGGAGTTTTATTGGAGGGGTTTTTTTTTAATGGTTTTTGGAAGGTTTTTTGGAGCGTTTCTTTTTTTTTCTGTGAGGGTTTTGGATAGTTATTTTGGAAGGTTTTTTTTGGAGTTTCTGATAGGTTCTTTGAGTGTTTTTGAGTGTTTTCGAATTTATTAGTGTCTTTGAATTTTTTTGAGTTTTTTTTTGAGTTTCTTTAAGTTTCTTTAAATTTCTTTGATTTTCTTTGAGTTTCCTCAAGTTTCTTCAATTTTCTTTGAGTTTCTTTGAATTTCTTTGAGTTTCTTCATGGTTCTTTGAGTTTCTTCGAGTTTCTTTGAGTTTCTTCGAGTCTCTTTAAATTTCTTTAAATTTATTTGAGTTTCTCAGAGTTTCTTTGAGCTTCTTTTAGTTTATTTTAGTTTCTTTTAGTTTATTTGAGTTTCTTTAAGTTTCTTTTAGTTTCTTTGAGTTTCTTTGAGTTTCTTTGAGTTTCTTTGAGTTTATTTGAGTTTTTTTGAATTTCTTTGAGTTTTTTAGAGTTTCCTCTAAACTCTTTTCGAAAAAATGTCTCCGCAAGACACACTTTAAAATGCACTTTCAAAAAAAAAAAATTTGGAACCAAGAAACGTTCCAAAATAAATGCTTCAAAAACGCCTTTTAAAAAAACCTCCAAAAACCTCTTTAAAATAACTGTCGAAAAAAGAATTCCAAAAAAAAACTTCCAAGGAACCATTCAAGAGACCTTCCAAACAATCCATTAAAAAATGCCTTTATAACCCCCTTCCGAGCCCTTCCCCCCAGGACTGGTTTTTTTGAATTTTGGTTTTTTTAGAGCGATTTTTTAAGCTTTTTATGGAATTATTTTTTTGTATTTTTTGTTATTTTCGCAGAGGATCCCTGAAATCCACTTAATCGCGGCAACACCGCCAACGACCAAAAGACGTACCCGCGAGACGACGCAGACGCGAGCGTCGCGGCGCCGACGCCACGCACGCATTCATCCCACTATTTTTTTATCATTATTATTATAATTTTTCCTGCGACATTAGAAATCTCCTCGATTCGCCGCCACTGTTGCCGATGCTCGGAAAATCCAAGAAAAACAAGAAATTTTTAGTACCCGAGTCAGTACCTACATTTATTACTCTTCCTCGTGTTCAATAGTTATTATTTGATTAATTAAATCAATAATAACAAAAATAATCGTCAATTTTACCGCTGATATACATACGAAGAGGAGCTGGTAAATACACTGCTCCACAAAAGTTAAGGAAGTTCACAAATATTAAGATTAATTTAAAAGTTGCAGGTTTTTTGATCGCCAAATTTAGTATGAATTGTAGAGGTAGGGACAAAATATCCACTCAGATATGAGAGAAAACATTTCATTTCGCATATTTGAAAATTTGGCCATCAAAAAGTCTGTAACTTAATTAAAATAATCGCAAAATTTGCGAACTTCCTTAAGTTTTGTGGAGCAGTTTATATATCAGAAAATCGGCGAAATTCTCTGCATATCGGCAACACTGTTAACGTAACGTGGAAAACGATTCGAATGGGCGAGAGTGCGTGCAGAGAACACGCGTCGCGACGCTCCCACACGTGATGTTTTGTTTTTTTTTGCTTAGTTTTCGCATCCTTCGAAAGGCGGGCGAGCGGGGCAATCATCTTGGATCGGGGGAAAGTTGCGCAACTTCGTTTACATTTATGATATTCCTCGGAAGTTTCGATATCGAAATTATCGCAAGGCACCTTGTATAATGTATTATAAAATATAAACTACCCCTAACACAAAACATTATTTATATCGAAATTAAATTAGTGGAATGTGGGCTAATTAAGTACATATAGGGTGTTAATTAATTGAATGCCGATACTTCAGGATGTGAATATTTGATTGATTTTAAGAAACACATTTTTTATACGCAATAGGTATCTCACATCCCTTTAATTACCCCCAATCGAGCGTAAAATATTTCCCGAATCGAACGGGAAAATCCCCCATCGGGGAAAATTAACCGCGGGAAAATTCCCTGTCCCGGCCACTCTTCGGCTCTAACGCATCGTGTGAATCACCGGCTAACTCGATTTACAATCGAAGAAACCCTTATTTTACTTATCTTTACCCGGGAAAGCCTAATTTATCTTCCATTTAATTATCTTACAGTTAATTTTCTCCGAACCGAGTATTTACGACCTCTCTTTAAAACACACTAGGTATGTAGGTACTCGATATCAAGTAGGCTTAGTATAGGAACTAAACTGTCATTTGTCACTAGACTAGAAGCTTTTTGTCACTTGTCATCGCACAGCCTACTATACAGGGTGTTCCAAAATGATCTTAGGCCATTTTTAAGGAGAAAACTACATAGGCGTATGACCAAGAAATCGATGTCGTGTGAACAATATGAACAGTTTATGTGAACAGTGAACAATATTATGTATATTAACTGAAAAAGTGAATTTATTTATTATAAATGGTTCACGCTGTGTAAGATAATCGAGTCACATCTCGATTTTAACGCAATTTAACAGAGACGTTAATGGCGGATTAATTTAACGGTGTAAATTGCACAAATTGTTAGGGTAAATATTCAATATGGAATGTCATTGGCAATAATTTTTAGGTAAACGGAGATATTTGATATTCTAATCGAATTTTATCTCGAAGCGAAACATAAATGATCAAAACAAATCTACTAATACAGGGTGACTCATTTAAAAGTTGCCCATTTTAACCCATTGGCCCATTTAACATCTGGAAACAAAACCGCGGAAAATGAATCGAGTCATCCGGATTTCGCCCTGTCAATTCGTTTGATTGATCGATTTTCCGTCAAAATCTCTATTCTCAAACGTTCGGTAAATTTCAGTTAAAAGATCCCCACCATCTTTAAAAAAAACAACAACAACAACAACAACAACGAAACGCGATGTTGTCGATGAAGCAAGAAGAAAACGCTTCGGTGACGAAGAACCCCAACATGTCCGATTTCGGTAAAGATGGCGGCCAGAAGGTCCAATATCCCCCCAATCACTACGTAGACGCCAACGGTAACATCAAGTACTTCACCCGCCAGGGCTCCTATCCGATGCCGATGCCTTCGAACCAATTCAAACAGTACTACCCACCGCCCCAACAGACTCTAATCAAACAACAACAACTCAAATTGCAGCGCATGCAATCCCAACAGGCGCAAATGCAACCGAACCAACCGCCCCAGATGCCCACCTCCCAATCGCAACCGCCCCTATTGCAACAACAACCCCAACAACCGATGCAACAACAGCAAATGACGATGCAACAACAGCCTATGCCGATGCAACAGCAACAACAACAGCAGCAACAGCAACTGCAAATGCCGGCGATGCAACAACCAACGCCGTTCCAACAGCAGATGATGCAACCGCAACAAATGCAGCAAATGCGGGCGACTCAACCGCCACAACAACAACAACAACCGCCACAACAACAACAACAAGTACCACAAAGATTGAGTTACTACGAGAACAATCCAGGAGTTCCTCAAGTAATGGATTACTACAACGGATCGTACGCGCAGAACCAGCAGTACCAGCAAATGGACAACATGGCGAACAACTCGTACACGCAGCAAATGAACAATAATCTCCAGCAGGATTACTACCAACCTGCAGCACCGCCTGTTAACTACCAATTAGAAGCCAACCAGTACAACCAACAGGGCAATTACTACCAACGCAACCAGCAGAGGAACGTCGTCTACGACAACGCCGGAATGTACCAGCAGGCCTTCAACCAGTACCAAACGGATTATTACGCGAACAACGCCAACAAAATGTACAACAACAACAACAACAAGATGTACGCGTTCGACCACCAGCAGCAGCACGACTTCCCCAGCGAGACGGAGGTATCGAACGTGGAGTACCACCAAGGCGGCGTCTCCAGCGAGCTGGTGAACCGCAATTACACCAACAGCGGTTACCAAGGCAAGGAGCTGGTGCACCCGAAGGAGACGTTCGAGAAGCTCTGCCAGAACATACCGCTGTGCAAGAACTGCGCCGAGATCATCCGGCACCATTTCTACGCCAACGGCGATTTGGACGAGGTGAAGAAGCTGGCCGAGACGAGCAAGAGCGATCGCTCGCTGGGCGCCAAGGACAAGGACAAGACCAAGGAGGCGCCGACGAAGCTGTCGGAGGCGGAGGAGGAGGGCGCCGCCGGCGGCGGGGCGGCGACGGAGGCGGACGCGTCGAGCGGCGGCGGCGGGGAGTCGGAGGCGAACGCGGCCGGCGACAGCGATTCGGCCATCTACGAGGGCCATCCGAGCAAGAAGGAGACGCCGAGCGTGCACAACTTCGTCGAGGACAAGTGCTCGAGGTGCGGCGGTTGGACGTTGGTGCAGGAGGAGGACGAACAGTGACGTGCTATCTCTCTACGTTTTATCTTGTGGTATTTCGGTCGTTATATGTTACAATAAAATGTGATTTAATTCTCGGAGGAATCTGTACGAGTTTGTGTAATCTGTGTATTTACCTGTGTTCAGATTTTTAAAGCGCATGCTCAATTGGTAAACCGAAACAAAGATAAAACTATGCTGAATTCCATAGAGCAAAAAAAGAGAGTATAATTTAGGCATGTTGTAGATGTTATTGGCAACAGGAACGTAAATGTAATTCTTATGTAATTTTTAATTCTTATATCTAAGTTACTTACCCAGTAGGATGACTACCAACGGCCATTTTGATTTTGAACGAGACCAACAAGGAAGAAGAAGAACACTAGCCTGAGGGTACAAAAAACGGCTCGCGGTTTTTGCCGCACTGAACATTGTTCTATCGAGAATATTCGAGAATAAATCGTTCACAAATCTAATATTAATGACGCGAAAACTTACCGAACTTTACAAAAATAATTTGCGGTGGCTTGTTGCCCAAACACTGTCACCTGTCAAGTACAAGTACACTGTGAAAAGAGGAATGAAAGAGATCACTTGTCATTCTTGTCAATGACGAAACGAGATTCTCTCTCGCGCTAAACATCACGTTTTTATTGTTCACATTTACTTGCTGTGCAAATTACTGTTGTAATATTATACACCTCGCTCCATTTCCGATTGCAACATGGTCATTTCTCAATGAGTGGAATAAAGAAAGATTATTAAAATGACAGTTGTCAGAGTGAATAGTTGCAATCACACAAATATCACTCTTTCCTTTTCCTTTGTAAGTGTCTAATAGAAGTTGTCTTTATCGCACCCATGGCTTATATAATCTATGTTGCGATCAAAAATGGAGCAACCTGTATGTAATATTAATAGAAATAAAGCGAAAAAGTACCATTGAGTTGTTGATTGACCACCTCGGCAATTTTTTCATAAAAAAAGAAGAACTCATCGTTAATATGTCAAATGTCAAATCGAAACGTAACCTAACAAATCAACATAAACAAACTCCGAGCATCATATAAAAAACAATTAATAGTATCATAAAATATATAAATTACATATAATACAGAATATATTATTCTATTTACGTTATACACAGTTACACTTGTGATGGATTCGTGGTCGGTGGAGGAGAAACGAACGTTGCTGTCGACGTTGCGCGAACGCGGCTCCGTCGATATCGTCGCATTGAAAACCCGCCTGCCCGGCAAAACCGAGCTGGAGATCCGAAACTTCTGCGGCAGCCACTATTTCAAGGCCACCCAGCGCCGGCCGGCCCTCGAAAGCCAGGCCTACATCAAGCAATGGCTGCGCGTCCTCAAGACCCTCCGGAACGCCCGCCAACCACCGAAGCAACTCGACGACGTCCTGCCCAGGGTGCTAAAATACGCGGCCTTGTTCGAGAAGAACAGCCGGCGCGACGTCGACCTCGCCGAGTGCTACAAACAGCTGCACCGTCTATCGCAAGGACTGCCCGGCGATCGGCTGGACGAAACCACCGATCGCTTCCTGTTCAATTGCTTGAGCCGGCTGGCTAAGGAGTTGAAGGCCACCTACTTGCAGCCGTACAAGAACTACATGGGCTCGTTGAACGGTTCCACGAGCCTGAGTCAATCCCGCAGCACCCTCGACAATCCTCTACAAGTACCCAAGGATTTGCTGAGGTACTGTAGTAATGGAGCGACCGGTAAATAGTGTTTGAGGGTTTTAGTCGGCGCATCGGTGGAACCACCGGTTCTGCATTAAATCATCGAACGCCAGGTCTTCTTTGCATTTCAGGCAAATTAGTGACTGTTCGACTACGTGGAACGTTTTGAAGTGGCTGCGTAACAGGTGGAGTCGTTTGTAGGTTATTTTACAATGAGTACACCTATAGTGAGATTAGATTAATCGTTGGATAATATTTCGTTTTATTTAACTCACCTGTATGTTATCGAATGGTCGGTTTCCTTATCGAAAGGGGCCAATTTTCCGTTTACGATTCCCGTGAATTTGTATAAAGATAATCTTATTTTGGGCGTGACGTATTCCAGAAAATGCACTACATTTTCGCAGTTATTGCTAAAAATTACTCGATCAATACACTTAAATAATTCTACGAGTCAAGCAAAGATAGATTAATAAATTAACAGTGGTTTGAGTGAGATCAGTAGTATCTCAATTCCTCACTCTTTCTTTACATTAGGCTTATGGAAGTCTTTGTTGCACTAATACAGACCATCTCGGGTGTACAAATTATGCTTAGCTAGATCTCTCGTGTACTCTTTACTCATATACAGAGTGGCTCGTAAAAGCAAATTTACCTCGTTTTAGTGCTCCTGTTTCTGTAAAAAGTTTGTTCGCTCAACTTGAACAATACGCTCGTATTGGTAGCCAAACTGTTCTTGTTCATTCTCTCGATATCCGCCACGAAATTGTTCAACAGTATCTCGATGGCAATATGCACTGCGAAATACACCTACGATAACTCGCATTAAACTAAATATCCAAACAACCTCATCAACAATTCACCTCGTTTTGTTTCAACGAATCGATGTACTTGTCGCAGTAAGTCCGAAAGGCCCTCAACGTGTAAGCCGTCCGCTCCATCCTGCGATTGATAACGTTGATTTCTTCGACGATGTTATGGCTGTCGGGCGGACTGACGGAGGCCAGATTCAACGTGACGAATCGCTCGAACGCGGTGGCGTTGGTGGTTTTGAAGTGGAGATGCGGCGACTGGAATTCCACTTCGACGAAGGGCAAATTCAGGAAGCATTCCATGTGCAGGACTTGGTTCCAGTTGGCGTGCGTTCGGTACTCTTGCATCACCACCGAATCTGAAATATTTCCATGTTAATCGTGATTAATAATCAACACTATTTCCGGCGCCTACTTCGAGCCGATCGATCGTTGTTGGTGAATATCAACGTGTTCAACAGCCTGGCGGGGCCTTTTACTACCAAGTAAAAAGGTGCGGTGGACGGTCGTAGGCTCGGGTTAGTTTGTGTCGAGCAATCGATGGTGATTGTCGATTCTTTGGCGTCGTCGTGTTGTTTGTCCAGCAAGTACAAGGCCTTCTGGTAGTCGCAGTTCAGTATGTAGTTTATCCGGAATATCACGAACTCCTTGAAGTGCTCGTAGGAGACTTTGGCCTCTTTCTGCGGGCGCTGGTGGAGCTTCTTCCAGCCCGGCCAGTCGTTGAGCGTGTGGAGGAGGAGGTAGGGGATGGTGTCGTATTGGAGCGGGGTGAGGCAGTTTCGGCGGACTTTGAGGCATTGGAAGAGGACGTTGTAGAGGGCCGGGAGGTCTAATTCTATTTCGTTGTGGCTCAGAACGTGCTCGAATACGCGTTGTAATAAATTTTGGTGGATTTGGGTCGGTTCGCGATCCGTTTGCGGCGCGTTTTCGTTCATTTTACTTCGCGAAATGCATAACAAATACAATAACAAAATAGTGCATTGTATAGGTTAGGTTATTATACTTCTTCTTTCTTCACTAAAAGTAGTTGGCCTCATTTGCTGGGGATATCCGGTCAAAGGCTCCTCAAGAAATAAACAGGTAAAAATGGTTTACACATAGAGAAAGAAAGATTTTTTTCTTTTTTTTTGTCTATGGGTTTACATTTCTTATTTATTCCCTTTATTTATTTATGTTTAATTTGCAGATTGCAAAATCAGGCAGAAAACAAAGAAGGAATGCCCTTACGAAGGTCTCCTAAGGTAAATCCAACAAATAAAACGAAATTAAAGTGGTCTAAAATAAAAGACTGGATTCAGAATATCCATTGCTAAATGATTTTCATTAAAAGGTATTTTATTAATATATACAGGTTGCTCCATTTTTGATTGCAATATAGGTTATATAGGCCGTGGGTGCGATAAAGACAACGTCATTGAAATGACCATATTGCAATCGGAAATCTAGCAAGGTGTATTTTTATTTTATTATCTTCAATTTTATTATTCATTACTATATTTTATTAGGTAAACTTATAAACGCTTATATAATTTTCTCGATATATATTTGTAACATTCAAATACAATAAAAGTAACTATGAATCGAAAAAAGCACAAATTTTACAAAAAAAAGACAACAATCATTTTCCTAAAACATGTATAAAATATATATATAAATTCTCTTACAATTGTAATTAATTTTATAAACTAGAAACATCAATATAGCACAATCAAAGAATTTAATCAATAAAAAACAAAACGAATCCATAATTGGCACATTTAAAACAAACTTAAAAAAACAATTTATTTAAGTCTCTGCGTAACGTTAGCTAAAGCGACTGCGAACGCTTGAAGGGCAGAAAAAGGATACTGAAAATCCAACGTGTAGGCATTTCCATCGATTCGACCAAACTGCATCACCTGCACAGCAAAATAAAACAAAAAAATAGCACGTTAGGGCTCCTTTCATCATTCGACGGTTGGTAAACCTGTACGTCAGACGTCAAGGGTCGATAAAGAACAATTAAAACCCTCACCTGTTTACCCCTAAATTCGATTTGAAAGTTCTTTGCCGACTCCTGGGTGACCCTCCCGCCGAAATCCAACTGGTACACCTGATTGTTCTCGTTCCACATCGGCGCCTTGTTGTGCATCACGAACTCCCTCCTCTGCGGTATCACCTGATTGTTGCAGCTGCTCCCGTTCGGCTCGATCTTACCCCGTTTCAACTAAAACCCAAAAAACGCCCATCATCTCAAACCTAGATTCGACAATTCGATACGACCTTTTGGCGCAGCTGCGACTTCTGGAACGTCTCCAGGTCCTTGTAGTTGGCGCCGTTGAACACCTCGTCCCCCGACGCGTTCACCTCGTCGTCGGAGCTCTCCTGGTGCTGCTTCGCCTTCTTGCCCCGGCGCCCCAGCAACGGCGAGCTGAGCAGCTTCCGGCGAATGGGCGACGCCGACAGCGGCCGGCCGCCCTTTTTGCTCGGCGCCGGCGACGACGGCGAGCTCCTCGGCAACCGCGGCGAGCCGCCGCCCGACTTGGTATCGTCCTCTCGCAACCTGGTGATCAGCTTCTCCAGATTCGCCAAGGCCTGCGTGTGCAAAGCCACTCCTCCTCCTCCTCCTCCTCCGCCGTTGATCTCTTTGCTTTGGTTCGCGTTGATCTTCTTCTGGTTGTTCCTGCCGCGGTTCTTGTCGTTGTTGATGTCGTTCTTCTTCCTGCGCAGCAACGGCGACGAGAAGAAATCCCGCCGGTTGTTCTTCTTGTTGTTGTTGTTGTTGTTGCCGGTCTTCTTCTCCTCCTTCGCGGTGGTTTTGCCGATTTCTTTATCCGACGGATCGTCCATTACCTCGATCACGTCCTCGGGTATGTCGCGTTCTTTCTTCTTGGCCGCCGCCGCGCCGGCGTGGTGATCGCAATTGGGGAATATATCGCTCGAATCGAGGCTCCTGGATTTACCGTAGGACTTCAATTTGGGATTGACGTCGGCGCCGTGGCGTTGGGCGAATTGGCGGGCGTTCAAGCGGCCCGGCCGCTTCGCCTTGCCTTTCTTGTCGACCAGCACCAGCCGCTTGGGGATGTCCTTGTGCAGCAGCGACAGCGTCTCGTCGCTGGGCACCAGCCGCCTGTCCATCATGTCCAGGAACCCTGCGAACAGTCGAGTCTTATATGTATAGAAAATAGCGAGAAAATAGTTAAATAACCAAGGTCTCGCTGTGAAAATTAAAGGCAGTTATATAGCCGGATCATCGCTCGCTTCGCTCGCTCGGTTTATGTAATTAACGTGTTATTAAAAACGAATCGCCCTATACTATATTTCAATTTAATTAAAAATAATTTTTCACTTAAGATAAAAAAACGCCCCGTATATTAATTTTTCCGATTTTCTTAATGAAAAAACACCCTGTACATCAAATTAAATGTCAACGTATCCATAGAAACGAAAAAGGCATCCATTTTGTCTTTCATTCGGGAATTATCGTACGTCATCGTCGATTTGAAAGTTTTCACTTTCGGTTCGACGGCAGCCGTAAAATATGCATCAATTTCGAAAAATCTTTATAATTCGATAAATAATAGTTAAGAAAATGGGAAAAAAATTTGGTAGATAGAAAAATGTCGTATCTATAAATTTTCGTTTTCAAATTAATCTAAAAGATGATAGTTTCCGAGTTTTGGCGTTACAAACTTGAAGACAATTTAAAAACGGTTTTTTCGAAAAACTCAAAAAGTACCGATCGGAAAAACACCCGGTCTCTTTTATTCGATGGAAAAAAGAATTTCCAATTTTTGCAAGTATGAAAAATGTTCGTAAATCTTACCGTTTACGAGTTATTTCGATTTTTAGAAAACCATCGAAAACTATTTTCCACGATATTTTCCCAAAACGAATTTTTCCTGGAAAACGGCTATATACGAAAGTCGAGAGAACCGATGGAGAATCTTTCGGGAGATTTTGAAGCGAATCGAACGAACTCGATTGGAGAAAAGTGCGAAAAACCGAAAAAAAACGTTTATTTCGCTCATTTGACACTGAAGATGAAATTTTATCGAGTCGAAACGTCGATATTTCGATCGGGCGTGTGCGTTTCCATAGGATTCGATACTTTTCCCGGTCGAAAAAGACGAACGGCGGCCGTAAAAAAAACATCTCGAAAATGACCCTACGAATTTGGGCCTTATTTGGGAATTTTAAAGTGGAGAGAATCGAGAATGGGTTTCGTACCGACGCTGCAGCTGCGCACCATCGGATCGAGCAGGAAGGTGGCGGATTGGCGGGCGAATTTGTTGGAGGTGGACGGCGCCGAATCGTCCGGTTTGCGGTCGATTTCCTCCGGTTTCTTCGGCTTGTGGTTGGCGTTCTCTTGGAGAGCGGTTTTCACTTGTAGGGCGTTGTCGGGGGAATGGTTCAGCAGATTGGCGGGCGTCGGCCGGTCGAATATCGTGTCGCTGGGCGCCACGGCGTTTTTGGGCGATTGCAAGGCGGGTACCGATACCTGAGAGAGGTTTTGGAATTCGATTAGAAATTGAAATTCGATTGGAAAAATATGTTTATTGGAGAGAGGAGTTACCTCGCAGCCTATGGGGGAGATGGCGTGGCGTTGATTGGCGCCCGTTTGGCCGCCGTTTTGACCGATCAATTGCCCGATGAAGCTGGTGTTTTGGGTGCCGGCGGGGCGTAAATTCAGTTGAGTATTAATAGCGGTGGTCTTCGAGTGTTGCGGACGGATATCGTTACTAATATTAGATGATTTGTTGGCGTTGTCGGCGCGCGATTCGCCGTTATCGTCTGAAATTGAAATGTCGGTTAAATTCTCTTTAGTTAAAACCACGGTCCTATATACAGGGTGGTCCTAAACATCGTGTACATCCGAAAGGATTGTCTTTGTTTGTTGCAATGAAAAATAGAGCAAACTGTATGTAGATAATACATACAAATAACGAGACACATTCTCTAATGCATAAGCATAGGTATTTTCCAGACTTTAGAAATATAGGACCGCGGTTAAAACTAGTAAATTCTTAGATTCTATAAACTCTATAAAAGCTCGGCAACACCGCATACTTGTGACGTAGCAAAATCATAAGTAACTCGCATCGATATTTATTTAGCACCAACTATACTAAACCTGCACCGTTATCAAATCAACCTACTCTCCGAAACCAAATGCGAAGAACAAGTAGAAGTAGAAGAAGAAGAAGAAGCGCCCTTCGGCTTCCCGACCAGCGGTCGCCTGGAGGCGATCGGAGCGATCGGGGGACATCCGCACGCGTCCTTTTTCCGCTCGTCCCCGTCGGCCGGCTCGTCCTCGTCCTCGGAGAACAGGTTCGGATTGAAATTCGGATCGGGCAAGATGGGGAAATCGTCGCCCAATTCGGTCATGACGAGCGTCATCTGGCGCGGTTGCAGGTGCAACAGCGACGTCTTGTAGGTCACCTGGCCCAAATTGGGCGGCACCGAACAGGCCAGACCGTGTATCTTGAATTTCGTACCCCAAATGTTCGACGTCACCTCCACCAGACGGATTTGCTGCAACCAAACGAATATACCGGAGCGTTCTAAATGATTATAGACAGTTCTAAACGATTCTGGAGCGTTCTAAATGATTCTGGAGCATTCTAATTGGTTTTAGACAGTCCTAAATTATTTTGGAGCGTTTTAAATGGTTCTGAAGCGTTCTAAATGGTTCTGAAGCGTTCTAAATGACTTTAGACCGTTTTAAATGATTCTGGAGCGTTCTAAGTGGTTTTATATTCTAGTATAGATTTATATTCTAGTATAGAATGTACCCTTTTTTACATTTCAAAAGTTAGTTTCGTAGAAATTCGATACATTGATCTGTTCTCCGCACATTCGGAATGTTAGGTTACTATTTATCATTTTGATACAGGAACATACGAGCCGATTAATGTAGAAAGTTGATAAATAATGAAAATATTCTAGTTCTACATGATCCTAGAGCATTTTTAATGATTCTGGAGCATTATAAATGGTGCCAGATAGTTCTACATGATCCTAGAGCATTTTTAATGATTCTGGAGCATTATAAATGGTGCCAGATAATTCTACATGATCCTGGAGCAATAAAAATAATAAATGATTCTGGAGCATTGTAAGTGGTTTTAGACAGTCCTAAATGATTCTGGACAATTCTAAATGGCTCTGGACCGTTCTAAATGATTCTGGAGCGTTCTAAATGATTCTGGAGTGTTCTGAATGGTTCTAGACAATTCTAAAAGGTTCTGAATCGTTCTAAAAAGGTTTAGACAGTTCTTAATGATCCTGAAGCATTCTAAATGATTTTGGAGCGTTCTAAAAGGATTCTAGGCAATTTTAAACGGTTCTAGAAGTCCCAAACGGTGTGCAAGAACTCCCATCCGATCCCTCTACAGCTTTATACAAGCAATTACCTCGGGCAAGGTGTCGACGTAGGAGAGATCCTCGTGTTCGGAATCCAAATCGGCCCGTTGATTGGCCTGATGGTAGCCGTTCGCTTGGCGTTTGCGCTTCCGCTTCCGCTTCGTCGGCGTCGCCGGCCATCCGACGCCTCTGTCGTCTCTGTCGCTGTCCGACGAGTCCGTCGTGGCGCCGCCGGCGCTCGCCGAATGGTTGCTCGACGACGACGAGCTCTTCGTTTCGACGTAACTGGCGTAATCTACAACGGCTGTTGATTCGGATTTAGTACCGGTTTTCTTAGAGTTTGTCGTGGTGTAAAAATGGGTACCTTCTTGCGGATCGAATATGACGAATTCCGGTCGAATTTTGCTGGTGCGTTTGCCTTTGAGCAGCGGCACCAGACCGCCCAAGTACTCGAGATAGAGGGTGTAACAGGTGCCCGACGACAGGTTGTTCTCCTCGTCGTGGCGGATCATCGTGCAGTGCAATCGGACGGAGCCCGCCGGAGGTCGGGAGACGAATTCCCGCAGAGCGGCGGCCTCCGGCACGCAACACTGCAATATTCCAATCGAACGATTAAGTACTTAATTTAGTATTGAAAATAGGTGATTCTGGAGTGTTTTAAATGATGATATTGGAGCGTTCTAAGTGGTTTTAGACAGTCCTAAACGATTCTAAGCTTCGACCATTTTAAATGGTTCTAAGCAATTCTAAATGGCTCTGGAGCTTTCTAAATGATTCTGGAGCGTTCTAAGTGGTTTTAGACAGTCCTAAATGAGAAAATTAAAGACTTACTCTGATGGTTTGAGCGAAGAGGTTGCCGATGATGTTGCCCAGGCGGGCGGGCAACGGCAACAGCGCCAGCTGCTTCTCGTTCTCGATCAGATCGTGGACGCGCAACCGGCAGAGCAGCTGCAACGAGGCGATGCGCTTCGACACCCAGGCGATGTGGATTTGCGTGCCGGTTGCAAGGAACAATCGCTTGTCGTTGTGGCCCCACGTCAACGTCGATACTCTGGCCTGGAATTTATTGGAATACAGTTATCGATGTTCGTTTTGCACCAGGGCCATATATTTCTAAGGTCTGGAATCTCCCTATGCTTATGCATTAGAGAATGTGTCCCGTTATCTGAGGACTTTTCGAGCTTCACTTTTGTGCCGCATCGTGGCGAAACGATCGGAGGATCCATTTATCTCAGCCTATCGGCGTCGAGCTACATATAAATCGCGGTTGTGTTAAATGACAGTTCGAGCTGTCAAAAGTATCAAAAATTATTTTTTGACATTTCGAGGAGAAAATGGAGAAATACATTAACCGAAGATACGCGAAGCATGATGTTTACAACAAAATCATCGCTGATTTAAGTATATTTTTATGTTTTCCATCTATTTTTAGTTTGAATACAACCTTTTTTAATGCTAATTCTACATAATTCGTACGCAAAAAACCGTAGTCCTTTACAACATCGCCTCCTATCGGCCGTTTTAGGAACGCTGTTTTATCCTCAAATAACTGGACACTTTTTCTACCCACGTTTCCAGACCTTAGACCCGTGTTTTGCACCGACTGTACAACGACCATCGCACCTGTTTGTCCGGCAGAACGGTGGAATACAACAACTGGCCCTTCTCGTTGTAGAACTTCAACATGTTGGTGTATTCGAGGCCGAGCGGTCTGGAATCGCCGGTGACGCCGGCGATGGCCAGAAACTCCCTCGAATTGCTCCATTCCATGCACAACGGGCTCTGCAAACCGGTGTCGATCCTGACGGGCGACACGTCGTCGAAGGTAGACAGCAAATAAATGCAGCCGTTTTGCAGGCAAGCCGCCAAAACGAACTTTCTATCGGCTAAAAATTACCAAACGATTAAATTAAACGGTTTTAAATGATTCTGGACAGTTCTATATGATTTTGGAACGTTCTAAATGGTGCCAGATAGTTCTAAATGATTTTGGAACGTTCTAAATAGTGCCAGATAGTTCTAAAGGATTCTGGACAGTTCTAAATGACTATGGAGCATTCTAAATGGTTGTAGACAGTTCTAAATGATTCTGGAGAGTTTTAAATGACAATTAGAGCGTTCTAAATGATTCTAGACAGTTCTTAATGACTTCTAAAGCGTTCTACATGCTCCTAAAGCGACCTAAACGGTTTTAGACAGGTTTAAATGATTCTGGAGGGTTTTAAATGGTTATGGAGCGTTATATGTAAATGGTTTTAAACAGTTCTAAATGATTCTGGAGAGTTTTAAATGACTATGGAGCGTTCTAAATTGTTCTAAACAGTTCTAAATGATTCTGGAGCATTCTAAATGGTTCTAAACAGTTCTAAATGATTTTAAACAGTTCTAAATTATTCTGGAGAGTTTTAAATGACAATTAGAGCGTTCTAAATGATACCAGACAGTTCTAAATAATTCTGGAGAGTTTTAAATGACAATTAGAGCGTTCTGAAGCATTTTAAATTCAAATTAAAGTACTATAAAATACTTGTAAATGACTACTATAATGAGCATTTTTAAAGCGAGCCTTGCTGTTAATATATTCCTCAGTCCCCCGAGGATTAGTGTCCTTGCGGTGAGTACAACAGCCGCAAACGAACTCTGCCGTTATTCTCGGCGTATACATATAATTTACCGGAATTGACGACGCCGGCGTCGACGTCGTCGCCCTCCTCCATTTTGAATTTCTCGCAGGACCACGCCATCGATGTGATGCCGACGTCGGCGGCGCCGAGTTGCACCTGCGACACCATGGCGCCGTGCACGTCCATCACGATGATCTGGCCGGAGGTGGTGCCGAAGTAGACCTGCTGGTCGTCGGGCGTCCAAATGCCGCAGGTGATGGTCGAATCGAGGTTGAGCATCGACGACCAGTAACGCTGGCCGGCCACCGAACCGACCAGCACGTAGCCGTCCTGCGGAAATTTTATTGTAATACTATACGGGGTGTCGCTTAAATGATGACTTTAATTTTAGGAAGTGATTTCTTGTTGTATTTTACGAAGAAAAGTTTCATTTCACCTGGTAACAGATGAGCGCCATTCGGCCGTCGTGCGACCAGGAAAAGTGGGTCACCGGCGTGTTGCGATCGTTGATCAGCTCTATCGACCAACGGCCTTCGTATTTTATCCATATGTAGATGATTCCGTAGCTATCGCAGGACGCCAGCTTTTGATACGGCTCGTTCCATCTCACCAATATCACCTAAAATAACAACAAAACATGTTATTAACGTATTCATAGAGATGCACTATCGAGCGAAATTCAATTTTACAACGCAATTTCAAAATGAACTAATATATTTCGAACGTAGAACACAACAATTTAACCAAATAAATAATTAACCCGTGCAATTATTACACCCAAACGCTCTAATTATTAGCAGTAATATCATCGAGTCTAGCCAATCACAGTCCCGGGCGCTATCACCAGCCAATAAGAGCTATCTAAAGGCACTTCGAGCCTTCTAAATTCCTCCCAAATCCATCCTTAATCGAGTATGCGGAAGTGGAGCATGCAATCGACGAGCCACTCGGAGGATTTGTGCTTCAATTCGGGCATGTTGTACATCAACTTCGGCCGGTTATGCGCCTCGCAGATGATGTAGTTCGAGCAAGCCGGACCAGAGGACCCTTTGGCGTGATGGGGGTAGAACGATGTGGTGCAGGTGGTGGTCGATTGGGGCCTCTTCAATACGGTGCCGCCGCCCGCTCGGATCAATTCGCTTAGAGTTTCTTTGGTGACTGACAGATGGCGTACGTTGAGGGGTGAAAAGTGGCCGAGTACGTGGAAGTTTAGGCCGTGGAAGAGCCGGGGTCGTTTGAGCAGTTTGTTCATCGTGGCGTTGAGGATTCCGGCGTTTACTGTTTGGTTTAGGATGAGGCTGCGGGTTGGTAGGTAGGTTCGTGGATTCGTGGGGGTATTCAGCCAGTCTTCGGGTACTATCGCGGTGCCACTTAGCATGGCTCTCAAGAGTTCTACTGACGCTTTGCAATTTGCTTTCACTATGAAGTTAGTGGTTCGTTTCGAAGTGTGATCGGGCTTGGTAACGTCCTGTTTGAGGTAGTACAGGTTTTGTATTCTGTTGTTGCTTTCGTAGTGTTTGTCGAACAATTCTTTAATACCTTCTTCGTTGCAGTAGTCGACGGGTGTTTTACCTTTGCAATCGGTTGGGGTTTTATCGGCTCCGTTTTCTAATAGTAATCGTATTATTTCGGAGTATCCTTCTCGGGCTGCGAGGTGTAAAGGGGTTTCGTATTGTGGCCCTGGTACGTCGATTAAACAGCCGTGCTCGAGTAGAATTTTGACTATTTCAGTGGAACCGACCAGTGTTGCTTCGTGCTGAAAATTAGTACAATATTAATATCCTTCGAAAGGATATTACAAGGATATTAACTTACCAATGGCACCCAACCGGCGAAATCCTCAGCATTGACATCGATATCAGATTTTAATAAATTTTGAACTCTATCGATGTCCGTAATTTTGCAAGCGATGTGCAAGGGAGTTTCCCCTTTAGCGTTCAACCTTTGTTCTTCCACTACTTTAACTCGATAAATCTTGTTATCGTAAATGAACTGTTTGGTTTGGGATACATCGGTTTCGTCGTTTCTGTTGATGGCTTTCGATAGAATCGATTCCATGTTTTCCACGATGCCTTTGCATTGTTTGAAGATGGGAACGTCTCGGTCTAGCTCTCGCGGTTCGTACATTCGATCGCATTTCGGGCAGTTTTCGAATTGTTTTATACAATTTTCGCAACAATAATGGCCGCAAACTTTTATTCTGGCCAAAGGCTCGTCTCGCCGGCCGCATTTCCTGCACTTCATGATATCTATCACCTTCTTCAAGTGCGCGTAACATTCCTCTACGTGTTTCTTTTCCATTTTTCTTAAAATACTTCTTGCTTTGAGATTCGAATCAACAAACTTTACTCGATGCTGGTTATTTTAAATTAACGTCAAACTTGTCACCTGTCATGTAGAAGCGGACGAAATTTCGCGATGATGCTAGTTGAGTAGGCAACCAATATTACTTGAACTCAAATAAATTATTTAAAAAAATGTTTATTATTCAATGTTTACCTCAGATCTGTGCCCTCTTAAGTTGTAATTGGTGCGAAGGGGATACTCGACGTTCTTTTTGCAATGACTAGTGGTAAACGTCACCCCGACGATGCCTCTTACGTTACTGGTAGCCAACCAACCTTCTTGATAATAATTCGTTCTATTCAATTTCCAGCCTTCGTCCTACAATTTAAATAACTTGTAACGCGAGATTGTTTGGTTTAAATTTATAAAAATAAACTCTACACGCACGAATATAATATAATACAAAGATTATTTGAATTTGAGGTTATGTTTTTGTTTACAAATTTAACAAAATTAGTTCGCAACGTTGCCGAGTTTCCGGAAATTCGTTAGAACGTGTGAAAAATAGAAAACGTTTCTTACCTCTGGCAACTCATCAGGCACTTTTCCCATCCATGTCATCGACAAAATGGGGCAGTCGCTTTTCGCGTTGACCGTCCGTTCGAAATGCAAATGCATATCGCCTTCGATCCGACGCCGATCACTTGTAAACCTCGGAATTCATGGCGGAAAATGCGGAAAAACGGGCGAACTGAAAAAAAAGGAGGAGCTCCCGGTCCGACGGTCGGCGACGAGACGAAACGACTGAAGGGCCATATTGATTTCCAGCCGGAGTTTTCCTTTTTACGGCGGAGTTGAGGCGACGCAGGCGCGTCGAATTTCCCGAACGGAATCGGAAAATTCGAATGCAGGTAAAATAGCCCTTCGTGGCTTCGAACGCGCGAGGAATCATCGGGGGTTTCCCTAAAGAGTTCCATATACAGGGTGGCGCAAAACTTTGTTGCGCCATAAATTGATAAATAAATAAATAAAAAGAGAGTTAGAGAGCGCGCGCGTAACAACAAAACGAGTTTTCTTAATTGCGCGTTAAGCGAGAGGAGGAGGATTCAAGGCGATAGAATTAACATTCGTAAATCTCATAATTACTTTCACTTTCGTTGACATTCATTCGGTTTGTAAGAGATAATGGGGAAACAGCTGTACTTTTTTGTCGCGATTAGCGTGTTATTGTTCGTCGAAATCGCGGAAAATGCCCCGTTAGAAGGCGCCAATCAAGTGGGAAACGACAGCGAGGCCAAGTGTAAGTCGCAATGTAGAAACATATTTAATATCTATTATAAATATTAATTCTTTCAGCCGCTTTCGGGCAACCGTTCGACGAGATCGTCGTGGACACGTCGCTGATCGTCAAGAAAAAGAACCCGAATCGACAGTCGAGGAATAAAAGCAACGCCACCGAGCCGATTACGGCGTCCCGATTGAGATTCCAGCAATAAATTTTCAATCGAAATTTCCCTCTCTAGATAAGCGAAATGTGACTAAATAAAATGTAAAGGGCGGTGATATAATACACCAACAGAAAGTGAGTTAGTGAACTACAAAATGCTGTTGGGATTTTATAAATTTGACCTCTATGTCAGCTTTTTTTAATTGTAAATATTAACTGACTAATCTTGAATAAAAGTAATTTAAAATCTTGTTGTATTATGCCCGTATTCAGAGACGTCCCTTAAGTGTGAGTGGGCCCTCAAGGGTGAGTGTGAGTGAGCTTATCCGTTTCAGAGACCTCACTCACTGAGTGTGAGTGAGCAAAACTGACCCTCAACTTAAGTGTGGTTGATAGGTCCCTTGAGGGATGATTTTACTTGCAAAATTAAAAATTTGACACTATTGACATTGACATTTCCCAATACGTCTATGTTTAGTAGCATATTAATAGAATTTTCACGTAAATTTCATGAAAATAAAGTAGTTCTTACAGTTGACAATATTTGCTTGTTCTTGAAGTTATATTACAAAGTAAGGAGAAAGTACCTGTATGAAATTATTTAAAAGTTGCAAAATTATTAATGTTGTTATTTTATTTTACTACTTTTTTGTTAGTATGGAAGAGTTTGAACAATTTTTTACATTCTATTACACTATTTTCGGTTACAAGTTGAATCAAAAATAATTTCTAAATCGGTTGTCTTTACTTTGAAGTTACAACAGAAATGGTTGTTTAGTTTAGGTACAAAAATAATAGGGTTGTTATAGCAATAAAACATCTGTGTGAGATTTGGAATTTCATAATTCCTAAAATTTTCAGTTTCAAATATGAGCGCTATCTTTGGCGCATGAGTACAAACACGTTTTGTATAATTATCTTAAGTTATCGCATCAATTTCGTTATGTTACCAACTTAAATTGAGTACTCAGCTGAGGGTTACTTGAGTGAGGTTTATGAAACTCAAGTTGAGTGTGAGTGCCAAGGGTCCCTTACCTGAGTGACCCTCAGCCCTTATCTTGAGGGACGACTCTGAATACGGACATTAGAAAGCTGTTGTATTCACCTTGCGGCGCAAAAGTGAAGCTCAAAAAGTCCTCAAATCACGGAACACATTCTCTAATGCCTAAGCATAGGGAGATTCCAGACCTTAGAAATATAGGACCGTGGGAGAGACTTATCAGGAACGTCAACGTCAAAATTTCTATTCTATCACCCGATCGCCAGTTTTACCCGCACGAAAATCCTCAAAATACCCACTCTCGAGATGGCCTCCGAAGAAACCAAACCGAAAACCATCGACGAAAGCATCCTGTCCTATCTAAAGGACCACGAAGACGCCGGAGAATTCGCCCAGAAGGGCGAAACCGCCCTCGAATGGGACAGCAACGAACAAGTACCCCCCGTTCTAATCCCATTATCCTCCCCCTTACAACGCCTGTCTTACAGATGCGCTACATAATGCGCGAACTGCTGATCAAAATCAACAAACGGCTGGCGTGCAAGGAGAAATACGAAAATCTAACGCTATGGCACAACCAATACCCCCTGTTCGACATGGAAAACTTCATACCGGACTTCAACATAGGTACAATCCACCCCGATAAATAGTTCCTCGTTTAACAGCGTTTTGAGAGTGCATTGTAAAGTGTACTAAAGGACATTCGCGCTCGCTGGGCAATGACGTCACAAGCCAACCTGTTGCAACGTTGCCGGGTTGAAATGATAATCATGACGTGACAGATATATTTAATTTAACGTTATGTTTACTTTCATTGTTTAGAAATTAAAAAGGAGAAATGCATTAGGCTGCAATCCGATTGACGGGAGAGGTGTTTATTTGCAACGATTCACAAACCTCTAAAACAGAAATATACATTTAAAAAACTATTCGTAAGTTTAACATAACCTGTAAATTTCAATGTGCTGAACTATCAAAAATATTGATCAGGAATTAATCGGGAAAAAAGGTCCTACATCGTCCCGTTCTCTCCCAAAATAGGTTGAAAAATACCGAAAATCTGTCGATAAATGTACATAAACCGCACGAAAAAGTATCTAGAACGCACGAAAAACTATCTAGAACGAACGAAAAAACACAAAACCTACTCGTAAACTTGAAAAAATACAAGGAAAATCGCGCAAAAACAACAAATTGTAGTCATAACCTGTCAAAGTGTCAACTACAAAGCGCCGCTAAACATTGCGAATGTTGAGACTAAATGCACGACAACATCGCCTTCGACTTTCAACTAGGCGTCGTAAAATTCCCCTAGTCAATTGGGAGAATTGAGAATTAACATTGACACTAGGGAAATGTCGAACTGCGTGGAAATTAATGACGTCGTCTAAAAAATGACGTCATTACCTAGCGAGCGCGAATGTCCTTTATTTATGGACCATTTAGCGGGATGCAATGCAAACCACCACACTTAATAATACGCAATAATTTTATTCGAAACAAATTTACATATCACTTCGATTGCCGTTTATACATACACAAAAAATCCGCCGCAGACGACGACATGATCAAGATGCTGTCGTTCCGCGAAACCGTCCTGATCAGCGAATTGGACAGCGACCGCGACGACAGCCGCGAATGCACCCCCAACCCCATCGGCTCCCTCTGTCTCAACATCGACGGCATCCATTCGGTGCTACCCGAAGGCGTCAAGCGCACCTGCACCGACCAGGAGCTCGAGCTCGAGGTGTTGCAGACGCTCCAGCGCGCCAAACACGGTATCTACGCAATGCGATATATCCGAGCAAATGTTAAATCGCGCCATTCTCCCGTCTAGCGGCCGGTCCGTTGAGCGAGAAACCGTCGTCGAGCGGCGGCGGCGGCAAGCCGCCCCCGAGCCGCGTCGACGACATCGAGGCCGAGCTGCGCAAGAAGGTCGACGAGTTCGAGGAGACGCTCAAAATGGAGATGTACGACAACGCCTTGAAGCTGGTCGTGCACCTGTCGTCGCAGTTCACCAGCGGCCCGATGAACGGCGGCTCCCGGATCACCGCCTGGATCGACAGGAAGCTGCATACGCTGGAAGAGAAACGCACCGAGTAGGTACTAGAGAGAGTACTACGGCTTCGTTAGAGGGCGATATTCTTGCCGTTGAATCCATTAGATCTATTAACTATGGACGCGGTTTAGCACAAAGAGGTAGTGTTGTCGATGAATGAGAGTGATGCAGCTAGTTTGGGCATATGGCAATGAGAGATTGGACAATGCATTAGCCAATAGTAAGGAAGCAAAAGACCACGTGAGTTACGATTTCATATATGCAAGGTAGTTGGGGTAGAGGAGGGTAGCTTATAGTAGAATAAGGTTGATGAGTGCAGCGGAGGGTATTGTGATTTATTATTTTTTTACCGAGCAAAATTCATTTTTCAGCTGAGCCTAAATTCCCACGCATTTGCAAATACAGTTCTTATTTTGTATTGTTAATTGGAACATCCTACCTATTAGCCAGTACAGATTTTGCAATTTAAGACCTAGCTGCTTTCTCTTGTAAAAAATATGTTTCTTCCAGGTCATTCTTCTATCCAAATGGATACCAAGATATTTTACATCTTTTTGGTCCCGCCTACTTTTAGCCCAAACTAGCTCCATCTTTCACGGACCTCTATCTCTATCATTGGGAACGCTGAATAACCTCAAAATACCGATTGTGCCGCGTCCATACTTAATAGGTCTATGGTTGAATCCATATACATATAAATATATTTAAATACTTTATATTTGAATCAGATACGTGGACTTCAAGACGGACAGACAGCACATGGAGAAGTCGCTGTACGTCGGCCTGCAGCGCAGGAAGTACTATTTGAGGCACGCGTTCACGCTGAACGACGACGAACCGGTGGAGGAGCGAAAGTACTACAGCTTGGCGAAGGCGAGGAATTTGATGGGCGAAGGGGCCAATTTCGTGCTGATGCGATATTTGGCCATTACGCAGTACAAAGGGGACTTTGAATTGTCGACGACTTACATCAACGGCAACATGTGCAGGAATATTTACGTGCGTTGTGTGATCGATTTGAAAATAATGGTCGATGAAATGGGTTTTTGTTGGTTTTTTTAGGAATGCACAGGGCCTTTGAAGGGCACCGTCAACGGGCAACAGATCGATATATGCAAAATATACAGGTGTATTATAGAAGAGTGCGGTTTGCAGCATTCCTCTTGCACCACGATGACCATTCACGGTAGGTTTACTAAACTGCTCCACAAATGTTAAGGAAGTTCGCAAATATTGGGATTATTTTAAAAGTTACAGACTTTTTGATCACCAAATTTTCAAATATGCGAAATTAAATGTTTTCTCTCATATCTTAGTGGATTTTTTGCCGCTACCTCTACAATTCATACTAAATTTGGCGAACAAAAAACCTGCAAGTTTTAAATTAATCTCAATATTTGTGAACTTCCTTAACTTTTGTGGAGCAGTTTATTTTAAGTACTTTATACAGGGTTTTATATCGGGCTATATCGGGTTATATCGGGCAAACGATGAATGTGAAAAAATACCGGTTATTTTCTAACAGTCGTTACTGCACCTCTTTACCGAAAAATCGATTCCCACCTCTATTAAACTTCTGTCATTAATGTCAATTTTGATAAAATTCGTTTTTGTATCATCGAACGCATCTTAAAGTGCCACTTATAGTATTTATAGAGTAGAAGGTAAAATTCCAGCGTGATCCAAAAATGTTTAATATATCGCACGATTTAGGTAGGATCGTTACGCAAGAATGGGACGGTTGCAGAATCATCATCAACATGAATCCGTTGCAACACATAAAACCCGGAACGCCCAGCCCGTACGATCGGCTGTGCCTCAACCAAACATGGTACGACGATTTGGAGTTGTTCTCCAAATATTTAGACGTCAAGGTATAGAAATCCAATTAATCGAAATAATTAGTACTAAAACTACTATCTCTTTTGCAGACCGACGTCGAATTGAACATGAAAACCTTCATAGCCGATCATCCGGAGGTGAAGAACATCCTCGCCGATTACCTCAACAACATTTTGCTGTTGAAGCCCGACAACATACTCACGTTCACCATAAATTTCTTCGAAAGTTTGTGTCCCACCAAATTGGAGAAATTAAATCAGTTCAATTGAGCAATCGCGTCGCTCATTGCAGGACCTTAGAAAGCAGGTTAAAAAAAAAGACTACCCTTGCCCTGCTCTACCCCGCGCCTTTAGTTAGTAGTAGTTAGTAGAGCGTTCGCGCTACTCACGTTATATCTGATCGGTGGAGTAGCATATGCCGCATTTGGTGCGATTGTTCGGTATACATTGGACGTGGAAGGCGTGTTTGCAATTGAACACCGTTATGTTGGCGCACCTAGATGGATCTACAAACGAATTTTATTAGTTCCCTATCTTGTATTTCCTATTCAGCGCCTCTGTTTAACTTTAGAGTAACTCTAAAGTCGCGTCTCGAGTCCCCAGTTACTCCATAACAACAATGTAAATCTGTCAAGTTAAAGACGCGACTTTAGAGCCACTCTAAAGGTAAAAAGAGGCGCTGAATAGGGGATATTATCTCTAGGTACCTCGCTCGATGAGCTTCCTGTGACAGGCCCCGCACACGGCCTCGTTGGTCAACGCGTGGCCCTTTTGATGGACTTTGACCAGCCGCTTTTGCAGGTTGAAATAGTCCGATACCAGGATTTTCTTGCAGCCTTCTTGCACGGACACCTGATTCGAGAAAAACGAGTTTAGTTTCGATCTAATATCATCAAAAGAAACTCCGAATTTACCTGCAAATTGTATTGGTTCAACATCTTCACCAACGAATTCTTCAAGCCGGGTATCTGGGTGTCTTTTTTTATCTTCAATATCAGACTGGTCGGGTCCACGTAAGTACCGATGCTTTGCAACAGGAACGTTACGAATTCTACAAAAAAAAAATACGAGAATATTGTATTGTAATGACGTCACTGAGTTTTGTGGGCCTTTAAGATGCGTTCGATGATACAAAAACGAATTTTAACGAAATTGACATTAATGACGGAAGTTTAATAGAGGTGGGAATCTAGAGGTGCAGAAACGACTGTTACAAAATAACCGTTATTTTTCACTTTTGGGTGGGTCGAAGAAAGCGAAACTCACCGGGCGTATTGACGCATCGATTTATAAGATCTTCCCACAGATCGGGATCGTCGTGTTCCTGGCAAAATGCTATGGCGTGTTGCATATCTTTGAGCTCGTTTACGATCAACGCTAGGGCTTCTTTGGTATCTCCTATTCTACCTGAAATAACGCGCCAATTTCGAACGGTTAATCGGACGATCGATCGATCGAAGATATATACGAAACTAACCGAGTAAATACACCATTTCGGGATAATATTTTTGCTTCTGGCAGATATCCAGGGCTTCTTGTATGGGGTAATGATCGGATTTCTTCAAAAACGGCAGCAATTTCTCCCTGGCGAATACCGCGTACAGTCTAACGAGATCCTTGTGGTATTTACCTTTGGGGTTCTTCTTATCGTACTCGTCCAAATACTAAAAAACAAACGCATTTAATGTAAGGAATAAACTACTACAGAGATAATTTATGGTACCCTGTAAAGGTGCAATTCGTTCCTTCTCAATTTCTCCACTATCTTATCGGACGATATCGTATTCTTCTGTAACAACAACACGACAGTTTGTTTGTAATCCAAATCCATCAGATCTAAAAGCATATCGTGTATAGCGCTGTATAAATTGTGCTTTTGGATCAACGTAAAAACGTCCTTATGCTCTAATCTAAAAAAAAAAAAAAATAATCGATCAACCCATCGATTTACAACAAGCACAATCCCGCTCACTTGAGGTACATGGATAGGCTCTTGTCGTACTTCTTCTCGTAACTGTACAAAATCGCCAGCGCCTCCAAATAGACGTTCTTGTCGATCTCGCAGTTGAGCAAATGCTCCAAAACGGCGTTGATGACGGCCGCTATGTTGTACAAGCCGGGATTCCACTCTTTCACCAGGCTGAGGAAACCCTGCGAGTCCAATTTCAGGTACTCGTACAATATCATTTCGTACACGTGCGGATTCAGCTTGGATTCGATCGCTCGAGGTATGTAAGGGCTGACCGATCTGAAATTATTTATACGCTTTACATTTGTATTAAATAGTAGAATTTGCAGTCGATTACCTCAACTGGTGTACGCTGGCGAACTTGTAGATCTGATCCTCCCACAGGACGGGGTTCTGGCCGAATATCCTCAAGCACAATCGACCGGCGTTATCGTACGATCCTCTGCTGAGCAAAAAATCCAAATAATCTATGCCCACCGATTGAACTGTATGCCTTTGGATGTCCCTAACGTTGTTTTGCATGAGAATATCCAACGCCTCGTCGAATTTGCTGCAAACGAAACCAATGAAATTTCCATATTAAAAACCAATACACATACTTGTGCTGTATGAACCACTGTATTCGATCGTCCAAATCGTACGGACTGGCCACCACGACATCTTTAGGAGCCACTATGAAAAATCTGTTTTCATCTAATAACACGTCCAAGTGGTAATCGTTCACGCCGTACTCCTCGTAACCCCGTAACGATAGGCTATCGGTGCAAATGTCGGTGTAATCGTTGTCTCGGTACTCGACTATGTACAGTTGAGGCCTCAGCGATTTCTGATTCTCGTCCAATTCCTTGGGGAATCCCAACAGGACCAGCTGTTGATCGAGCGGGGCTATTCCGCTGATGTAGAACTCGGTTTGAAAGGTGGACACTAAAATTTTTAAGCGATTAACGAGGGATCTGCGTGTTTTTTTGCTTATAATTTACCCGGATCGACCAAATATTCGGGTAAATCTCTGTTCGCTAGTTCAATGCTACTTCGTTTCCTTATCACGCACACTCTAACGGTGTCTACCCAACCGATTAGGAGAGTTCTGCTGTCGGCCCATCGGAGATTGCAGCGAAACTTCTCGATAGATCCGCTGAATAGATTACAAAGTTAACGATGGTTTTTTAACAAAAATGTAATTATAATACCTAGGATGTTCTTCCCATTTGATTAAACCCAACGAACATCTGGCTGTCATATCGTAAACTCGTACGCCGATGTTACTCGACCACGCTAGGAAGTTCTCTCCCCAACAGAGGCTTCGAACTAACCCTTCGCTATCACAAAGTACAGTGGATTTTAGGTTACCGAGGAATGTGCGTTCGTAAAGCGTCAGTTTATCGTCGCCTAAAACAATTATAAATTAACGATTATACTAAATTGTGTCGCTCGATTATGTACCGGTAATAAATCGTTTGTTCGTTCCGAATTTAAAATAACAAGGATCTAAAGCTATGGTTTTCACGAGCCTTCCTAAATTGAGGTGAACGTTGTTTTCCTTGGAAAACAAACTGTGTATGAACACTCTTCCATCGTCTGAACATGTAGCAATGAATTCTCCATTGGTATCGATGGAAATGTGGTTTACGCTGACAGCGTGAGCCTTCAAGTCTTTGCCTTCTATGCTGTTACCTTGGTAGTCCAGAATGTGGATCACTCCCCAGTGGGATCCCAGGCATATGAACTGAAAAACGAATGCCATCGGTCGAGTTGTTAGGTTAGAGGAACCCGCCCCTTTCGGTGCTTACTTTTGGGTGTACGGCGATGCATGTCGCCGACGAGGTTAACAGGATCTTTTGCACGTCGTTCGAGAGTCTTACGTATTTCAATTTCGGTTCGATTTCATCTTCGGAGCTCTCCGTATCGCTGTTGTTGCAATCCTGCAACGAAAAATTAACCTCTAAAATATGCTGGGATCGGTTTGGTACGAAGTAAATTACGCTTACGTTGAGATTAACGTCAGACATTGTTTATTGTTAAAGTAAATTCCTCAGGATTTAGCATTTTTCTAAACGAAAATAAAAAATATTGATGATTCATAAACTTTTGACGTTTGGTTAAACTTATCTGTCAAATGTCACAAATTCTTCTTTTTTTACAACTATTTACTAAACTTTTTAGTGCTATAAAGTTGCTTAAAGACCCTCTTTAAAGTAAATAATATCCATAATTACTTCACAAAGACAATGTCAAGTTAAAGAGACATTGATAAATGATTAAAATGATTGATTAGGGTTAAAAGAAGCGCTGAATACGGGCTGTAACACAGTCCAAGTCCATAACATTTTACAACAAATTGACACATGACATAATTGACAGTTGCATCAAAACGTAAATAATAATATATATTTTACTCGTTTAGTTTTAGAATAAACATTTTATTTGAATAAGCAGCGATGTCCGAACGAAAAGTTTTAAATAAATACTACCCGCCGGACTTCGATCCATCGAAGATCCCCCGCATGAAGTTGCCCAAAAACAGGCAATACACAGTGCGACTGATGGCCCCTTTTAACATGAGATGCGCCACTTGCGGCGAATACATATACAAAGGAAAGAAGTTCAACGCCAGGAAAGAGGACGTGGAAAACCAGGACTACCTCGGCATCCGAATATACAGGTTCTACATAAAATGTACGAGGTGTTTGCAGGAGATTTCGTTCAAAACCGATCCCCGGAACACCGATTACGAAATCGAAGCGGGCGCCACGCGGAACTTCATGGCTCTGAAGCTGGCCGAAGAGCAGGCCATTAGGGAAGAAGAGGAGGCCAAGGAGGAGGAAGCCAACAATCCCATGAAGCTGTTGGAGAATCGCACGAAGCAGTCCAAAAACGAAATCGAACTGCTCGAGTCGCTCGAAGAGCTGAAGGACTTGAACAAGAGGCAACAGGTGGTCGATTACGACACGATGCTGTTGGCCTACGATACGAGCATAAGCCAAAGGGAACGCGAGGAAAAGCTGCAGCAACTGGACGAAGAATACATCAAGACCGTGCAATTTTCCAACAAATCGAAGAGAAAACTGGTAGCGGAAGAGGAAGTCATTGAAGTCATCGAACCGGAGCAGAAGCTCCCCAAGCCGGACTGTTCCAATTCCAAACCGACATCATCGATGTGGACTAAAAACGAAACGACTGTAACAAAGAAAAAATCTTTATTAGGTCTAGTCAAAACCAGTAAAGACAAAGTAAACAAGTGCTCAGATCCTCCTCGAACGGCCACGGCCGGTCTATCTCTTCTATCGGCTTACTCGGACAGCGAAAATAGTGATTAAAATTAAAACAGGACTGCGTGTCGCTTAAATAAAAGTCTCAAATAGGTCCACCAATCGTTTGATTTCCTTTATGCAAACAGACAAGCCTTCCACGACTTTCATGCTCTGCGTAACCTCCTCAGCCTTGGCCATCATCGTGTACATGCTTTTTATGTTGGAATCCATGGTGTCGCTCATCTTGGACACCGCGTTTCTGTATACATCTACATTGTCGGCTGTGATGGAGGAGACCGAGTGGAGTATTCCGCACAAGTTTTCAATCAAGCTGTCCACCGAAGTGGCCATTCGATGGGCCTCGGCTTCTAGATCGTTGATAAGGGCCGAGTCCAATTGCCCTACTTGAGGTACTAGTAGTTGTCTGTAGAGAGGGCTGGGGGTGCAGGCCCTGCCCGGCGCCTCTTTCTTCGATACGGGGCTGGATAGGCGGATTTTTTGTTCGATTTCTTCTGCGACGAAGTGGGTCATGTTGCCTTCGATGTGCACGGAGCCTTCTAGATTCAGGGGTTTGGGATTGGTGTACGGTAGGGTGGCTGGTCGTTTGATTTCGTCGAGTTTCGGTAGTTCTACGTCGGGGCTTTGGCCGGATTTCGATGAGATTTCGCTATAGGATTGCGTCATTTGCTGGGAAATCTCGTCCTCGTCCAGGTCCCCTTCGCCTTCTATTTGAGGTTTTTCTTCGGGTTTTTCCAAGGAATCCATCTGATATGCGATAATGAACTCGATTTTATCAACAAATTTTGTTATGTTGCTGTCAATGTCATCGAAATTTTTAGGTTAAATGACATTTGACGTCAACTTCGTTTTTTATAGCCTTTTTTTTAATAGTTACACAGGTAAAGGTGTTAGTGACATTTATGACATTGACAATTTGACATTAGTAAAAACTGTCATATTTATTTGCAACATTAATATACATAATTTTATGAACAATTTATTCAATAAATTGTTTAGAACTTATTCAAACGCGACTTCCGAACGTTCCACAACGCTTTAAATTATTATATTTATCGAAGAATTAAGAAAAATTCCTCTATACAGAAAAACAAGTCGATAAAATCATGTAAGTACCCACTTCGAAAAACCCATCAATAAACCGCTAACAAATGGTTCCAATTCCAGGCGAACGCCTACGAAAATCTACTAAGTACTAAGAGAAAATGTACTATAAACTATTTTAACGTGTTATTTATTCCATATATACAAAAAAAACGCGAAATTTCAATACACACTTCCGATAAAAATCCTCTAAAGATCAGCGCAAGTTTTCCACGAAAATATCGATTAAGAAGCAATACTAGAATGTTAATTAAATCATACACGCCTGAACATGTCATCTTTTAACCAACGTACCAAGTACTTAAGAGAAACGGTCGATTCATCATAATATCTCGGTACAAACGTGCGGAAAGAACCATGATGGAATACGAATACACCTTATTCAAAACGGAATCGGATTTCCGGGAGCGATGCTGCGGAGGCAGCCTGTGGTGCATCAGGGACGTGTGCGGCATCGTCTGCGCGATCCTCACCTGGCTGTTGATCCTCTACGCCGAGTTCGTGGTCATGTCGGTGATACTGGTGCCCAATTCCCACACGGTATTCGGCGTCGTCAACGTGGTGGTGTTCCAGTTCTGCGCCTTCCTGGCCGTCACCTCGCATTTGAAGACCATGTTCACGGATCCGGTGAGCACAAACCACCTCTATAGAGGCCCCGAAACGAACCGTTTGTTCATTCCAGGGCGCCGTTCCGAAGGGCAACGCCACGAAGGAGTCGATCAAGCGGATGGGGTTCCGCGAGGGCCAGGTCATATTCAAGTGCCCCAAGTGTTGTAGCATCAAACCGGACAGGGCGCATCATTGCTCCGTGTGCCAGAGGTACGATTAAACCTAACGATGGAAATGATAACGTAGCCTGTAAATTGTTGTTTGTAGATGTATAAGGAAAATGGACCATCATTGCCCTTGGGTGAACAATTGCGTGGGCGAAAATAACCAGAAATACTTTGTGTTGTTTACGGTGAGTTGTTATTCGGAATAGAAGGTCGCTCGTGTCCTCTACGTCTGCTATTCGAGCATGTATTTCTTCGTTTTTCTAGTTTTACATCGCCGCGATATCGCTGCATTCCCTCTTCCTGGCGATCGACACGTTCCTGACGTGCATCAAGCACGAGTGGAAGGAGTGCACGACTTATTCGCCGCCGGCGACGGTGGTGCTGTTGTTGTTTCTCATGTTCGAAGGGCTGCTGTTCTTCATATTCACGACGGTGATGCTGGGCACGCAGGTGCAGGCCATTTGGAACGACGAGACGGGCATCGAGCAATTGAAGAAGGAGGAGGCCAGGTGGACGAAGAAGTCGAGGTGGAAAAGCATCCAGGCGGTGTTTGGGCGGTTCTCGTTTCTGTGGTTCTCGCCGTTCGCCACGCCGGTGGCTAAATATAAGAACGAAAGTGATTTGTATGCTGTTTAATTGAAGCGTTATGACCTATTTATTGATCGGAAAATAAAGTGGATTCTCTTTTTTTTTTTTTAGGGTACGTTGTTGGTTTTTGGATTTTTAATTCCTCTTCTTACTCTATTCCCCTTTGGTTTATTGTGGAACGCTACGATTTGTTTTGAACACTCTAGGGGGCAATATTCTATTTAATTAAACGACGAATTTTACGTTTATGGTTTTTTTTACCGTTATCAAAAATTAAATTACATTTTTAATTAAAGTACAATATAAGTTACAGTTTTCTATATGTTATATAAAATAAAAATGTCGTGCGTGTTTCGTGTTTAATGCTACAACCGTTTTTGCACGTTCCGAGTATTCGTTAATTCAGACTTTTATTAATAAATTTTTAATAATTAATTAACATGATAATTAAAAAAAAAAACAAAAAAATTAGACAGATAATAAAAAAAGTAGAGAGTAATAGTCAAGGAAAAACGCGGACAAGCAGGAATATAAAGGGATTTAACAATTTTAACGTAGGGAAGAGGGATTAATAGATTCATCAAGTATACAAAAAAAAAAGAAACACCTCTACATCCGCTGTGTTAGGGAGAGAAATAGAGAGACAACTAGAGAGGCGGCAGGGCCCACAGCGTTGCCGTTTTATCGGCGGACGTCGACAAAAAGGAGAATTCCTCGGGATGCCAGCGGGCCGATATGACTTTATCCTGGTGCTGAGCCACCACTACGCTCCTCAACGGCAACGTCAAATCGCCTAAAAATGCAAAAAAAAAACAAAATTTAAATAACGTAAAATAACTGCAATATCCAACCCCAATTAAATAGCGAAGCCAATACCCTTCGAGGGCCCAACTCAAAGCGACTCGAACTCGCTACTCCACCGAGCCTCAAACCAAACAATGCTCGAGTCCATTCACAACGTTCTTTCCCGCCAATTGCCCGGCCAAAACGCTCAAATTCTCGAGTCCATTCCCAACGTTCTTTCCCACCAATTGCCCGGCCAAAACGCTCACATTCTCGAGTCCATTCCCAACGTTCTTTCCCGCCAATTTGCCCGGCCAAAACGCTCAAATTCTCGAGTCCATTCCCAACGTTTTTTCCCACCAATTTCCCAGCCAAAACGCTCAAATTCTCGAATTCATTCCCATCAATTAACCCCATCAATCAACTCACCTTGCAAATCGGTCAACACCAATTTGTTATCGTAGCCGCCCGACAGCAGATAGTAGGCCGAAGGGGAGAACCGCACCGATCTGACGTCGGCCGTGTGGGGCACGAAACGTTGCACGCCCTTGCCGCCCCTGATGTCGTACAGCGCGCACGCGCCGTCCTCGTGGCCCGACACCAACAGCCTGCCCGTCGGATCGACGCACACCGCCGACGCCGGCGACGCCCAACCGGTGCGGCCGCCGGGCGACACGACGTCGACGCAGCCGCGCGTCCTCAGGTCCCAGAAGCGGATGGTGCGATCGTGCGAGCCGCTCACGAACATGGCGCCGCCCCACGTGTACAACGCCAGTATCTGGCCTGGAAAATTTAACACGAATTACGCTCTATACAGCAAGTGTAAATAACTGTACAGATTGTTAGATTTAGCGCGGAGCAAAAGAAGATAGAAAGAGAGAATATTAGAAGAAGCCACTCCCGACGTAGCGAACGGAGGGGAGGTTCGATCGATAAGCGATCGAAACAAGCGATTTTTTATTCTGTTTTTGTTTCGCTAACGAATTTCGTATTGGCTATGCCGTAGCGAGATTGCTCCGCGTTAGATCTAACACTCTGTATACTATACAATTTTTTTGTTATACTTATCCTACACCCTACTCTAATTCAATAGCTACTCCAGTAATAGTGCTCTATTACAATCGTTGGATCTACTCTAGTACAAACAATTTTTTGTTCTATTACATGCCTTTACCCTAATCTCGCCCTAATACAATAGTTGCTAATCCATCTAGCCGTAATAATTGCGCTAGCACTAATCACTACATACTTATCCTATTACTCCAGTAATAGTGCTCTATTAGAATCGTTGGCCCTACTCTAGTACAAACGGTCGTGTGTCTGTTACTCTATCGTACTCTAGCCACTAACATAAACTAGGTCATATTTAGGAGGTAGATTATGGACTAACCGGTGTGTCCGCTGAGGGCCTGGAAGGGCGTGCCGGTGGCGCAATCGGTCACGTAGATTTTACAATCGCCGGCGCCGCCGCTGATCAACAGGCTGGAGCCGTTCGAGCGGTCCTCGAGGAAGCAGAGATCGCGAACGGTGCCGTCGTGCGCCGTCAATTCGACGTCGTCGCCGTCCAGTTCGCCCTTTTGGCAATCGAATCGCATCAATTTCACCGTTTTGTCGTTGGAACCGGTGGCGAGGAGATCGCCGACGGGCGACCAGGCCAGACAGTAGACGGAGCCCTTGTGGTGTTTGGTGCGCTTGAAGAGCACCGTCGGTTGGTAGGGGGCGCTTCGTTCACTAAAAAAAAACGAATAATTTTAGTGAATAGTCGATAAAAAGCTTATTTTTCTACAAAAGAATAATCTTGAACAAAAGAAATTCAAACTGGTAATGCAGGAATCTGTAATGTCAATACTATTGAAAATGGAGTGTAATCAAAGTAACAACTAATACAAATAACAAAATAAGTGTTATAAATAAAATTTTGAATGTTCTAACAAATAATGAATGCATTTTCTCGTTCCATTTCACTTATTTTTATCTAAAAACAACGTTTGTGATCTTTAAAAAAATTGAACTGTCATTGATGGTAATGCAGGAATCTGTAATGACAATTTTATTCAAAAGAGATTAATCAAAGTAACAACTAACGCAAATAACAAAATAAGTGTTATAAATAAAATTTTAAATGTTCTAACAAATATAAATGCATTTTCTCGTTCCATTTCACTTATTTTTATCTAAAAACAGCGTTTGTGATCTTTAAAAAAATTGAACTGCCATTGATGGTAATGCAGGAATCTATAATGACAATTTTATTCAAAAGAGACTAATCAAAGTAACAACTAATTGCAAATAACAAAATAAAATTTAAATGTAATAACAAATAATAAATGCATTACTTTATCCTTCAATTTCTCTTATTTTTGATTAAAAAACGTTCGTTTTCTTGAACTGTCAATGCTAGTAATCCAGGAAGCCGCAATGACAAACGTTATTTAATAGAGTTGGCGAGTAACAAAACCGACAGCAACAACGGTGACAAAATAACAGTTACAAAATACCGATTCCGTTACCTGATTTCGTTCAATTTGGGGTGGGCGCATATGCGCAGCGTCTTCGAATTGGAACCGACGGCGTACAACTCGCCGCTGGGATGGAATTCGGCGCACCGTATGGCCTGGGCGTCCTCCAGCGTCGTGACGGGCACGAATTTCGATCGGTTGGCGTCGGCGTCGCCGCCGCGTTGCGACGTCGCCGATGCGGCGGCCGTTTTCTAAATGCGAAAAAAACCGATTATATTCGAACATGTGTAATGTAATTTTTTGAATGTTTTGTAGAAACAATTTTGTTGTAATGTAACTGATGATAAGGTAAACTATCGAATCTTGGGTAGCGTTGCATATTGGTAACAGTTGGTAACAATGGATATATATTCGAAAAGGTTGCAACAAAATGGCGATATTCGATGAAGATAAACGCGATTTTATATAGGTTGTTATTTAATTGAATGCCGATACTTCAGGATGTGAATATTGCTCGAAAATTAAGAGGTTTAGTCCGGTATACAATTAATTAACACCCTGTATAGGTATAAATATCTAAGAAATTCGCTTTTGCATGAATAGAGGAAACGGTACATTATCAGTCGACGACCTTGCTCTCTCGAGAGAAAGTGAAAGAAAAAGAACAGAAAGAAAAAAAAAACGCTAATAATAAGCAGAAGAAATTCCGGTCTCGAAAACAAACGAACTCGATGACCCGGTTTTCACTGATCCGCGTCCGAGCCAACTGTCTTTATATATTTTTATAAGTAATTTATTTATTTATATTATTCAAATTAATTCGATTCGACGCGCGCTCGATTCAATTAAGTATACATTTATTTCTATATTGCATTTATAGTCGCACGTATTTTCGAATATACCGGGCAATTTCACGGATTTTCTATTTCTTTTCACGCCCATTTTCAGAAGTAAAAAAAAAAGAAAACGCCAATTCACAGATGACGCGAAATATCGTTAATAATATTAATAATAATAAGTGTATGTAACGTAATAATACAAACGAATATGACCGAATACTACAGCCAGCAGAGGCCACCAGTATACAGTGAGGACCAAAACGTACAAGCAGTACAAGTAATCTAACCTTAAAATCGTCAAAACCGCCCCCGCCGCCCCAACTGTCCCTCCTGCCCGGATCCCAGGAGTTCCTCCTGATCGCGTCCAACGAATCCGTCGACCAATTGCGGGAGTTCCGGCGGCCCGTCAGGCCGACCGGCGGCGGCGCCAGCAGGTTCTTGTTGATCGAGCCCATGGAGGAGCGCCTGTCGCCGCCGCCGCCGTTGTTGCGCAGGCTGCTCGAAAATTGGCTGGGATGCTCCACGTCTCGGCGAGGCGTCTGATGGGGAATCACCAGCGAGCCGCGTCTTTTTCAATCAATTACAACCAATTTATATGTATAGACGATTTTCGTCGAGTGTCATCGCGTAGGCGGCGGTGGATTTTCTATTTTCTTTTCCGATTCGGACGAGTGCAACCGAAATTGTCATATACCAACTGTCAAATGACGAGCTAAGTGTCAACTGTCAAATTACATGTAGAAACTGTTAAATCACATATACCAACTGTCAAATGTCAAATTTAATGTCTCAAAATGGAGAATTCGTTGAATTAGTTTTTTTTATGATAAAATATGTATTTATCTTACTCTTCCCTAACAATCCAGCTCAAAAAAAGCAACTCTAACGCTCTAGAATAGAAAATCCAACGCCTACTAACAAACATCCCACGTGGAAATCTACCTCTATTTTCTCTCTCTATCTCTCTCTATCTCTCTCTCTCACCTTCCGTTTCCGGCGTAATCGAGCTCGCTCCTGCGGCTCGCCTTTCTACCCCCGTGCACCTCGCAATCGGCGCCCACCTCTACAGTCACCTGGGGCACGGGGGGCGCCGCGACGGCGACGCCCTCGTCGGCGAAGAGGGCGTCGAGACGGCCGGCCGCAGACGCGTGATCCAGCGCGGCGCACATTTTCCCGAAAATCACACAAAAAAAAAAACACACACACCAACTGTGACAAAATAACCGGTTATTTTTTCACGCGTTCCGAGCTAAAAAAAACAAACAAGGTTTTATATAGGAGGCGTCGCGCGTGGAAAATTCTACGCGACATTGGAATCGCCTTATTTATATATTATACAAAGCGTTTCGCATCAAGTGCGCAGTTCGTTCGTCATTTGTTTTTCCAAAACGAAGAATGAAAAAAAAAACAACAAAATAACAACGATCTTCGCCGTTAATGGAATTGTCGCGGCCCACGCCGACTGCGATTTTCGTCGCAATATACTTTTTTTTTATTCCCGACAAATGGATTATAATAAAAAAAAACACACACACACACACATTACATCATTTCTGATGAAAATGACGATAACGAAGATCAAACAATGACGAATATCGAATAGTTACCGAAACTCCTTTGTATATTACTCTGTACGCATCGCATAGAATTTTCCACGAAAAATCCCTTTTCCCGGCGTTTCCTCGAGGAGAATTTTGCGCGATTCCGAACGAAAAATCCCACGAAACTGTTTCGGTTTCTCGATCGGTGTTCGATCGAGCGCGAAAGAACCGTTACTGGTGCCCCCGGAGAGTGTTCACTTATTCACTAACTCACTAACTCGGTACAGAGAGAGAATATAATATTACTCGGGCGTTCGGTTACTATACTTGGCCAAGCGAGCGTACCGACGGTACCATTAACTGGGTACTCGGCGTAGCGGCAACGGCGAATATATACCGGCCTATAAATCGTTCTTTTAACGTTTCACTTTCTTCGTTTTCCGTGAAATTCAAGAGGAATCGGCAACGTTCGATTGGTCGAGCAACAGGTAATCGTAAATCGACAGGTAGCGGCGTTGCCGATGCTCGAATCATTTCCGGATAAGTCAGGATTTCGTTAAATGACGGTTGACTTTAAGGCGATTGTTTCGCTTGACAGCTAATGTCACTATATTAAAAGCGACTGTCATTACTTGACAGCAAATGTCACTATTTTGAAAACAACAGTCATTTTTAGACAGCTAATGTCACTATTTTGAAAGAAACTGTCATTTTTTGACAGCTAATGTCACTATTTTAAAAGCGACTGTCATTACAGGACAGCAAATGTCACTATTTTGAAAGCAGCTGTCATTTTTAGACAGCTAATGTCACTATTTTGAAAGAAACTGTCATTTTTAGACAGCTAATGTCACTATTTTGAAAGCCACTGTCATCGCTTGACAGCTAATGTCAATATTTTAAAAGCGACTGTCATTACTTGACAGCAAATGTCACTATTATAAAATCATCTGTCATCGCTTGACAGCTAATGTCACCACTTAAAAAATACTGTCATCGCTCGATAGCTAATGTCATTATTTGACAGCTAATGTCATCTATTTTGTCATTGTCTGACATCTAATGTCATTATTTTGAGATCAACTGTCGCTGCTTGATAGCAATTTTTTTCCATTTTTTATTTGGATAAATTAATATCTACGCATTGGCAACACTGTGTAGTATCCACCTACCGTTAGTAGTACCGGTGATAGAGTAAATACGATTCAATTTAAAGCCCAAAATAAACGGTAAAAATACTTAAATCGCACTAAGAAAACTGAAACGGGGTATTTTCGCAATTTGTTACCAACTGTTCATGATGCTAACGAAACCTTATTACGAGAGTTTTTTTGGGACGTCCGGTATATATATGTAAAAACAAATTTCCTATTGGGATACTAATCGCCGTGTAAAATCGCATAAAAAATTCCATTTCCATCGCGATCCCTCTGGAGGCTACGCGAAGCGCACTTTTCGTAATTGGCCTTCTACTAGGTGCGTCATCCGATACACAAAGCACGAAAAGGAGAATGAATACGATGAATGGAAACAAATCGAGCGAGTACAAGGAATTTTTTATAAACTTTTTCACCGCTCTATGGCTTACGAAAAACTATAAAAATTTAACTAGCATTAATCCCACTCCTGATTACGCTATACAGGGTGTTCCTAAACATCTTGTGCGTCTAAAAGGGGGCGATTCCTTGGCTTATTTTATGACTAAAAGTTCGTATAAACTTAGGTCCGTAAACGTTTCGTTACTGATCTACAGAGCGTTGAAATTTCAAGATTTTTTTTGTTTCTTTTTTAGAGCTCTTGCAGTTTTTGAGATATTTAGCTCAAACTAGGTATAGGATATAGGGTATAGAATATAATTTGAGTAGGAGAGGGTCACTTTTAACATTTATTATAACGTAATTTAATAATTATTATTTAGGGTTTTTGTTATGCAAAATAAATCATTTGTACAGAAAATCATTTTTAATTTTTTTCTCGATAACGGTCACAGAAACAGTTTAAACACAGAAATTTTGTACTTTAGAATCTACCAGCGGCGCACAGCAAAAAAGTTCGGGGGAAAAAAGGGTACATGACCCCTGAAAAAATATCACCCTGTAGAATTCAACAACCATCTAATATAACCAATAATGTGTGCCCTATAAAGCAATCTACATTCAAAATTTGAGCTAAATATCTCATAAAGTGCAGGAGCTACAAAGAAAAAACCAAAAAAAAAACACCCTGTAGATGTTTATATGAACTTTTAGTCATAAAATAAGACAAGGAATCACCCTGTATAGTACGAACCGCATGTAGTGAATTCAATTTACTCAGTTACTATTTGCATAATTAAAAGACGCCGAATTAGATGAATTTAGCGTTTTAATTTCGCACTGTATATATTCTTTAAACAAAGCGAGTTTAGAAAGCGTAATAGGAAATGTGATAAAATTTAACCGTATTTCGGAGACACCCTGTATATTCGGTCGAGTCGCCTCGACCTCGTGTTTGTTCTCCTTTTACGTTAGGTAAATAAATCGCATAGTATGCCATGCATGGAATCCTTTAATAATTCACATGGACGGGTAAACAGACTGAAATCTTTTTCGTGTCCGATGAGAAAAATAAAATGCTATAAATTCCTTGCGAAAACGATACATTAAAATCGGCTTTACGCGTTTAGATGCGTAAAAACGGAAATTTCCAAAAAAATGCTACTTTTTCTTTGAACGGCAACGCTGCTCAAAAATTTAAAATATACAGAAAAGTGCAAATCTGTTTTCTACGAGTTGAACAGAGGAGGATTATAAAGATAACAGTTGGTTAGAATAAGAAAGTTGGATTGCAATTCCACTACTAATTTTTTTTGCACTCAAATTTTGCACATTTTTATTTCCAATTTGCACTTATCTGTATGTAAAATAAACAAATGTACACTCACCGAATCGGCAAATTTTGAAACTCCTTCGCCAGATCCCCTAAAGAAAAAATAAAATGTTAAAATCGCCATAATAAAAAGACACAAAAAAATAGTTGAAACAAATTTATATGAATGAAACCTATACAGGGTGTCCCGCATAAGAACAGACATAGAGTACAGGGTGTTAAATATATAATATTATTATTATATTTAAATAAATGAGGATTTAAAAAATAATTTTAGTTTTTAGAAAAAACAGTGGGGTACAATTTTTTTTAAAACACATTCAATTATGATAGAAAAGTTATTTTTTCTTCTAAAATTTTAACACCCTGTAGCTCGAAAACTAAGAGATTTAGAACATACTTTGATATAAACTTTTCTTCTTAAAATCATGCAAATATTCACATCCTGAAGTATCGGCATTCAATTAATTAACTCCCCTACACGCCCGCGCTTTCTTATGGGGGACACCCTGTATACAGAACCGTCTAAAAAAATTAAAAAAAAAAACATTTACCTCAAATTCGCCCCGTTGACGTTACTAGGCGACTGAGATCTCGTCGAGAAAGTACCGTTTAATTTCCTGCAAAAAAATAGAAGGAAAAAAAATTAAAATAAAATCGAGACAAAAAAAAAATAAAATAAAACCAATCGAAATCGTAAAAATACCTATTGTGCAATCGACACGAACTCTTATCAACGTAATTCGATACGCTAATCAACCCGTGCTCGTTCAATTTCGCCCTTACGGGGGGCACCATAAATCTACCGTAGTACATTTTATGTTATTTTTTTTTCCGGAAAATCCGTCGGGAAATCGCCCATCTTACGATCGAGGAAAACGCCTCGTTACTAGCTTATGTATAAAAAAAAATAACGATAATAATAACGAGAGAGATCAAGAGTGCCCGGCCCGATTCGCAATTGTTTTCCGAACGCCTACGGCGATGCAATTATGCAATTACGCGGCTCCTTATAAGGGAATTTCGATTCATTAAAATTGTGACAAAGCGCAATTGTTGGTGCTTTTTTTTTAAGTCGCAGTAAAAAAGGATGAGTGGAAAATGTGGAAAATGTAAAAAAAGAGGAAAATAACGAGTAAAATGAGTGAAAAATGAGGAAAATGACGGGTAGAAATGAGTGAAAAATGAGGAAAATGACGGGTAGAAATGAGTGAAAAAAAATTGTAAAAACTGAGTCAAAAAGGAGGAAAAAAAAACGAGTAAAATGAGTGAAAAATAAGAAAAATAACGAATAAAATGAGTGAAAAATGAGGAAAATAACGAGTAAAATGAGTGAAAAATGTGGAAAGTGACGTGTAGAAATGAGTGAAAAAAATTTGTAAAAGCTGAGTCAAAAAGGAGGAAAAAATGAGGAAAATGACGGGCAAAAAAATGAGTGAAAATGAGGAAAATGACGGGTAGAAATGAGTGAAAAATTTTTGTAAAAACTGAGTCAAAAAGGAGGAAAAAATGAGAAAATGACGGACAAAAAAAAATGACTGAAAATGAGGAAAATAGTGGGTCAAAAATGAGTGAAAAATGACAAAAACAACGGGTAAATATGAATAAAAAAATAGAACAAAAGAGAAAAACAACAGTAAACTCGAGTAATGAGTTATAAATGAAAAATCAAAAAAAATCAAATCACCCGTCATCGCCGTTGTTTATCCTCCTAATCAGTTCCTCTCTCTCTCGCTCCCGTTGCGCCAGCGTCTCCTGCAATCGTTGCTTCGATTTGTGGTACTCCCTGACCAATTCGCTGTTACAACCGACGCCCGGCGCCGACGCCGACGTCGCCGTCGCGGCGCTTCCGTCCCTCGACGAATCCGACGTCGGACGAAAATCGTTCGTCCTGCGAGAAAAAAACAAACAAATATCGTGAGAATAATCATAGTATAACATATCACAAATGATTCTAGACAGTTCTCAACGGTTCTGGAACGTTCTGAACGATTCTGGAGCACTCTAAACGATTCTGGACTGTTCTAAATGATACTAGAGAGTTCTTAATAATTCTGGAACGTTCTAAATGATTCTAGACAGTTCTTAACGGTTCTGGAAGGTTCTAAATGATTCTGGAGCACTCTAAATGATTCTAGACAGTTCTCAACGGTTCTGGAACGGTTCTGGAGCGCGTATGGCCTTTAACTATGAACTCAACTATGAACTAATCTGTCAAATAAAACTGTCAAAAGTGAAAGATTCTCCTTAGTTACTCCATAACAACCAATGTAAAACTGTCAATTTAAAGGGACCTTTTAAAGCGTCAAGAAAAGAGAGATAAATTTATACTTCCCCCCGCATTATTTCACTCACATGTCGGTCCCGGCGGATCCGTCGTATTGTTGTTGTTGTTGTCGACGAGCGGTGTTGTTCAATTTGCCGTTGCCGTAATTGGTTAAAGGCCCGCTTTTCTCCTTATAGTTGGGCAACTTCGACATGAATTCCATGTAGGAAACGGTCTCGTCGAGCGGCTGATTCGCCGCCTCCCTCGATTCGGAGTCTTCGAACAACCGATCGACCGAAGCGTTCATATTTTTATTCTTCAAGCCTGCCAACCGAAATTAAAAAAATAATAATAATAAAGAACCAACGAGGTTATTAGTTATCGGGTAATCAACTAATTTGTTGATTAATTATTAGTTATTAGATCTTCTACTATCAGTTTTTGGTCTCCTACTAATAGTTTTTGATCTTCTACCAATAGTTTTTGGTCATCTACTAAAAGTTTATAACTTAGAGAATAGTTTTAAATCTTCTACAAATGTTTTTGGTTGTCTACTAACAGTTTATGACATACTAATAGTTTTGGATCTAATATCTAATAGTTTCGAATCTTCTACTAATAGTATATGACATACTAATAGTTTTTGGTCATCTACTAATAGTTTATGACCTAGTTAACAGCTTTTGCTAATGTTATTAGTTGTCTACTAAGAGTTTATGATATTCTACTATAAGTTTTTGATCATCTACTAATAGTTTATGACCTAGTTAACAGCTTTTAATACGTTATTGGTCATCTACTAATAGTTTATGACCTAGTTGACAACTTTTAATAAAGTTATTGGCCATCTACTAATAGTTTATGACTTAGTTAACAGCTTTTGCTAATGTTATTAGTTGTCTACTAAGAGTTTATGATATTCTACTAATAGTTTATGAAATTTTTAATCTTCTACCAACAGTAATCGAATCGTTTCATCCAACTCACCGGTCAAATGAAAACTGGCGAAGCTGCTCTTCGACATCTGCCCGTTCGGGGGCGCCGCGACGCCCGCGTCGCCCTGCCACCCGTACGCCGACGCCGACATGGCGGCGGCGGCGGCGGCGGCGCCGTCGGGCATCAGCGACAACGACATGGCGTCGGCGGCGCTCTTCGGACGCGCGAACGGCGTCGCCGAATGCGGAAACGTCGTCGGCCGGATGGGCGTCGCCAGCATGTGCTCCGTCCACGACGTCACCAGCGTCGGCCGGTCGAGCTTTTCGACGTCGACGTGAAGAGGGCGCTGCTCGAACGGCACGGCGAACGCCGCCGTCGGGACGCTCTGCAGCCACGACAGCAGGCCTAAATCGGCGTCGCCGAACGACGCCCGGGCGTCGAGCAGATCGGCGAACGTCATGGGGGCGTCGCCGGCGGAGGCGGCGCCGCCGACGGCCTGCTGTTGGCAGTAGTTCACGCAGGATTCGTACAGGACGCCTGGAATGAATTTCGGACGCTATGAATTACGCTAGTTCGGACAGTTTTCGTCGTTTCGGAGCGTTTCTAAACGGGTCTAGACAAATTCTAAATGATTCTAGACAGTTCCTAACGGTTCTGGAACGTTCTAAATGATACTAGAGAGTTATAAATGATTCTGGAACACTCTAAATGATTCTAGACTGTTCTAAATGATTCTAGAGAATTCTAAATGATTTCAAAACATTCTGGAGCATTTTAAATGGTTCTATACAGTTCTAAATGATTCAAAAGTGTACAATACGGGATGTAACAAAAAGGCGAATGGTAAATAACAGCGCGTACGGCCTTCGACTGCAAACTAATCCAGCCCCGAAAACGCGTTCGCCCGGGCCTCACCTTTGATAACCAACTGAACGAGCCGATCGTTCTTGGCCGTGCGCCCGTCGAAATCGGCGCCCGAATCGGCGTACGGTTTCTTCTCCACCTTTTTGGGCAGAAACTCCTCGACCAGCGGATAGATCTGCCTGAAGCAGGCGACGCGCGCGCCGCTCGGATTCCAATCCTTGTACATCGAGTGATCCTTCAGCTTGGGCAGCGTCAGCAGCAGGCACAAATTCGAGTATTCCTCCTTCGACGGGGCGAATTTCTCCAGCTCTTTGGTCAACGTCACCACCTCGTCCACGGCGCTGTCGAACGAATTTCCTGCGAAAGAGAGGCTCTTAAATCACAGCGGGAAGCTTTTACGACGTGTAACACAACCTCTCAAGTTCCCTTCGGACTTGATGCACAACAGCTCGATGTACTTGCTCTTGAGCACGGCGTAGGAGAAGGCGCGCATGTCGAACGATTCGAGCGCCTCGAGGGGCTGGATGAACTCGAGCACGTCGTCCCATTGGCCGTCGAGTATGAGCTGCCGGAGGAAGAGCACGTCGTCCGAGTAGTTGCCGTTGATGACGCCCGTCTCGCGTTCGAGGCTCAGCTGGCCGATGTGCAGGTCGCGGTTGTCGAGGAACTCCAACGTCAGCCGGACGACGTCCTCTTCGCGCAGGCTCAGTCGCGCCGCCGTCGAGCTCATTTTTCCACGCGCGCGCTCTCGCCGGGATCTTCCGTTTCTTCTCTTCCGACTGCAAAAATAACCGGCGAAATGATCAAGTAGGTTAGGAATTATGTGGCAACGATGGATCGCAACGTTGCCGATTGGAGAAGAACTGTCTTTTAAGAGCACTGATGGAGCGCTTTAAATGATTCTAGACTGTTTTGAATGATGATTATGCAGCGTTCTAAATGATTCTAGACAATTTTAAATGATTCTGGATCGTTCTAATTGATTTTATACTGTTCCGGATGATGATTCTGGTTCGTTCTAACTGTTTCTGGGGCGTTCTAGATGATTCTAGACAGTTCTAAACGATTCTGAAGCGTTACAAATCATTTTAGACTGTTCTGAATGATGATTCTGGAGCGTTGTAAATGTTTCTGGGGCGTTCTAGATGATTCTAGACAGTTCTAAACGATTCTGAAGCGTTCTAAATGATTCTAGACAGTTCTAAATAATTCTGGAACGTTCCAAATGATCCTAGAGAGTTCTAAATAATTCTGGAACGTTCTAAATATGGTGATGGCAACGTTGCCAATTGTACAAGAACTATCTTTTAAGTTTGGGGATACTGGTATTATATTTAAATAGCTCATGACGTCACCACGATATTTTCCTGAACATACTATATTGGTTTTTACTAAAATTTTTATTCATAAAAACAAATCTGTATAAATGAAAATGCCCCACGTACTACTTATTCGAATCCTTATGCTTCGTCATTAAAGTGAAATTGAAAATATTTCCATAAGAAAATTGTAAGAAAAAATTAGCATTTTTTAACGTTTAATTCACCGCATAGCTATCTAAAATACCTAACGAGCTTAAAATAGTTAACGCAATAGTTTGCTGCACGAAATTATCGGATGAATAACAGAAAATAACAGAAAATTTCTGCGCTAATTTCCAATTCTTATCGACTTTTCGAACGGTAAACGAACTCACCCTCAAATCGCTCAAGCTTCCGACGAATTTTCAGCGGTTTCGATCATTTCCCGGACGTATTTCCACGCTTTTCATACCCGCTCGTTCCGAGTTATTTGGAAAATTGACTACAACACCAAGAATTTCCCGTAATCGAGCTGTCAGTTCGACTCGACTGTCAACCGTACGTCAAACTCATTTTATGTTAGGCCGAATAACAGTAGTAGCTGTTGTGTCAAACAAAAAAGAAGAACTGAATGTCATATTCAGTAGAGGCCGTCGTTGGTTTTTTTTTGACGTTTTATGTCGATTGACATATAACCGTCAACAAAAGTGAGGTTAGGGCGAGATGATGTCAACAAATTTTTTAAATTTAAACTAGATAAAATAAAAAGTTGAACAATGTCGGTAGCAATTCTAGGCGGTGGTCTATCGGGGCTCTCCGCGGCTTATTATTTGCTTAAATCGAACGGTAAACTATCCATACGAATATTGGAAGGCTCCTCTAGACTAGGCGGTTGGATTCGATCGAATAAATTAGACAACGGCGTGATATTCGAAGAAGGCCCGAGGACGATCAGACCTCGGGGATTGGCCGGCGACAATACGCTATCCTTAGTACAGGACCTCGGTTTAGAGGATCGCATTACTCCGATTTACGCCCACCAACCGGCAGCCAAGAATCGAATGGTCTATGCCAAGGGTAAATTGCATTCGCTTCCTTCCTCGTTCGGTGGCCTATTTAAAACTACACCGCCATTTTCCAAGCCTCTTATAATGTACTTATTAAACGACATAATCGCTTCGAGCAAGCGAGTCGAGGACGAATCGATCTACGATTTCGTCAACAGACGATTCGGACAGGACCTCGCCGACTACTTGATCAGCCCGCTCATTTGCGGAATATGCGCGGGAGATTCCAAAGAAATAAGCGTCAATTTCCTCATGAAGGGCCTCTTCGAGTACGAACAAAAGTACGGTAGTATATACAAAGGACTCGTTAGGAATTTATTCAACGTTGAAAAACACGAACTAAGCGAATTGGGTGTAAAAGCTAAACGGGAAAAATGGAGCGTCTATTCGTTCAAAACTGGACTGGAAACGCTTCCTAAAACCATCGAAAGCCACGTGAGAAGCCGAGGGGTTCCGATCGAATTGAATTCCAAATGCACCAAACTACAACTATCACCCAACAACGTACAAATACAACTAGGAAACAAGATGGTAGCGCCCGAGCACCTCATCAGCTCCATTTCCTCGCAGGAACTCAGCCGATTGGTGCGCGACCAGCACCCCGTATTATCCGATCTACTCGGCAACATTCGCAACGTCACAGTGGCTGTAATCAACCTGCAGTTCGGGAACCTGCGGCTGCGCGAAGGCTTCGGGTTCCTCGTGCCGCCCAAGGAGCGCCTGCCCGTGCTCGGGGTGATATTCGACAGCTGCTGCTTCCCCTGCGGAGACGATCGCACGGTGCTCACCGTGATGATGGGGGGCGCCTGGTTCGGGCGGCTGTTCGGCGACGATCCCGGCGAGGAGGAGCTGCTGAGCACCGCTCAGAAGTACTTGAAGGTGACGATGGGCGTGGAGGAGGCGCCGCGCGAGTGGAAGGTGAGCGTGCTGAGGGACTGCATTCCGCAGTATACCGTGGGACACGATGGATGGGTGAGGGAGATTTACAGGTACATCGAGGCCAATCGGTTGCCTTTGACGTTGTGCGGTTCGTCCTATCACGGTGTAGGGGTGAATGATGTGATTTATTCGTCGAGAAATGCCGCTGAAAGTGTTTGCAAAAGTATTAATGCGATGAAATAATGAAGAAGTCGATACTTTTCAACTTACCCTTGTATAATTGAGTATTATACTGGGTGTTAATTGCTTGAATGCCGATATTTCAGGATGTGATTTTTTTTTTTTAATTTTAACACCCTGTAACTCGAAAAGTGTAAGGTTTAGGGGAAATAAGAATATAAACTTTTCTTCTTAAAATCATCTAAATATTCATACCCTGAAGTATAAGCATTCAATTAATTAACACCCTGTAGATGGAATAACGGGACAATTTTATTGTTCTGGAACGGAAGTTAAGATGGCAGGAAAACTGAAAGTTACATTGATACATTTATTGTACTTAATTTTCATACAAATAATGGTCCTTTTTCTACTATCACAGTTTCAAAAATCATTTAAATTTAAAATATAATTCAACTCTGAAAATATAACAAAATACAAACGCATTTTCAATTTACCGGAGACAAATTGTAGTTTCATTTTTATTTTTTTCATTCTTTTCTAACGCGTGCTGTCGTGATTTTTTTTACGAGAATTTTAAACCGAAAACACTTATTTTCTTTTGGCTTGCAAATCATACGTTTTATAATACACATTTTATATACAGAATGTACACAAAAAAAATCGAATTTAGTAAATTACTTAAGTAGTTATTTTATACATTCTTTGCTCTTTCAACCTGACGATAAGCGTAATTTGCTGTAAATGTAATTTATCTAGCAATTCCTTTTTTTAAATATATAATATATTCATTTTTTTCGTAAAAAATACCCTCATTTTCTACACGTACACACAGACATTTACACAACGAGTTCGCATCGACCAGAATCGAACCCACCACCCCCAAAGGGCCCCACCGTCTAAGTGGTCGTCGTCGTGGGATATTGAAACATCGTCCCGCAGGCCAAACCCGCCGATCTCACGCCCGACCTCGGCGGCAGCTGTGGCGTCGCCTGTCCCGAATTACCCGTCTCCACGTACCTCGGAGACACCGACGCCGGCTGAACCGTCCTATCCCAACACACAAAACCCACATTAGTAACCCCACGAAGTCCTTACATTCGTCTACTCCAAGCCTCGCTAAAAGCGCCGATAACCCGAACAGGCCGAGGCCGATTCTCTCGCCTATGCAGATAAAACAGTTACGGTACTCACCCGGCGGGTCCGTTGTGGGAGGCGGCGTTGCGCTGTTGCCCGGCCTGCGTCGGATGCAACGTCGCGTGCCGCCTCATGTGCAGCTGCGACGTGTAGGTGGGATTGAGGCGGGGCAGCGTGCCGTGAGAGGGCGCCGGCGTCGCGCCGCCGCCGCCGCCGCCGTGATAGGAATGCTGGTGCACCGAGCCCGGCGACGGGCCGGGCTCGCGGCGCGGCGGCAACGGCGGCGGCGGCCCGTCCTTCGTCGACGAGCAGGCGTCGCGCGGCGGCAGCATCGGCGCGTCCACGGCTTGCTTCATCTGTACAAAACGAAAAAAAATCAATCGTATGACGCGCAGAACCGAGGCGAGGACTCTTACTTGTTGGGGCGAGCTGATTTCGGGGCTGTCGCGGCGGCGTCGCGGCGGCAAAGGAGGCGGCGTCGGCGGCGGCGGTTGGTTGGGAAGCAGGCGCGGGCTGATGGGTTCGACTAGAGATTGAGGGACGCCCGGCGAGACGGGGCTGTGAGGACCCGGACTGTTCGGACAGCCGGTCGAACTCTGGCTGTTGTGGCTGCACCGTTGAGGACTACAATCAAAAACCGATACTATACAGTTTGCCTCGAGAAGAATACAAACAAAAAATACTAATAACTCGGTAAGTAATAAGAGTTTACGCCTAGATCTACAAATTGGAAATGGTTCGATAATGGCGAAACAACTGAACAGTCGAAGACCAAATTACTTACACGATAGGAGGTTCGCTTCGGGACGGTTTGAACACCGACGCCGTCGACATGATGGAACTGACGCTGGGGCTTCTCGAGTGATTCAACCAGTTCATGATGCCGCCAGAGGGGGCCGGAGACACCGGACTCTGGGCGGGACTGTTTTGGCTGTTGCCCAATTGCACCTGAAAGTTAAAGTTCGTCTAGTTTAGGCCGATTTTACGTTGGTACAATAAGGGAGTTAAAAATTCCAAAGGGGTCAGATCGGGTGTACGAGGGTGAGGTGAACGGTTCTCGCAACGAATTACCGCGATTTTCGGTTAAAAAATTACGTTGTTCTTCTTATTAAGGCGAAATCTTTAGTTTAAGGCAGTTCTAAATGATTTTAGAGCGTTCTAAATGGTTCTAGACAGTTCTAAATGATTTTAGAGCGTTCTAAACGGATCTAGACAGTTCTAAATGATTTTAGAGCGTTCTAAACGGATCTAGACAGTTCTAAATGATCCTGGAGCGTTCTAAACGGATCTAGACAGTTCTAAATAATCCTGGAGCGTTCTAAACGGATCTAGACAGTTCTAAATGATCCTGGAGCATTCTAAACGGATCTAGACAGTTCTAAATGATCCTGGAGCGTTCTAGATCGTTCCAGACAATTCTAGATGAGAGAACTTTTCACTCTACGCTCGAATCTCGTTGGCGATTCGATGTGACAAATTTTGGGATAGAGTTTTTCCAATAGACTCACCGGAGCGAATACGCTAAAATCGTTATCGGACCTCGACGACGAATCCTCGCTCTTGGGATCGTCGTGCTTCGAAGAAGCGCCGCCGCCGCCGCCGCCGGCGTTCGCCAAGGCGTTGACGACGACGGGCGTCGGCGTCGCGTTCTTCGCCTGCTTGACGGTCGCCTTGATGCCGGGGCTCTTCAAATTCAAGGCGGGCCATTTGCGCGGGAACTTGGGCACGATGCGGCAGCCGCGCGGCTCGATCTCCAACGATTTCTGGTAGAGGTAGTTGCTGATTTCGGTGTCGTTCATCTCGCCGAACGGGTGCAGGCGGTCCAAGAACCGGCGGATGGTCGGCTCGACGGTGAAGCAGTACGGCTGGTTCTGGTACTGCTGTATCTCGCCGGTGATCTCGGCGACTTTTCTGCGCTTGAAGAAGTTGATCAGCTGCGTGTTGGGCAGGTAGTCGGGATTGCCCTCTTCGATGTGCAGGATGTTGGTGAGGTACATGCCGAGGAACGGTACGCACGGCGGATTGATCGAGCGCAACTTTTCTTGGTACTTCTTCAGGTGGTCGTCGCTCTTCCGGCATTCCTCCAACGCCTTGCGGTTTTGTTGATTCAACGCCTAAAAATTCCAAACGCCATGTTCTTTACATTAATCCCTCTAACAAGGTAGATTCTATAGCAGTTATAGTAATCAGGTTATAGTTATAGTTTTTATAGCAAAGTGAATCGGTAAGTATAATAGGCAATTCCAAAACTCGAACCTGAAGGGTTCTAAGCAATTCTGAAGAGTTCTAAATTGTTTTAGCCAGTTCTACAACATTTTGGACAGTGCTAAATCATCATTCTGGACAGTTCTTAATCATTCTAGGCAGTTCTAAAGCATTTTGGACAATTCGAAGTCATTCTGGATAGTTCTAAATCATTCTAGACAGTTCTGAAGCACTCTGGACAATTCTAAATCATTCTGGACAGATCTAGATCATTCTGGACAGTTCTAAAGCATTATGGACAGTTCTAAAGCATTATGGACAGTTCTAAATCATTCTGAACAATTCTGAAGCAATCTGAATGATAATACAACACTGTCATTTCGTCAAAACTGGACTTTTGCCAATGGAACAATCTAAACGGATACAATGCCGGGTGGGGTATTCGAGCTACGAGGGATCAATAAATTGTTAGAAGGTCGGGATTAGAGATAAATCACTTACGGCGAATGTTAAATGTAAACGATAAACAGAAGCCGAACCTAATGTCGACACAATGGCCAACACCCCGTTGAAATTGTTAATGTCATTCAGGCATATCATGATTTCGATGATCCTGTTCACGATGGCGACGCGCTCTTCGAAATTTTCGGCTTCGACGATGTTCTTCTCCAACCATCTGGTAAACTGGATAACGAATACGAAGTAAGTAGGACGTTTTTCGAACGGGTTAATTTTTCTAAGCTTACGTTGGTAGTGTGTTTGATCATCTTCAACAAATTCGGACTGGACGTTTCCTTGTCCTTTTTGGTCCACACCGAGCCGACCAATTCCGACGGTTTGATCGTCCTGTACAAATCGAATTCCAATATCGTCAATTGCCTGGCTATTTCGACCGGGTGCAACGTCAATATCCCGTACTCCTCCTCCGTGCAATTGATGTGCCTTTCGATGGGCGGCGGCAGATCGTCGAAGGCGAATTTTATGTGCCTTTGGTTGTCGTTTTCCATCTACAATTCAAACGAAACGGGTTCTTTAAGTAGTGCATTTCGGATAATAACGAATCGTTTACCTTTCTTTGGACGATTTTGTTGACGCATTCCACCCATTTCCTCATGCTCCTGCCGTTCACCGAGTCGAGGAAATCCTGCAATTTCACCAGCAACGCGCCGTCCCTTTCGAAATCGTAGAAATGATGATCGACCCAATGCCTCAACACGTTCAACACCCTATCGAAAACATAGCGGATTACAAACAATCACTTGATGATAAGAAAACAGTACTAAACTCTACTCTACCATCTATTAATCCTATAACTATCCCTTTAATGAGGGAACAGTACTAAACTCTACTCTATCCTACCATCTATTTCTCTTACAACTACCGGCAACACCGCACAATCTCTTACTCTCTATTACTAAACTCTATTCTACAATCTATTTGTCCTATAATTATCCCTTTAACGAGGAAACAATACTAAATTCTACTCTATCCTACCATCTATTTCTCTTAGAACTACCGGCAACACCGCACAATCTCTTGCTCTCTATTACTAAACTGTACTCCACAATCTATTTGTCCTATAATTATCCCTTTAATGAGGAAACAATACTAAACTCTACTCTATCCTACCATCTATTTCTCTTAGAACTACCGGCAACACCGCACAATCTCTTGCTCTCTATTACTAAACTCTACTCCACAATCTATTTGTCCTATAATTATCCCTTTAACGAGGAAACAATACTAAATTCTACTCTATCCTACCATCTATTTCTCTTAGAACTACCGGCAACACCGCACAATCTCTTGCTTTCTATTACTAAACTCTACTCCACAATCGATTTGTCCTATAATTATCCCTTTAACGAGGAAACAATACTAAATTCTACTCTATCCTACCATCTATTTCTCTTAGAACTACCGGCAACACCGCACAAACTCTTGCCCCGTTTACCTGAACTGCACGGGCTGACAATACTCCTTCCTGTACTTCTTCCAATCCTCCCGTTGGCTGTTCTTCTGCATCTTGTCGGTGTCGCAGCAGTCCTGCTCGTAGACCGCCGACGGTTCGGGTATTTGGAACCGTTCGATCAGCAAATCCAAGAGCTCCGTGGGCGAACAGAAGCTCCGGTAGGTCGTCAGAAACGTCCTGACGAACTTCGGATCGGCGTAGATGTGATAGGTCAGTCTTTCGATCAGTTTGTACAGAGTCGCGCCCTGAGAAAAAAAATTCCACAATACGTGAGAATGAGCCAAAAAAATCGAACTGAACTTTAGTAGGACTTTAGCAGGATATGTAGCATTCGAAGCACACTTATACAGACTCAAAATAGTAGACAAAATGCCGTCTATGTAAAGATACTGAGAAGACTGGGGTGTCGGTTCTTGTGTGTGGGACACCCTGTATGTAAATTAGAAGGAGTAATTCGAGTACAAACGTTTGGATTTCGATTGTATTATTTACTTTGATTAGAGGTACTCCGCCGTTTTCTCTTTGTTCGAGTATTATGTTGTGCTTGGAGTCGGGTTCGGCGAATTTGTAGAGACTCGGCGGTGGCAATTTCAACGGGTGTTTTCGCTCTATATCCGACAGTATGCTGTCCAGTACTCGTTCTAACATCGATCTGAAATCGCGAGAAATTAGTTTTAAAGTTCGAAATGCAAGTGTATGAGGTGAAAAGTTCTCGGCCTGACAATGAAAGACGGGGATTTTTAGTTGAAAAACTACGTTATTCTGCTTATCAAGTCGAATTGAGACAGTTCTAAACGATTCTGGAACGTTCTAAATGACTATGGAGCGCTTCAAATGCTTCTAGACAGTTCTATATGATTCTGAAGCGTTCTAAATGGTTTTAAACAGTTCTAAATGATAATCGAGGGTTCTAATTGGTTCTGGACAGTTCTAGAAGATTCTGGAGCGTTCTAAATGGCTCTAGACAGTTCTAAATGATAATCGAGCATTCTAAAGAGTTTTTGAACGATTCAGGCCGTGAACTTTTCATCCTACCCTCGTATCGCTTCGAGACGAACCTGTTGTTCAACATGACCAAATCGGCCATCCAGGAGTTCTTGTCCTCCAGCGTTTTGGCGCACAAAATCACCGATGGCGTTTGCCTCGGCGATATTTCGAAAGCGTTCTTCACCTCATCGGTGTCTTCGTGATCGATGATTTCCACTTTACGAATGAAAAACCTCTCTTTCAGCCTGCATTCCGGATAGCTTTGGTGGTGCACCGAACTTTGCCTCCTAGAAACGCACCTGAATAAACACCTTATGCACCGTTTGCACCTCGTTTTTTGTATACCTGGAATTCGGTTTGCACAGTATCATCAACCCGTCGAAGAGGAAGACCCGGCGATCGGTCAACCGCCGGTTGTTGCCCACTTTGATCAGCGTATCCTCTCGCACGAATTCGTTGCAACATTGCCCCAAATCCTTCGCGTCCCAATTCTCCACGATCTTCTCCAACTCGTGGATCTTGACGAGCGCCGCCTGGCGGCGGGCGCGCGTCTGCGGCAACAACGGCGAGTTCCTCGGCAGGTTCTGACTCGGGCTGCAAATATCTACAAAAAAAACACATCGTTGAAATAATCGCGATAATCGCTTCGAATCGCGCCCCAACCTAAAGCGATCTGAACGGGCTTGAGCAGCCCCTCCACCTGCGTGAGGGTCTCCTTGTCCTCGCTGGACGGCGACAGGTTCCTCAACAGCTTGATGTAGTCCAGGTAGGAGTAGCAGTGCCAAATGGGGCCCATCAGCAGCGCCGGCAGGTAGTACTTCAGGGCCAATCGCATGCCTTGACCGGCCGTGTTCAGGGCGCTTTCGACGTCCGGGCGACTCAGCAGGGCGTTGAGGGTGTCCCGACAGGCGGGCGACGTCACGTCTCGCGCGTATTTTATGTACACGTCGAACTCCGCCGCTTCGGCCAATTCTACGAATCGATGCGACTAAAGTATCGAGCACATAACCGGATGTTATTATCCGTCGGGTTACCTTCGAAGCAGCTACCGATGTAGGGCATCTTCTCCTGCGCCATCTCCCTGACGTCCTCCAAGCTGCCCGATAGCGTGTAAGTTAGCTCGTAGATGTCCATTATGTTGGAGAAGATCCTCTCGATGTCCTGCGGACCCGGCTTTAGCTTCGTGATTTCTTCCCTGAAACCCATCAGTTCGAAATTACCTCCTGCTAGATGGCTACTAGCTTAACTATTGTTACCTAAACACTTTGATCAGCATGTGCAGCTCCTTCAGGTAGGCTTTCTCCGATGCTATGAGCTCCCGGACGGTTTCCTCGTAGGTCAAACTGTTCCGGGGCGCGATCAGGTGGGTCTCGTTCAAGCTGCCGGTGCCTCCGCCTTCGTCTTGGTAGAACATGTCCATTAAAGCCTGCGAATTAAACCGATAAATTAATCGCGAACGGTTCTCGGTTAACGATCGAACAAACACCTAAAGCAAACGAAAAAGAGAAGAAAGTATAATAGAAATCAACTAAACGGGCAGGCTTCGCAAATAAAAACAAAGCTCATGAAAGATTTCGTTCGGTTTTCTCGCTTTGTATGAATGAAATAAACTGCGTTAATTCGTAGGTGAAAGAAGCTTATCGCTGGTTATAATATAGATAGAAAAATAGAGAGTATACTAACGGAAAAAAGGTTCGATATTATGATGTTATGTACGAGGTGTTTCGCAAATATCGCGTACATGCAAAAAGAGATCGTTCTTGGTCTTATTTCACGATTAATAGTTTGTATAAACTGATCCACAAGACTCGAATAATTGTGGAAATTTACGGGAATTTTAGTCGTGAAATAATCCAAATGGAGTCGGGATATTTAGAGGTATCCCGTATTCCTAATTTAATAAAAAAATAAACGTATTTTAATGCTCTACAGTACATACCATGGATGTGGGCTGAAGTGCAGCAGCGTGTAAAGCAAAAAGCAAATATTTCTCGGTTCTTTTAGGATAAAAATAAAAAGCTTAAAAAAAACTACTGCATATTTCTGTAAATTTCGCGAATTTACCGTATATCTAATTATACACCTAAAATGTCTATCGTTTAAATATCTAAATATACGTTTAATAAAAAATCCAACATCATGGTTATTTCTGTGGAACAAATGCCGCAAAATCTCAACTTACTTTATCCACTTTCATGGAAATCTGCACATCTTGGTAGGTGATTTCCACGTGTTTGATATTCTTCGCGTAATTGCCCACTAATTTTAATATATCGGCCGAGATGTACTCCAACACGGCGACTAGGAACAACGAAACAGTCGAATCTACTTTGTAAAGCAACAATTCCTGAAAACGATCGTTTATTTAACGGAAATCGGTGGGTTTTCGTCGGCTCACCTTCTGCAATAAGGAATGTATCTTGTCAACGGGCAGTTGTAACACCGATTTCTTCTTGCCCCTTTCCAGCGCCTCCTGGGCTTCTTTCAACGCCCATTTGTCTATCGGGGTGGGAAACGTGCTTTGTACTCGATATTCAACGTCCTAAAACAATCCTTTGGTTCGATATATGCATAAGATGATTTATTAGGGCTGTTTACCTGAACAGTATGAGGACTCGGTTTCGCACAGAGCATAGCTAAAAGTCTCAAACACAAACTTTCTACGTACTCTAGCGCCTCTTCTCTCGCCCCCAGAGAAGGGTGAACTTGCTCCAACACCTAAAATAAAGCGAACAATTAAACGTAAACTAATAGTAGGTTAAAGTTGGAATTGACATTTCCATCCACCTACTGCGATCTCGCTAAAAGAAACGAATTTAACAAGAAAACATCAAGTAGGCAAACGTCTTCGATCTGAAGTGACATTTTTTAGCTGCTTACTTTTTTCAAAGCTGCCGTCAACAAACCCTTCCATTTTCCACAGTTTTCCTCGGAATCGAAATTGTAAATCGAATCTCCGCCGCCCGACGAACCGATATTCATTTTCCGCCGGTCGGAGATATCGGAAAACGGCACGACGCTAAGCGAAAAAACACGGCCAACTTAGCACTTTTGCCCACCGATCCGATCGCGATCCGCTCGAACGTTTCGCTTTCAACGAGCAATTAAACGAACTGGCCGCATAACTACGTCATTATTGTTGAAATGGCGAAAATTTGCGTTAGATTATTGTGTATTTCGGATCGTTTAAACCGTATTTAGGAGACTTTTATTTGACGCAAAGCATGCTAAAAATTATACGTTTCCGCCATTTTGGATTCACTAGCTTTCATTATTCGTTCGATTCGTTCCGTTTTTTTCTAATCCATACGGTAGGTGTATTTCCGTCTTTCTTGTGTATACAAAGCAGAATCGTAGGGCGTTGAAGGCGAATATTAAACGCAACGTTGCCGGTTGCGCAAAATTTCCCTAGATTTGAAACGACTTCAAAAAAATAATAAAATACTTGTATCATTATAAAATCACAAAACATTTAATTTACAATATTTACAAACCAATAATTAAGCTTTAATTAACAAGTGCAATAAATACAATACAAACGATTTTTTTTTTAATTAAGTACTTAAATTTATAAACAAAATATTATAAAAGTATATCATACAAATGCAAACGTAAACACAGTCTTATTCATTTCCATCGACCCAATCAAATGTCAAACGTCAAACATTCGAAGCGAAAAGAAGCGAATTGACGGGATAACGTCAATCTCCAAAGCCTACTATAACGCGTCCGCGAGACATTCGCCGGCTTCTACCGATTGATCGTCGACAAATTGAATTTCCCCGACATATTCCGGATGTCCTCCTGCGTGAAGACCACCCGACGGCCCACCATCCTCTGTCGCACGTCGAACTCGCTCGAATTCCCGCCCTCCTGCATCGAGTGCTGCCTTTGGTGCCGAATGTGCCTGTCGGACGAGGCCGCGACGTCCGGCGCCGCCGCCTCCGCCGGCCTGTCCTTGTAGCTGTAGGGAAATTCGAGCGTGCGCACGTCGATCGTGGGCAGCAGGTGATCGTCGCCGGTCGCGGCCGGCGCTGACGAGTTCCTCCGTCGGCCCAGCAGGTCCTGGATTCGGTCGAAGTCGTTCGAACGTCGGGCGGCGTCGACGATGATCGTGGGGATCGGTTTCGGGGTGGCTGGAACACCGTAAAGAAACAGATCAATCGCGGGGCCTTTCGAAATGAAGAAGAGACGCGTGTGATGTGGGTGTTATGGAATGATTGTGATTGATAAATGTGGAAATTAAGCTAAATTGACAGATATTAAGTGTCATGAGACAAAATGACAATTGATATTAATGTCAGATAATTGAGGAGTAGATTCAGAGTAGTTGAAGAGTGAATTCAGAGTAGATTCGGGGTAGATTTAGGAGGAGTAGATTCAGTGTAGTTGAAGAGTGAATTCAGGGTTGATTCGGAGTAGATTTCGGTTAATTTCGCTTAATTAACACTCACAAACGCCGACCGTACACGAAGCCCCTTTGAAAATCCGATCGGCCCTGACGGTGTTGCCGTCCTGGTCCTCCACCAGGACGCTCATGCCCAAGTTCCTGCCCTTCGCCCAAGCCTTGGCGGCCGGCTTGACGCTCAACTCCACCCATTTGGCGCTCTCCGGGATCACCTTGCTGTCCGACAGCCGCCGTTTCACTGCAAACAACCGAAAAACTAGCGATATTCCCATCGAACACGCGGCAACGTCGCCATCGAGCGCACTCACCGCGTCTCTTCTTCAGCGACTTCGTGTACCAATAGATGGAGACTCTGAGCAATCGGTCGTCCTCCGATGACGTCAGGTTGTCGCAGTCGCGGGCGTTCCCCGGCGACTTCGTCGAAGGTTCCTCGGGCAGCCGGTAGAGGCGCAGCGTCGCGGCGGCGATGTTGCCGTTCTTCGCGTCGTCGAGCAGCTCGAAGTCGAAGAACAGGTTCATGGTGTCGTCGTCCTGCCAGACGTCGTGGTCCGTGTTGAGCGGGATTTCGCCTGTTGACAGGTGACAGGTACGTCAGAAAATGGCGCGACCCTATATTTCTAAGGTCTGGAAACTTCCTGTGCTTATGCATTAGAGAATGTGTCCCGTTATATGAGGACTGTTTTAGCTTCACTTTTGCGCCGCAACGTAGCGAACGTTTAAAGGACCAACTTATCTCAGCCAATCAGCGTCGAGCTACATATAAATCGCGGTTGTGTGAAATGACAGTTCGAGCTGTCAAAACTTTAAAAATTATTTTTTGACATTTCGAGGAGAAAATGGAGAAATACATTAACCGAAGATAGGTGAAGCATGATGTTAACAACAAAATCATCGCTGATTTAAGTATATTTTTATGTTTTCCATCTATTTTTAGTTTGAATACAACCTTTTTTAATGCTAATTCTACATAATTCGTACGCAAAAAACCGTGATCCTTTACAACATCGCCTCCTAGCGGCCATTTTAGGAACCCTGTTTTATCCTCAAATAACTGGACACTTTTTCGACCCATGTTTCCAGACCTTAGAAATATAGGACCGTGGATTGGCCGAATACACTGACATGGAACGTCAAATGAAAAATAAAATGATTGGCTGAATAGCCGAGGCCTAGTGCGAAATTTGCGGCGTTGCCAAATCGACGTTTCGGTAGGATGTTTAGGTACTTCCCGCTATTTGTGTTATACTTACATGAAGGGTAGAAACTTCGGATTTTCTCTGCGGCCTGATCGTCCGTGGAAATTCCGGTTATATTGAAAACAGGCGGTATAATTTGGGAAATGTTTATGGAATGCTCGGGTACATCGGCGTCGTCCGGTTTCCTTTGCGTCAGGCTCAATATCAAATTTTTCACGTCTTCTATTCGCTTCTCTTTCGATCTGTAGAAAATTAAATAAAAAAAATAGAAACAATGCGAATATTTATCGTGGAAGAAAAAACGACGATAAAACGCAAGCGTGTTAATAATATTTGTTAGAATTTATTCCGTTCCACACGTGAGCCGGGAACACCCTGTATAAGGTCGTTACACCTGCTGTGCTGTACGTTCGTCTAGACATAGCCAATAAAAAACATTATTATGCAGTTGTTTAATTACACGAATAACCGATTTGTTATAGGTATGTCGAAATACTAGAACTCTAAAGTCGTAAAAATGCGGAAGCAAATTCATGCTAAAGCGGTCCATGCACCGATCGAATATATTCCTTATTCATTGTAAATTATTATTCTTTAATCGATATAATTCAAAATCAATTCAGAATATAATTTAATTAAATGTGAAATACTTTTTTTGCTAAAGTCGACCATACATTGAAGTATGATTATTCTCTATGAAATAGATAATTTAATTAAATATGAAATAATTCATTTTTTGTGCTAAACACTCTCCACTATCTTAAATTATATTAATTTCTTCTATATTACACAGAGAAATTAGGAAGCAAAATCCATTAAAGTGGTCCATGCACGAAATATGAAAAAATGAAATATGAAAAAATATAGGATGTTAATTAATTGAATGCCGATACTTCAGGATACTTCTAAAATTTTAACACCCTGTAGCTCGAAAACTAAGAGGTTTAGGACACACATTAATATAAACTTTTCTTCTTAAAATAATCCAAATATTGTCATCCTGAAGTATCGACATACAATTAATTAACACCCTATATAAAAAATTGAATCTTTGTGCTAAAGTCGACCATACACCCTCGACTATCTCAAAAAATAAATTTGTCCTATTATACACCGAGAAATTAGAGCGCAAAACGACAATCGATTAATAATATATCCGTGCAATTGGCCTACTAGATAAAAAAAAACGTAATTGCATGCAATTATTCCAAGACACAACAAACGTTCAAAAAATAAAAACAACCAATCAATTCGCATCTAAAATATTATTATTATTTCTTTTTTCAACAGTAAATTTACCTTTCGTCGGGATCGTTCGGGCGATTTCTTGAAAAACACAAAAAAAAACGGCGAATTAATTTCATTTTTAAAGGAGGAAAATTTAATTTTTCGGGAGCCGCACACACACACACATCAAGGCGGCGACGAATTACGAAAAAAAAAAAACAAACCTAAAAATAATTTCCGAAGTGTATATGAAATCAAGTAGGCTCGTAATGAGTTTTTTGAACGCTATTTTTCCTCGAAACCGCTACGAAAATAGACGAAAAAAATCTTTTTTTTTTCACCTCTTGTATACAATTTTCTTCCCGCCTTCCCGCCTTCCAGATAAACACGATTAATGAAACATATTTTTGATAGGTAATATGGATCAAGTAACATCCTCTGTTCCATACATTTTTCATAACATCTGGATGAGGAATCTAGGGTAATCCATCCAGATACATATCCATAGAATTTACCATGAAATTTTTCACCCGACAATCAAAAAAATCTCACCTGTTCCTCATCGCCCTGGAGTACTCGATGGCGCTGAAATTCCTGGAATTCTCCGGATACACCTCGTTCTTGCCCTGCTGGGGCTGGTCACTCTGCATGCCATCCATCTCATCCAGCTCATCCAGTTTATCCAGATAGTCCCTGAGCAGCCTGTCGAGGGCGTTTTTCGGCCCGTCCGGCTGGCGTGCGGCCGAAAATAGGCCGAGGGCCAGCAGGTTCAGAAAGATTATAGTCCGGAGGCCGCGACGCATTGTTCCGCCTGGAAAGGGCCGGAATTTTCGGGAATTCTTGCGGGAAATCGACGGTTCTCGGATGGTTCTCGAACCGGAACGTTCGCAGTCGAATGAAAAACTAAACGGATATTAATAAAGTGTCGAATGGGGACCGAAACGGCTAGACCGCTGTCTAGTCTCTTTCTCTCCGTCTCTCTTGCGCCTCTCTCGGCTCAGGTGCGGTATTTTTATTCGAAGAAATCGGCGACGTTGCCGCTTCTACCGGTTCCGCGGGGAATCTCGGCATTTTCGTTTTCTACTCAAAATTTCCCACGTTTCGCTTGTTAACCGGAATGTTTAATAAAAACCTGTGGTTAGAGCAAGCCTTCCTTTACTAAACGAACCGAAAAACGCACCTCTATCATCATTAATTCCCGAGTTATACAATAATATATCCACCTCACTTATGTATCAATGAAGTCTTTTTTCTGGTTAACATTTTCCGCATTTCGCGTATTAATAAATAAATTTAACAAAAACCTGTGGTTAGAGGGAAGCTTCCTCTAAAAAACGAGCAGAAAATTGAGCCTCTACCGCTAACCGTTTTGGAGTTAATCGAGAAAATCTCATCGCTCGTAAAATGGCGGCGCGACCACTCAAATCGCAGTAGGCAAAGGGAAAATGTCAAAAAATGACAAGCACATGACGTGCCTTTGACAGCGTAATCGTACTCACCTATCTGTATCTCTAACGTGAAGGTTTTGCGAGTTTAGACGAAGCACTGTTACAAAATTCCTGAATAAATTCGCCGACTGACTTTATATATCAAAGTCAATGCATTTGCATAAGGACCAAATACAGTCGATTGTATAATTTTACACTGTTAAAAAAATACTCCGGCGGGATTTCTCTTTCGTTTCGAAGAATTCATCGAAGTGGGCCGTTGGAGATTCGAATTAACGTCAATGAGAAAATGACTTAAATGACAGTTTTGACAGTTTGGTTTATTGATAATGGATTTTAAAAATCCGGATCGCGCGCGCTCTCGTCGTAAAACAATAGATTTTTTCCGTTATCTAGGTAATCAAAAATTTTTGAAATTTCATTATAAAAACGTGTTCGGAACAATTATTAAATGGGACAATAAAAATCGAAATTCCATCGATTTGGAAATAGTTTTTAGTCTACTCGAATTCAAAAACGTGCCTACTACGTATAAAAAAAGTACGAGGAAATTTGTTTAAAGTATGCATTTTTTTTCTAACCCAACCACGAAATTCGATCTCGCATTGATTAATTTATAATAAATTCTATTATAATGTTTTGCGTTCTTTCGTAAATTCTCCCCCTCTTCCCGTCTTTTCTACGGTAACGAAATCAAGTCGGCTATGATAAGTACACGACAGCTAATCCATATTTAAATCGAGTAGTCTAGACATTTCCCGATCTTCAACATACACATGACGTCATCACATCGACACCCTGCAATTTATTTACATTATTCACTCGCCGACCGCGACGTGTTAAATTAATTTACGCTACAAATACAAATCGTACGATCCTCGTACACCGTAAAAAATCGATTTTAAAGTTTAAATTGATTTTTAAACGAAGGAATTACCATAGACAAAATAAAAGACATCTTTCTTTCTCTATGGTCGTAGTTACCGATAACTAGCACTGTAATTTTGGCTGGACTGTTTCACAGGCGGGACAATTTAAAATTTTAAATACAGTTTGCTCCATTTTTGATCGCAACATAAATTATATAGGCCACGGGTGCGATAAAGACAACTTCCATTAGACACTTACAAAGGAAAAGGAAAGAGTAACATTTGTGTCATTGCAACTTTTCACTCTGACAACTGTCATTTTAATAATCTTTCTTTGTTCCACTCATAGAAATGACCATGTTGCAATCGGAAATGGAACAAGGTGTATATTTATATGTATAAGTATGTATGGGAATTACGTCGTAGACGCGTTTGCATTTGTATTTTGTATATTTTATACGGCTTGTACGAAAGTTTGCACACGACGTGTTAAAACAAAAAAAAAATGCGCGCCATCTATGGGTAAATACGAAATATTCTAATCGATTCTGGATATCAATCTGTAATGTTAAACAACAAACGAACAAAGCACGTTTGACAGGTGACAAGTGGTATAAATTGTTTTGTTAACTTGTAAGTTATGCTGTGAATCGTATGATTAGAGTCAATTATATTGCTATTTTAATTCGTATTATACATAGTATGGGTAATTTGTAATTGCGATTAGTTATAAAAAAAAACTATTTTGTATTTTCGAATACTGTGGAAACTAACAAACGAACAGAGCACAGATGACAAGACAAACGTCAGTCGAAACGTCAAAGTCAGAGCGAAACGTCAAATACTCAGTATTAAATAGGTTATAAATAAGAGGAATCATTTTGTACTTCTTCAACACCTATGTTACCCACAAAAGGCTATTTCCAAGACATCGAATGTCCGTTTTTCAGCAGCGCCTGCTCGAGACCCTACTGCCACTTCAGGCATCGCAAAAAACATTCGGAAATCGTCGAAGAAACGGCCGAAAAGCGAACGGACACCGCCGAAATACCCACATACAATCCGACCCCGAAGAGCCAATTGGCCAATATCAACAACAAAAGCCACATACCCATCAGCTACGTGCCCGACATAACCTACAGAAACGAAAAGTCCCAACGGCCGAAACCCACTTACAACCCGACCCCGTTGAGCATCCTCTCTCGAGCCAACAACAGGACCCACCTCGCCCTCGATAACGACAATAACGAGCAATTGCAAGTCATTAACGAAATCAAACAGAACATAGCGAGCGTCGAATACGTCCCCACCGTATCGAAAGACATCGATTTCGAGGATCTCACCAACGAATTCCAATTAATCGATGAGATAATCACCACGGACACGAACAGTGCCGAAGGTATCGAAGCAAACGATGAGACAAAGACTGACGATAAACCCGTCGAAACACCCGACGCCTGCGATAAGAAAGAATCTGTTAAAACCGGCGATACGAAGGAGAAATCATCTAGTCGAAGGGAGAAATCTAGTCGCCACAGGAAGACGGACAAGAAGCACAAGAGCCGAGACAGAGACAGGCGATCGAGCGAACGCAAAGACAAAGACAAACCGCACAAGAGCCGGCACAAAAGCAGCAAGAAGGACGATTCGTCGAGGAGGAGAGACGATAAATCGAAGAGCAAAAAACGCGATAAAAAAGACAAACCCGAACCGGACAAAGCCCAACAACACACCGATGGCGTCGATTCCCTCGAAATGGATTTCGACATCGACATCGATATCGACATAGACGAGGACGAAACCATGTTGGAGTGCTACAAAATCTTCAACGAATACAATCCGGAACAGAAACCAGTGCAAGAGGAACAAATCGTACAGAAACCACAGGATTCCGGCGACAGCGAACGTACGTTCAATCCAATTCCAATTCAAGCGTAATTAAATCGATTTGTTTTTAGGTACCTCGTTCACCGGCAAAAGGCGCATCGCCCACACCAACGCCGAAACGTCCGTCGCCCAAACGAAACCGCCCGCGGCCAAGCCCAAATCCATCCCGACGCCCGGCCGGACGCTCGCCGATCGCTATCGCGCCGCCAAAACCACCCTCCTCCACCACCACAACAACAACAACGATCGCGAATTGGAGCTGCTCAGCGAGGAAATCAAGCGCTCCGCCCCCGTCAAGCGGCCCCCCTCGTTGCTGGAAGCCGCCCAAAATCGCAAGAAACTCAAAGAGACCACAGTCGACAAGCCCTCGAACGTCATCGACGCCATATTGGAGGGCACCGGCCGCAACCCGTCGATCTACAAAATCGGCGCCAAGAAGATCGCCCCCGTGCGAAACGTCTCCGCCCTCGCCAAGGCCAAGGAGAAGATACGGCCGGTCAAGCCGCCCGCGCCCGCCCCCAAAACCGTCGCCCAAACCCAAAAAGGTACGTCCATACATTGTCCATAGGCCTACCTAGTTCTAAGTTTATAGTCCAAGGGTCTACCTAGTCCTATAGTCAGTATCCCATAGATCTACCTAGTTCTGTGGTCCACAGTCGATTGGTCTACCTAGTTCCGTGGTCCATACAAAGTCTATGGTCCACAGGTCTACCTAGTCCTGTGGTCCACAGGTCTACATAGTGCTGTGTGTAGGTAGAGACGAGTTAACGAGCCTTTTGAATTCCAGGTAACCGGATAGCCCACGTGCCGGACCTATCTCTATCGGACATACCGAACGTGCTGCACGCCGACAAATCGAAGTTGCCGGTGAACGTGCGCACGCGCTTTCTGACGATGATAGCCGACGAATGCGTGAAGCTCTACCTGACCAAACACGACGCGTTCGAGCGGGCGCTCAAAGAGGAGTTCGGCTGCTACGAGAAGTGCCGATTGTTGCCATCGTACAGGAACTCCGCCATGCTGGCGGTGAACCGGCTGCGCAAGGAGATCGCCGAGCGCCACAAGGAGGGCTTGGGGTTGTTGGGGGGCGGCGAGGAGGAGGCGGGCGGGCGGGGGGACGCGCGGGCCGGCGAGTTCTACGATCGGGTGAAGGGTTGGACGTTGTCGAGCGAGGAATTGGACCTGCACGGGTATCCGAGACGCGGCGACGAGAACGGCGTGGCTATAGTGAAGAACTTCAACGGTAGTTTGTATAAGAATCTGGAGGCGAACAGGAGGATATGCAGCAGGTGTCGGAAGTGCTACCAGGTGAACGCCGACGGGCGCGCCTCGTTCGCGCAGCAATGCAGCTACCATCCGATGAAGAAGCGTACGATCCGAGGCGAACAGATCTACCTGTGTTGCCAGAGCGCGGCCGAATTGGGCTGCGCCACCTCCGACGCGCACGTGTGGGACGGGTCGGCGTCGGGTCGGCTCGACGGGTTCCAGGCGACGCTGCCGCCGGACGGGGAGGGGGACGCGCGCAGCCGCGCCGTCTACGCGTTGGACTGCGAAATGTGCTACACGACCAAAGGGCTGGAGCTGACGCGCGTCACCATCGTCGACGGCGATTGCAGGACGGTGTACGATTCGCTGGTGAAGCCGCTGAATCCGATCGTGGATTACAATACGAGGTTTTCGGGCATCACGGCCGAGCAGATGGACGGCGTCGCGACGAGTTTGTTGCAGGTGCAGGCGAATCTGTTGCACCTGTGCAATTCGAAGACGATACTGGTGGGGCACAGCTTGGAGTCGGACATGAAGGCGTTGAAGATCGCCCACGAGACCGTCGTCGATACGTCGGTGTTGTTTCCGCATAAGATGGGGCTGCCGCACAAGAGGGCGTTGAAGGCGTTGGCTAGCGAGTATTTGAGGAAGATTATACAGAACAACGTGAGCGGGCACGACAGCGCCGAGGACGCGGTCACTTGCATGGAGTTGTTGAAGTGGAAGCTGAGGGACGAGTCAAAGAGGAAGGTCCAGTAGGAAAACGTGTGTGATGATGATTGGTGGTGGTTCGCTTCGGTAGGCGAACGTTCGTTGTTGAGATTCGTTATTTTTTAAGGTATAATTTATTTTTTATTCATGTGTTAAGTACCTAGTAGGTTCGAATGTAAATGAAGCGCAAATAAATTTTTCATGTAATTCGTTTTTAATTGTTCTTATTGTGTTTTGAATTCACTATGGAATAGAATAATTAACCTCAATCTGTCATTGACTTGTCAATGTCAATAACATTTTTACGCACGGTCGTATATTATAACAGGTCCAGAAACTCCAGTATAAAAGCGTATGATGTGACTCTCAACAGAGGGCGCTAGGATCGGGTAGCGAGTAAATATTATTACACTCGATCGATTGAAAGTTTATTGGAAAAATAATAACAAAAACATCGTCAGCGCGTTTTTTCTCCGTCTGGGACGCGATTCCTCTTGTCTTCGTTCCTTTCCAGCGCCAACTTCGTCTGGCGCACGTAAGGCGATCGCGCCCTTTCGTTCATCTGCCGCCACAATTCGGCGCCGCGACGCAGGGCGTCGCGCATCTCCCTCTTGCGCCGCAGCGACTTCCTGTAGTCGCGCATGAAATTGATGAAAGGATTCCTGGAGAGTGTATTTTGTCTATGCTGGAGAGTTCTCCTCGCCGGTTCATTTCCGTTCGTTGCTCGACTGCTAATTTTCATGGTACTGTCAAAATCCCGACAGCTGTCATAACTGTCATTCGTCGTTGGATTCAAACTTAAAAACTACCAGTACAAATTACCTACAAATTATTTTATTGCTTATAAGTATTCGATTCAATTTAATAATTATCTAATTAACTATTACGTATAACGTATTACTTATAATATATCACATTTTTCGATGTGCATATCTATTCGTATATCGGCCATTTTGATGTAAAAGCAACCGTGACGTAGGCTACTCTAGGTAAAGGCCAAAATGGCGGATATACGCGGATCTATCAGCAAATCATTTGCTTAGGAACGTTTCCTTTTCGAACGCCAGCGCTTTGTTGGCCTTAAGGTTCGCCTGCAGCCTTCGTTGCTTTATCAGGAACACCAGCAGGAAAATGGCCGACGACAGGAACGTCGCCGAGGCCAGTACTATTTGAAACGCCGGCATGACGTTCACCAGTATATACAACAGCCATTTGATCTTGTCCGGAAGACCTTCTTGCTTCTATAAACGCAATATTTCTCATGATAATCGGTTTAGTTTTAGAATATCACTCCGACAAAATGGCCGAATAACTTACGTATTCGATCCACGCCAATGGTATGTTTAAATTGCTGAACTTGTGCAGCCTACTGGTGAATCCAGACAGATCCTTTACAGCCAGGTTTATCTGACACTTTGCGCTGCCCTCTAGCGGTACACCGGTGACCTAAAACTCGCAAATTCGTTACCCGAACACCCCAACTGCACGAGGCCTTATCAGTGTAAATAAAAAAAAGAAGAAGTATAATAGGAAAACTGCGGTTTTCCTTACCGGTTCCACGTCGATGTAGGACGTGTGCAGGGCCGGATCCGGCTCGAGCCCTTCGAAGGACTCGATCAGGGCCGGCTCGGCGTGCAGGAAATGCGGATTGCTGGCCGCTATCGACGTGTCGAAATTGCAGGAAGAGACGTCCCTCAAACCGCCCGGCAGTTCCGGCGCGCCTGCGTAGCAATCGCCTCGCCGCGATCGATCGTAGGTGGCGTTGTCCAATTCGAAGCGGTACGCGCTCAAACCGTACCGCTCGGTATCGCCTAAATAACATCAAAAAATCCAGTTTAGTACTGTACTTTTGCTACGCCGATTGAGCACGGACCTGCGTAGAAGAGATTGGCGATGCCGCAGAACGTTTTCCTGTAGTACTTGATCGTGTCGTTCCTGCTGACGCTCTGATGGTACGCCACGCCTTCGCTGCTGTCGGCCATTTTGAAGCGACAGTCGCCGTTCAACGGTACGAAATCGTTACCGTTGATCCGGTCGATTTTGAAGAAGTCCCTGCTCGCGAAACCCGGTCCGATCAGTACCGTCAAATTGTCCTGCATTTCTCGATAGACCTGCGGAATTAATAGATCCTTTTAAGTCGATTCATTCGGCGTATATTCGAATAATCAGAAAAAATAACGGTTATTTTGTAACAGTCGTTACTGCACCTCTATACCGAAAAATCGATTCCCGCACCTCTATTAAATTCTGTCATACGAAATGTCATTAATGTCAATCTATATTTCTAATACGTCAATCTAATGCGGCCCTATATTTCTAAGGTCTGGAATCTCCCTATGCTTATGCATTAGAGAATGTGTCCAGTAATTTGAGGACTTTTTGAGCTTCACTTTTGCACTGCACCGTGGGGAACGATCGGAGGACCAACTTATCTCAGCCAATCAGCGTCGAGCTACATATAAATCGCGGTTGTGTGAAACGACAGTTCAAGCTGTCAAAACTTTAAAAATTATTTTTTGACATTTCGAGGAGAAAATGGAGAAATACATTAACCGAAGATACGGGAGGCATGATGTTTACAACAAAATTATCGCTGATGTAAGTATACTTTTATATTTTCTATCTATTTTTAGTTTAGGGACCCTGTTTTATCCTCAAATAACGGGACACTTTTCGACATGTTTCCATACCTTAGAAATATAGGACCGTGATTTTTGCTTACGTAGGTACCATCGAGCGCACCTTAAAGTCCCACTTAGTCGCGTACATGCGTAAAAGATTGTAATTAATTAAACTAAACGAAATTAAATCATCGTTAACTCTAACGAATACCTTGGTCAGTATACCGAAGTTGCTGATGGGCACCAAACCGGGCGCCAGGCTTCTCGACGTGTCCATCAGAGGATCGGTCATGTTCCACAGGAAATCCTCCACCGTGGCCGTTTTGAACGTTTCGGTCTTCAATCGCCTGATCATCAGGTTGACGCCCAGCCGAACGTAGAACGGGGAATCGTAGAAAAACGACGGGATGACCTGCAAACGGTCCGTTAGTTAATCCACGTTTGACTTTGTTGAATTTTTTGTTTAAGGGTTGGTTAAAAACTCACTAGTATCGGTAGATTGGGCATGGTGATGGTTTGTTTGAGTAAATCCACGGGATTCCTATCTGGCAGATAGATTAACGATCGATTAGCCGTGTAACTTAACGTGCTGTTATCGTTGAACGCCACGTTGTCGTGCCGTAATTTTTCCCTGGGGACGGTTCGAATGTATAATATATTTTATTATACAGGGTGTAGCAAAAAGGTGATGATAACTTAATGAAATTTGACGAAGTGCATAATACCTGTAGATAATTGGTCCTACTTCTTTGAGTTTAATCTTCTTATCGCTCCCATTGGAGAACTCCACCGGATTCGTCACGTTGAAAATATAAACTTTGGCAATGACTTGATCGGGAGGATCCAGCCACCAATCGAACGGGGGTAAACCTGCAATTGAATCTGGAGTAGAGTGGAGTAGAGTAGAATCAATTAAAGTAGATTCAAACCAGATTTAAGAGTAGATTCAGGGTACATCCAGAATAGAATACGGTGAATTCCGAGTAGATTCAGAGCTGAATAGAGTAGATTCAGATTTAAATAAGTAGATTCAGAGTGCCTTCAGACTAGATTGAGTGTAGATTTAAAGTAGATTCAGAGTAGATTCAAAGTGCCTTCAAACTATATTCAGTGCATGTAGATTCAGAGGAGATTTAGAATAGATTTACTGATTCAGAATAGATTTAGAGTAGATTCAGAGTAGAGTAGATTCAAAGAAAATTCAGAGTGCCTTCAGACTAGATTCAGTGTAGATTCAAATGAGAGTAGAGTAGATTCAGAATAGATTTAGAGTATCTTCAGACTATATTCAGTGCATGTAGATTCAGAGGAGAGTTAGAGTAGATTTACTGATTCAGAATAGATTTAGAGTATGATTCAGAGTAGATTCAGAGTAGAGTAGATTCAAAGAAAATTCAAAGTGCCTTCAGACTAGATTCAGTGTATAGATTGAAAAGACAGTAGAGTAGATTCGGATTAGGTAATATAATACTATATCTATTTATGTACTTATAATATTAATTTGAAGATTTTATAGTATTTTAGTTAACATCTTATACATATCCCAAACCCATAAGTTATAAGAAAAACATAAAAGATATGACAACGCAGCTTTATCAGATTAAATCTTTAAATTTGTCTTCCCTATTGACCGGGAAAAAACTTGATTATGGCCTCTTTCGAGTCAGGTATAGGAAAACCATTTTCCTATATCCAATTATCCAAATTTCACCCCCGAATTTCCACTAACCTGGCGTCATTTTAATCCTGTAATACAGCATCATGTCGTAGGGAGGAAACACCACCTGCAGCACCCCGAATATCGACAAAATCACGCTCGAAATCAAAAATTTGTACTCGCCTGAAATTGAAAAAAAAAACTCAAATTTTTCCGAAAACTCGAAATACAGTCTTCCTCTTACGAATAGTGCAAAACATCGTTAAATTTATTCGAGGTATCGATTAACCGGGCGTCAATTAAACAGTGACTTAACGACGCGTTAACGTCCGATTTATAAATCGACGATACCCGTCCGATAAACTTAGGAATTGTTTAATAACAAGTTTCGTCGCAACAACGAAAAAATTGTATAATATACGAGGGTATAGCAGAAAATAATCGGTTGTAAAGTTCACGAATTTTTTTTTTATTGTAATAAACGCGCCGTAATTATCTCGCTGCTTGATTAATCCAAAAATAATTACAATGATTTTTTTCTCGTAAATTGGAATTAATTTAATCGAAAAATCCAACGATCGATCTCTCCAAGGGTACCCGCGATGGTTTAGATAAAAACCGCAATTGGTAAATAACAATTTATTTGCATCTAATTACACTGCGAAAATTCAAATCGGGCGGGTAATTGTCGAAGGAATGGAAAAAATGGCCAAGTTACCGTTACACGGCGTTTAACCGGCCAGTTATTATTCCAATCCCGAAGGTTAGAGATTTGCTCGTTTCGATTCGTTATCGATTCGAAAAGGAATCGAAAATCATAGCGGGCTCGGAAATTTCACAGTGTCACTAGATCGATTCGTAATGTAATAATAATACCGGCAATTTTGACGATTTTGACGGGAAAAAAATAAATTACACGGTTGGTTTTTTTTTTGTTTTTTAGCATATTTTTAATCCGGCGAATCGCTGAATTAATAATTATCGAAGCGAAAAACAAAACATTTATAGAAAGATATAAAAAATACTGTAATTAATTTTGATGTGCAGCATTATAATTTACGGTCCTTCGTCGAATCGTAAATTTTCTTGTTGAAAATACCGGGCCCATCAATTAGTTATAGATACATTAAACAATTAATAAAAACAGAATTTTTCCATCAACAATCGATTACTTTTGCGATTAATTAATTATATAGTTTCATGTTCTTTTTGTGTATTATTTCTTCTTTAATCAGTAGCCTTTGACTTATTGAAGCACCTAGACACTTCCTTCATTTGTTATACGCCATTATAATTCGTTTTTTACGCATTTATGTCATTTACATATAAAGAACTTATATAAATATATAAAAAAATTTAGTATAAAAGAAATTACTTAAATATCTTCTTCTATTTATCTGATTAATGGCCTTTGTCATACTTAAGCATTCAAACACTTCTCTTTTTTTTATTATACGCGATTTTTGTTTCCTTAAACATTTATACAGGGTGTTAATTAATTTGGATGATATTTGGATGAATATTTGGATGATTTTAAGAAGAAAAGTTTATATAAATATATGTCCTAAACCTCTTAGTTTTCGAGCTACAGGGTGTTAAAATTTTAGATAAAAAAATAACTTTTCTTTCATAATTTTCTTATTACGGCAGATATTGTACTATTTTTTTATTTCAAAATAATTAAAAGCCTCTGACTTAATGAAGCATTCAGGCACTTCTGATGTAATTTGTTATAGATGCGCCATTTTTAATTTTTTATTGCATTTATATCCAAAATTCTTGTATTTTTTAAATAATTAAAGGCCTTTGACTGGTTGCAGCATCCAGTCACTTGCAGTAGGCCGTTTCTACGCACCGAATAAAATCGAATTATCGATAAAATTAGCAATCGTTTTAACGCATTACGAAGAAATTACTTCATCCAACAGTCCGATAGAACAATGAAAATTCCGGAATGTCAAGGATTCGAATAGCGCACGCACGATAGATAAATTATTAAATAACGATTAGGCATAGGATAATTCGTTTTTCGAAGCGCAAACAAACCGATTTTGCATTGTGAAAAAAATCTACACATCTTTAATTTCTTCCTGATCGCGTCGCGCCGCCATTTTGCTTGGTTTTTGTTATACCGGGGGCGTCGCAAAATTAACCGAATCCGACTCGCTATGTATATGTAAATACCGGGCAATTTTATTATATATGGTCAAATCGCATATGGACCGATTTGAAAGTGGAACAATTGTGAATGTCAATTAATTTGTATTAATTAAGCTAATAATACATGTGTTAAATTTTGTATCGAATTTCGATTTAGTACAAGTAATAATAAAATGTAATGGCGTTGTGCTTTGGAAAATTAAATTGTAGCGATTTCCCATAATCGATACAGCTTTTAATAACCGATCAATTACCGATCGATAGTAATTAATTAATTAATCGATACATTACGAAATACTACAAGCGTGAAATGGGCAATTAACCCTTTTTTTTGCATAGCTGCCTGCGACTCTTGTTTTCCAACGCAAGTCAAGGCCTCAATTTCTTGATAATATGCACAATTTATGCAATTTTATATCAAATCGTACACAAGTTTAATTTAATACCTACACCTAATTAATAAAATAACGTTGCACAATCGAACTTGACTTTACTCTTTTTCCTATTGGCCAATTGACTTATCGCAAGTTTTGCCACAAAATTGCGCAAATATCGAACAAACCAAGCAATCGACATGAACTGACAGGCGACAGATGACGGAACTGATAAGCAACAAAAGACAGAGTTGACAGGTGACAGAATTGACAAGTGACAAATGACAGAACTGATAAGCGACAAATAACAGAATTGACAAAGTTACAGAACTGATTAGCGATAAATGACAGAAGTGACAAATGACAGAACTGATAAGCGACAAATGACAGAATTGGCATATGACAGAACTGATCAGCGACAAATGACAGAATATTGACAAAATCACTGCAGAACTGGTAGGCGACAAGTGACAGAACTGACAAGTGACAGAATTGACAAGTTTAGATATACTTACCGCAGCGCCTTCTAAATTCGTATCGATAGTAATATTTGACGACGTGTCGTGGCGTCCGCGTACCGATGACGTCATCGGGCGTCGGGGCGCCTTTGGTTTTCTTCTGCATTGTTTTAGGAACTGAAAGAAGGATGGGCGGCGTTGTCGATTAAATAGGTACGATTATTCGTACGTCCCTCGTATGAGAGACTGCATCTCGTTCGGTTTTTTTATAGTTATCGAACGAATTAAAAAAATATAGGTTAATTCGTTTTTTACCGGTTATTATTACCTCCGAATTATGCTAATTGAGATCAATTTAATGTATCGATGAATTTTTTTCGGATGATTGTTGTGTAGATATAAGTACTGGTAATATACGAGGGAGAAACGATACGTTGAAACTATTTATTGGTAAAGTTTGTTCAAAATTTCGACTAATTCATAGTAAAATATATCCCAAAACTCGTCAATAAACAGTAATAACTGAACTATGTTCGTAGTTAATTTGAAAAAAAAAGGGTCAGAAGCCGGTCCTGTCCCAATCGAGCGTTACGAGGGGCGTTCGATTAATCGCTCCGAAAGAGCGATTTTTTATTTCTGTCGAAATGTGATTGAAACCGACGAAGGTCGCTTCGAAATCATTTCGGCTCAGGAAGTTGGGCAAATGACGGGAATTAAGATACATTAAGATGTAAATGAAGAGTGGGCGATTAAAATCGATTGTGTTTTTTTCGTGTTTTATGTAGAAATTAAAATTACGGAGGTCAACGAAAAAAAAAATGTTTAAAATGTTTTTTTTGCTTTCCTACAATATTGACCGATGGAACGGCGACGCTAATGGATTTTTTTTATATTAAATTCATTTTAAAGTTGAATTAAAATATGCCGAACTGTCCAGAATCATTTAGAACTGTCCATATATAATTTAGAACAATCAAGAACGATTTAGAACTGTCCAGAATAATTTAGAACAATTCAGTAATTAAGTAAGTAATTAAGAACTATCTAAGAACGATTTATAGAAATGTCCGGAATTATTTAGAACCGTCTAAAATGATTTAGAACTCTTCAGAATGATTTTGAACTGTCCAGAATCATTAAGAACTGTTTAGAATCATTTAGAACTGTCCAGAATCATTTAGAACTACCCAGATATAATTTAGAACAATCAGGAACGATTTGGAACTGTCCAGAGTAATTTAGAACTGTCGGGAGTAATTTAGACCTGTCCAGAATAATTTACAACAATTCAGAGTTATTAAGAACTATCTAAGAACGATTTATAGAAATGCCTGGAATTATTTAGAACCGTCTAGAATGATTTAGAACTCTTCAAAATGATTTCGAACTATCCAGAATGATTTAGAACTGTCTAGAATGATTTACAACTGTCCAGAATCATTTAGAACTGTCCAGGGTAATTTAAAATGTTTATAACATTATTTATTTATTATAAAATTATTTAATTAAGATGTTTAGAATTGTTTAGAACAATTCTAACGAATTAGAATTGTCGAGAATGATTTAGAACTGTCCCAAACTGACAGTAATTAGTTGAAGCGATATTAAAAATAATTGTAAGACAGTGCAATTAATTTTGATTCGATAAAAATCCGCAGGAGAAAATCAAAAGTTCTACGATCGTTCGAAAACAAAAAAAATTTGAACAATGCGACGTTGCCGATGCCGGGCAAAAATCCCCGGTTTATCGGATGGAATTTGAAACGGACTTACCGCGGGCCGATCGGGCGATTTGAACGACACGATATCCGACCGGTGCACGCCAGAATCATCCGTAACAACGACAAACGGACGAAAGCGGAAAAAAAAATAACGACAAAACGAACTGGCTAACCTTACTAGAGCGACTAGATCGGACTGGAACTCGCGGTTCTGCAGCGAAACGGGCGAGTTTTCAGTTGCAACTGAAGAACCATGTCACCACCTATCACCCGCGTTTGAACCTTTGATTGCAATAATTAGTTGACCTTCTAGGCTCGCCGTTTAAGCGTTCGCTTAAATGTACGATTTTATTTATTTTTTTATTATTTTTATTTCGAGGAAGATTGTCCTTTTGCGACGGGATTAGTCGCGTTAGTTACGAGTGAGATTCGTATAAAAATGAGTAGATACAACTCATAAAAAACTCGAAATATCTCGAAAAGTAAGCTTTTTTTGGGAATTTTCGATTCTTCAAAAATTATAGAGGAGGATTTTTTCTACAAAATGAAACAAACAAGATGTTTCTATATTCATTATTTTTCGAGATAAATGCAATTTTTCATTGATTTGCTCTAAAATTAGTAACGTCGATACCACCAATAAAAAACTTGTAATATCTCGAAAACTAAGCTTTTTTCGGAAATTTCCGATTCTTTAAAAATCACGGAAAATCATTTTTTCTTCCAAATGAGACAAACGCGAGGCTTCTATCCCAATTAATTTCCGAGATACCGAAGCTCTTTCACGCCGGCCCATCAACCGCAGCTCGCGCAGCTCTCGAGACCACCGACCACTTCTCCGAAAATGACGAAATTCTAACGAACCGACTTGAACCTCAACAAACCCCGTCGGTTCTCGAAGACCGGTTTGTTATTCTAATTACGTCTGTTAAAATTTGGGTTATCACCTTGTAAAATACTACATACAACGAATGTATTAAATTTATACATTTTGTTTCCAACACATTTTAAATGCCGACATCCATTTTGAGTGCCATTCAAGATCATTAACGCGCTGACCATCAAGGCCTTCTACGATCGAGAAGTGCGCGTGCATTCTTATTTCTTTTCCATTGCACGTTTCAACCTGTCTCTATAATACAATGAACAATATGTAGATAATAAATATATTTAATTTTTTAGTTTATATTTTTATTCTGAAAAAAACGCTGAAATTGGTAGTGTTTTGTTACTAATCAACAATAGTTTGTTACTTTCATCAATTTATAGATTAATAACCGCTAAAACATGGTGTTTTACTAATCAATCATAGTTTAAGTTACTAATAAGCAAATTTGCAACTAAACGGCAATTAATAGTTAAACATCTGCAATTATTTCATATTATTTTCGGTTTTATTCGTATCATCCTTGGACGCTTCGAAAATGTTCTCGTAATTACTACACCTTATATCACATTATTATCCATTTATCATTCTACATAGTACGTGAACGGATGTAAACTAATAATTCGTCTAATTGTAATTCGATTACCGGCATGCAACTGCCAGTACCTAACGCCATTACCGCCGAAGGTGGTAAGTAATTAAAAAAAAATACATTTTACACAATCTGGCAACGATGTACCGTTTTCGACACTTCTTCTTCTTCTTCAATTGAAGGCCTCAGCTACTACAGCTATTCGGACAGTAAAGAGGAATCTGACAAGACAACTGACAGGTGTCATAAGTCATAATAGGTTTGTAAGGTTAGAAATTGTTAGCAAGCAAAACAGCAAAATATTTTAGTATTTCTATTGAATATAACGAGCATTATGCGTTAATTTCGACCGATTATTCGTTCCGTTGGATAACAAAGCGATTTAGCAATGTCCCAGTCGTCCTCGGGAAGAGCCATTCCGACCAGAATAGAGAGCGATTCGGTATGTAAACTGAAATTTTTGGACATTATCGAGAAGCGTTCGTTGGGATTCAACAGAACTGGTTTAGAGGATTCCATAGCTTTCAAGCTATACAAGAACATCTACCCGTTCCCGTTCGGCGCTCAAAATTCCCTGCAGAACTCGGTCGGCGGTATATTTAACCTGGAATTCAGCCTCGACGGGTGAGCATTTAATCCAATAAAATTCGATTTATTATCCTCTATTTTTCGTAGGAAATTACTGGTGGCCGCTTGCGAGGGAAAGCAAATCCTGATCTTCGATTCGGCCAATCAGAAACTCGTCCACAACGTGCCCGATGCTCATTCGAACTGCGTCAATTGCGTCAGGTAAAACTGCCCTCTATCGCTCGAAGCATTTCTAATATCATCATCGATAGGTTTCTAAACGACAAACACTTTGCTACTTGCTCCGATGACGCTTCCATTAAGATATGGGACGTGCGGAAAGTCAAACACTCGATGAAAACGCTGCACGGCCATTCGAATTGGGTAAGGCTACTCGTTATTAATTCACTATTAATCGATGGATTAATGGAGAGTAGGTCTTTTTTTTATTTATTTTTATAAAACTACCTATTCTAATGAAGTTAGTGGTGAAATTTTTTATTTTCTCCGTTTTCTATTAAGGCTGTAATTAATTTTTTAAGTTTGAAATACGTCCAATCGCCATTAAGAATTGGTGGTAAAGATCGTTTTTAGCGACGTTGTCAACTATCTTCTTACTCTGAAGGCTTCTTACTGAAAAGGCGTTTGTTTGTATGATTTATTCGAAAAATGTAGAGCGAACTTTAAATTGTTAAATAATATAATATCCCTATATTTACGAAGCGCTGCAATATCTAAAATTTTAAATTATTGTTCAGTAAAAATGGTGATGTGGCAACTTCGAATGTATACTTTTGACTTTTTAAACTTGTCAAATTAACAAAAACAAAAACTTAACCTCCAACTGAATTAACTTATACAATTTTAAAATGTCGCATCCGAAGGTAGTTAAAACGTGTTTCATGTCGTTTTGTAAAAATACTGCGTTATATTTTAAAAACTTGTTCATTTTTGACCGAAAAAACAAAAAAATTAATAACATAACCCTAGATATGTCATCTGTCATTTGTTGTTACTTTTCACTTTTGTTCGTTTTTTCTACTATTTCGAACATTTCGTTCGAATTCCTACGCCAATAATGACACAATGTAACTCGTTCGTTTTGTGGTGGTGAGTTTACACGTCACTTGTCAAAATTTTAAATTTAAAAAAGCTATATTTTGTAAAATATCGAATATTTTCAACAACCGAAAACTGGTTCGAGTTCAAATGACTTATTTCTCTCCATTTAAAGATAAAGAACATCGAATGGTCGGAGAAGGAGAACGTAATGGTAACATCGGCCTTCGACGGCAGCATCTACGCCTGGAACCTGAAGAGCCCCAACGAGAGCAACATGATGTACGATAAGGTGTTCCTGATGAACGGCCTCATGCGCATGAAACTCACCGGCGACGGCACCAAGATGATCATATCGACCACCAACGGCTTCATCATCATCATACACGATTTGAATTTGCTCACGCTGGCCACCGATCTGCGTTCGTTTCGCGTAAGGAACGATTCAAAAAAAATTCGATTCGATTCCGAAATTATTCCGTATACGAATTTCCAGCCGAGCCTCTACCGATTGATGCAGATCAGCGACCAGTGCTTTCCGATCGGCACCGTCTACAATTACCTGTTCTCGCCGAACCGCAAGCGCAACCGCATCGAATTCATCGAGGACTTTCCCAACGAAGCGGAGGTGATCAGTTCGTTGCAGATCCACCCTCACGGCTGGTGTTCCGTGTCGCGCAACGTCAACGCCGAAGAGGACGAAGAGGTAATTCCGAAATTACTCGATCTAACTTATTGTTAGAACGGGTTACTTGATGAAACGCCAAATGCTCATTCTGAGAGCTCTTAAATATAGGGTTCCGAACGATTTTGGAGTGTTCGAAACGGTTCTAGGCGGTTTTCAATCTAATTGGAGCGTTTTTAATTGTTCTAGACGATTCTGGAGCGTTTTAGGTGATTCTAGACAATTTCAAATGATTCTGGAGCGTTCTAGATACTTCTAGACAGTTCTAAATAATTCAGGAGCGTTTTAGATGATTCTAGACAATTCAAAATGATTCTGCTGCGTTCTAAATGTTTCTGGGACGTTCTAGATGATTCTAGGCTGTTTTAAATGATTTTAGAGCGTTCCAAATGATTCTGGAGCGTTCTAAATGATTCTAGACTGTTCTAAATGATGATTCTGGAACGTTCTAAATAATTCTAAACGGTTCTAAATGATACTAAACGGTTCTAAATGATTATATATAATAATTCTAATGTTCTAACGAGAGTAATTACTATATAATGACAGGCGGCATTGTATGTGAACCATTTAGAACGCTCCACAATGATTTAGAACCATTTGAGACACTCCAGAACCATTTAGAACTGTCTATCTGGAACCATTTAAGACACTCCAGGACCATTTAGAACGCCCCAGTACGATTTAGAACGCTCCACAATGATTTAGAACCATTTAAGACACTCCAGAACCATTTAGAACGCCCCAGTACGATTTAGAACGCTCCAGAATCCTTTAAAACTGCCTAGAACCATCCAGATGGCTTCAGAACCCTCTTTTTCTTTTAATGAAATTTCAAAAAAAAAATATCTGGTTGTTTCTGATTTTTTTCATCGAGCATAAACGCATAATATAAGCGCATATTTTAAATGTTTTTTTTGTGCTTATTTAGCCACATTTCAGTGCACATTCTCCAAGCCCTACTCATTACCAATCTATTAAATTCGTTGTGTTTTTAGTGCATATTCAGTACACTTTTTAGCGCACATTCTCCAAGCCCCCACTCATTACCCGCCTATTAAATTCGTCGATATTCCAGTGGACGGCGGTGCACGACATCCAAACGAGACACCCCGACGACTACAAGAACGCCTACACGTACGTGAACGAAGCGGAGCCCGAGGAGACGAGCCCGGGCGGCGCCAATCAGCCCACCGATCTCTGGATGGGCTTCGTCACGGTGGCCGATTACTATCGCACCCACAGCCGCGAGTACGGGCGCGCCAGGCAGGACGCCGGCGCCGGCGAGAGCCTCCAGCCGCCCACCATGGGCATCCTGAACACCGGCCTGATCGGCGCCAACGCCTCGTTCGACGCCTACTTCAACCAGTTCCCCGACGAGCGCAACAAGATCGTGCGCAACCTGCCGAGGATGACGCACTACGTCAAAGAGAAGAACGTCGGCAAGGGGTTCATAAAGGAGTTGTGTTTCTCGGGGGACGGTCGGGTGATTTGTTCGCCCTGCGATCGAGGCGTTAGATTGTTGGCGTTCAACGAACGTTGTGAGGAATTGTCGGTTTGCGTGCCGGACGAGCCGCGCCAATTGGAGACCGTGTTAGAAATGAAGAACTATCACAAGGACGTGGTGGTGTCGTGTAAATTCAGTCCGGCGCATTGCCAGCTCGTCAGCGGGTGTTTAGGTAGCGAAATTAAATGGTATCAACCTGTGATATGATGATTTTTTTTATATAATTATCTAATATACGTGATGAGCGTACGGTTAAATTTCCGAATTTCTACGAGTGGTGTTGTAGAAGTTTGTAAACTTAATCGTGCCTCACCTTCTTATCGATAAGAAGAAAAAACATTTTAATTGTCGTTTGTACAAGAATCAAATCGAATTAACCGTTTCTGTTTGCGTTATTATTGTTATTGTTATTATTAGCAGCGTTTCCGGTTCGTTGAACTTGCCTTCTTCGATACAAAAATAACGGTCTGAAGCTCCTTTCGGCCGTTTCGAAGATCTCCTTTTCTTCTTCTCGTTTTTCGGTTTCCTGGCAATGGCAGCAAATTATCAGGCAGACGATGAGCAACGATAATTCCATCTAAATTTATTACGATAGGGTAAACACGTTTTATTTTATATTTAAAACTATGTACTTACTTTGTATCTGTCGAGCGACATGTTTGCTTCGAAAACGGATTTCTTTATTAAATTCATTCGAGTAGTTCGAGTACGGTTCCTTTTTATAAGCGCGTTTGTTGCTAATTTAGAAAGTGTTTGCTTAACAAATTTTCACGATTGTAAAATTTGAAAAAGAGCACGTAGAAATCGCATTTATTGCGTTTTTACATACATTATTCGGTCAGATCAGAACCTGGCTGGATGCGTTACTTCGCAAAAGGCCTGTAATAGAAGAAGAAAATCGTAATCATAGAACCATATACATACTTATATGCATAAAACGATGGATATGTCATTGTAAATTCCGCACTTTCGCTTCAAATAACAACTTGTTAGTTTCAAATTTACTCGGATAACTCTCAAATCAACACTCGGCATAATTTTACTCGAAAACAAATCGCCCTAAACGTCAAACGAACGCGTTATTTTGACAGTTGACGCGCCGACACGTCACTTGTCAATTCGACCATCGAATTGTCAAGTCGCTTTTTGAACAAAATTTGCGATGCGCACACCATTTATTGCCTTTTAATTGAGTACCCTTCGAATTATGCGGAGCCCTGTGTGATATGTCACGTCGCCCGACTCCATTAGACAACGAACAGTGCAGGCAGTGTCAGACGTTCAAAGATTACGTGAAATCTGCCAAAAAGAAGAAAGACAACGAAAACGGTACATGCCCATCCGATAATAATGTAAGTACTTGTTTAATGCGATTATTTAAGCGTTTAATACTAAACTAATACGTAGAACGATGACCATCCGAGAAGGCCGGACTGTCCTTTGGATAAAGAGGAATTGGGCAATAAAACTTGGGGTTTGCTCCACACGATAGCCGCCAAATACCCGGAGAAGCCCGGCTCTACCGACAAGAAAACCATGAGCGAATTTTTCACGTTGCTATCTCGAATCTATCCGTGCGAACATTGCGCACAAGATTTTAGAGAAGAGTGAGTACCGATCGTGCAACTTTACGCAACATCGAATTAATTTTTACGATGATTCCAGCTTGAAATGCGATCCCCCGAAGCTGGAGTGCCGCGAGGAGTTGAGCCAGTGGCTGTGCAGGCTGCACAACAAGGTCAACAAGAAGATCGGCAAAGAGGAATTCGATTGCTCGAAGGTGAACGAAAGGTGGAGGGACGGATGGAAGGACGGTTCTTGCGATTAAGATTAAAAGAAATCTTTAGTAACATTTAGAAGGTTATTAAGTAAATTTAAGAGCATTTATGAAATTAGTTTTTGATATTTAAAGAGGATTTAATGATGCGATATATAATTTGGTGTTGTTATTTCATAGATAAGTGTTTGTACCGAACGGGAACAAATCGACGGAATTCATCAATTCGTTGAAACCGTTAGAAGATTGTTCCGTGGAATGTTCCGTGTTAATATCGTTCTCTGTAGTTTCAGGGATTTGATTCGTTCCATCGTTTGAATCGGTTTTGCTATCCGATCCTAACGAATCCGATTCGTTCGTGTTGCTTTCGAATTTCGAATCGTTGTTACCGAGCTCGTTTTTACCGAAAATCGACCTCCCTTTGATATTATCCAAATAACTAAACGATATTTCCGGCTCGGACGATTCGCTATCCGGCTCCGAGTTATCCGTCATCCAGGAATTGAACCTCTGTTGGGTGATCGTCGAACCGAACTCCTCGTACTCCGATTTAGTAACTGAAAACGACGCAATTCATTACAGCGATCTGCGAATATCGAGCAACTTACCCAAGAGATTCTTGAAATTCGGCACTTTGAGCAACGCGGAGCCCCCCTTCCAGCTGTAACCCACCGGATCGTCGGGCATGTACACCCCGACCTCCCAATCGTGCGGCAAGTAAGACCTCAACTCCGCGTACATCCTGTCCCTGAAGCCGGGGAATTTGCAATTCCCGCCCGATAGGACAACGTGCTTCGCAAGATCCCTCCTCGCGTGCTCGGGGCACCTGAAAATCGAGTCTACGACGGCCTCCGCCAGGCCGGCGCTCTTCATCCCGATGTCCGACGGATGGAACAGGATTTCCGGTACAACGAACCGCTCGTTGTTCAACTTCAGTATCTGGCAGTTCTCTTCGATTTCCTTTTGGTTCACGTCGTTGGGGTCTTGGATGTACCCTCGTCGGATGTTGTTGAAATCGGGCAGGACGTAGTTCCTCACGATGGGGTTGTTTTTCGTCGAAGCGAGCTTCAATTCATCGAGTACGTTGTTCGATATGTAACAAGTGTCTTCTTTTACTTGGTTTATAACGTAAGTTTCTTCCATGACGTTGTATTGTCTGTAAGATATCAAGTCTTTCAAGTGGTTCGTTAGTAATTTACCTCCTACGTTCAGTCTCCGAATGGCTCGTAAGTATTTATTTCCATTTATATAGGGAATTACGTGCGTGAAACTAAATCCCGAATCTACTATAATACAAGGTAAGTTGTTGGAGAGTTTATTATCTTGCTGGTACTTTAGTTTCGATAGATCGGTGGGGTTGGGTCGGAACATCGAAGGTACCTCGTACTCCTCGAAGAATATCTCATCGATGCAGTCTTGTATGGATTTGAAATTGAACAGCGGTTGGGTCATTACGACCGGTTTGTCTTCGACCGGGTGCACGTTCCTGCTGAATACGTAGTCCCAAACGGGTTTCTGCACGTCCCATTTCGTTATGTAGCCCCTTTCGCAAGGTAAGAGGAAGTACAAGCCCGAGCAGTCGCGGCATTCGTTGATTTGCGCGCCGATGAACAGCCGTTTTCGCTCCGATTTGGCCTTCATGATGCAGTTGGGGACGAGAGTGGGCGATTGGGCAGTCGATAGGCCTACTTTGACGCTGTAGGCCCCGTTGTCTACGACGAGGGCCGAGAGGCCTTCGCGTTTCGGCGACTTCGCCCCGGCGCTCAGGACGCTGCTGCGCCTTCTTCTCATTCTGCTCTTGTCGAATGTTCGCGAATAGCTTCGCGGCTCCGCGTTCGATAATTCGCTCATAACTTTTAATCGAATCACTTGTATTTGTTATTTAAAGTTTGTAAATAAAACAAAACATAACCTCTAAAAAATTTATACGTCAATGTCAGCTGTCAATTTAAGATGTGGCTGATGGCAGAAGTAGTAACAGGTCGACGGTTTTTACTTCCTGTTGAGGCATTAGTTGCTTACGCTAAACAGCCTAAGTTCTACGGTTTACCATCCAGTTAAATCTCACGATAAATCGCGAATTTGAAATATCATATTAGGAGAGCAGAAGGTGTGAAGAGGTTTACTCCTAATACTTATTAGTCGCGCTTTACTAATACAATAGATAGGCAACCAGAATTACCAAAATTCGATTTGTTGGTTGCCTATCTATTGTATTAGGAACGCGCGTGTAATAAGTATCAGGAGTAAACCTCTTCACACATTCTGCTCTCCTAATACAAGATATCAAATTCGCGAATTATCGTGAGATTTTCAAACGTTTGACACAAACTACTTGATTTTCTTATATTTGTTTCTCCTGATCGTTCTGCTTTTAATAGCTCCAGATTTTTACAAATTGCGTTTGAAAATGCAATAAAGCATTAATATATAATGCCCAAAATGTTCAATTTTCTTTGAATATGTGTTTTGAAAAACGTTGAAATGTTTAGAATCTTTATTAATGCAACAGGATTCATCCAGGACTTTCCCTAGAAGTACCTCTCTCGATATAATAAATATCTTCTTTGCATATTATCCTTGTGTAATGACCAAAATTTATCAACTTAGATCAACTGATCAACTGAGAAAAAATGACAAAACTTGTGCGATTTCGATTTGAGGAAAGAAAATCTCACGATAAATCGCGAAATTGAAATTTCGTATTAGGAGAGCAGAATGTATGAAGAGGTTTACTCCTGATACTTATTACTCGCGCCTTACTAATACAATAGATAGGCAACCAGAATTACTAAATTTCGATTTATTGGTTGCCTATCTATTGTATTAGGAAACGCGCGAGTAATAAGTATCAGGAGTAAACCTCTTCACACATTCTGCTCTCCTAATACGAAATTTTAAAATTGCGATTTATTGTGAGATTTAGAAACGTTTGACACAAACTACTTGAACTAATATTTGTTTCTCTCGATCGTTCTGCTATTAATAGCTCCTGATTTTTACAAATTGCGTTTGAAAATGTGTATGCGTTTTGAAAAACGACGAAACATTTAGAATATTTATTAATATATCAGGATTCATACAGGACTTTCCCTAGAAGTACCTCTCTCGGTATAATAAATATCTTCTTCGCATGTTATCCTTGCGTTAACGCACAATCTCGATATGAAATGCCTTTTCGTTCATACTTACAATATTTTAATTAAAATGATCGTTTTGTAAGGAGGTTAAAGGATGTCCTAAAAATAAAACACGATATTTTTAAACATTCATTATTATTTTATGATTTCAACCGGAAAACAAATTTTACAAAATAACTTTCAGTTATGCCAATCAACAAAATTATAATTTCAATTATATAGACTAGAGAAACTAGGAATTTTTTCATCGAAATACATAGCTTCGCATCATCGAAATTTTGCAATATACATTTTACACACATAATACTAATCAAATAATTTATTGACAGGTGCTACGCAAACCGAAAAATATATAATTAGAGTACGGAATATACGCCCAGCGCTCATTATCGATACAATTTTTCACACATCGATAAAAAAAAGCCCATCGGCAACCGCTCGATATCCATCTACTTAGAACAAGCCCCGGTACAAATGGCCTGCACCTCATCGGCCACATAAATGATCCTCATCGTATTAGTATAACCGGAACCCTGCTTCCAACCGGTCACCACGATAATCGGATCGCCCGTCTTGATAAAACCCTTCACCTTACCGTAACGAATACCGAATATCAACCGAGCATCCACATCTCTCAACCAATCATCCAACCTGGCGCCCTCGTACAACAACGGCAACACCGCCCTGTAGACCATCGCCTGTCGGGCGACCTGCGCGTTTCGCGTTATCGCTATAATCGGACACCTCGGCTTGAATTTCGATATCAAATACGCCGATTTGCCCGACGTAGTGATCACGATAATGGCGGCCGCCATGCATTTGTTCGACGCCTCGACGGCCGACAGGGCGATCGTGTTGGCCATGTCCAACGGTATCGGCATCGAATCGGCCAGATCTTTGTACATCTCCTGCGTCCACATCGCCGCCTCCGCCTCCTTGCAGATGTTCGCCATCGTGCGCACGCACTCCAACGGGTAGCGACCTTTGGCCGTTTCGCCCGACAACATGACGCAATCGGCGCCGTCCAAGACGGCGTTGGCGACGTCGGAGCTTTCGGCGCGCGTCGGTCGCGGGTTTTTCACCATCGATTCGAGCATTTGGGTGGCGCAGACGACCGGTTTGCCGGCTCGATTGCAACGGGCTATCATCGCCTTTTGGGCGAGGAATACCTTTTCGGTGGGTATTTCGATGCCGAGGTCGCCGCGCGCCGCCATTATGCCGTCCGACGCTTCGATGATCTCGTCCAGATTGTTCATGCCTGAGGATTAGACGGGTTTTAATGTAAAAAAAATGTACTTTTAGATGTTATACACTGTTAGAAAATTATTCGCGCATAATAGGGAAATCAATGTTGAATTCTTAGCCGGCTGAAATACAGTCTACCGGTTGTACATTTCAATAGAACGTCGCGATGAATTCTAATAAATTTAATTGTTCTACTGGATCGCACGCCGCGATTTGTAGAGGTACAAAGTTATTTGTGTTAGGTATGAGGTACAAAATTATTTAGAAACTACAATTAATAGGTTTTTTGGGGATATTTCAAAAAAAATGTGTGTATCGGTAGGTACAGTTTTGAAACAGCAACAAATTTTGTTGAAATAAGGGAAAAAATAATTCAATTTTCAGCTAGAATTATACCTCAGCTCAGTAATATGAGATGACATCTGTATGACAGGTTTGACTATAGTTTAGCAGAAAGCGGTGGACTATTTTTTAGAGTTCTTTTATTTTCTGTTTTAAAATTATCTTTAAGTTTATTTTTGGAGTTTCCTTTTTATTATTTTCTTAGAATTTACTTTCTTTTTCAAGCCATTGTGGCAAAAAGACATATCTACATAATTCTATTTTATTATTAGTGATATTTTTTCAATAAATTATCGTTTAAAAATTTTCATTTCTTTGTAATCGACTCGACGTTCACCCATCCGAACCCGTTTTGATACTGTCGAAGTGTCGAAACCGTCGAAATTATTTGATTTTTAATCTAACCAAGCCAAAGCGCGTTGTGAAGTCCAGTAGAACAATTAAATTTATTAGAATTCATCGCGACGTTCTATTGAAATGTACAACTGGTAGACTGTATTTCAGCCGGCTAAGAATTTAACATTGATTTCCCTATTATGCGCGAAAATTTTTCTAACAGTGTATAACGAACGTTTATCAAAACGTCCCGCTTAAAACCGAGAGCAAAGTACATACGCCCATAATACACCAAAAAAAAAAAATACCTTGTTGATTTTCGATTTTGGAAATGATCAAAATCTTCTTCCCGCCGTCGCCCAACACCTGTCGAATGTCCTGCAAGGCCTCGCCGTTCCTGATAAACGACGCAAACACCATATCGACCTTTTGATCCACGCCGAATTTCAAATCGGACTTGTCCTTCTCGGACACGGCCGGCAAATCCACCGCGACGCCCGGCAAATTGCATCCTACAACAGAATTCAAGCGTTAATAAGTTCCCAACAAATCGAGCGAAAAAAAAAATGGCTAGTTTAGAGCAACTCTAAAGCCGAGTCTTCAATTTGACAGTTTTACATTGGTTGTTATGGAGTAACTAAGGAGATTCTTTCACTTTTGACAGTTTTGCATTGTAGTTATGGAGTGACTAGCGACTCGAGACGCGACTTTAAGGGCGCCACTTCAGGGTATTTTTAATTGGGAAAACATAGGTTCAGGTTCATTAATTGATTTGAATCTTTCTTATATCTAATATAGAGACACCAGGCAATGATAGAATTACATTTTGCCATTTAAATAGCATTGCAAATAAATGGCAGTTTTTGATTGCAATTTTCTCAAATATGCAATGAAGTAGTAGAGATTAAAAATAGGAGATATCATCGCTCGGAGTCTCTATATTAGATATAAGAAAGATTCAAATAAATCAATGAACCCAAATTCGAATCTTACTAGAATTACTGAACCTATGTTTTCCCATTTAAAAATACCCTCAAGTGGCGCCCTTAAAATCGCTCAAAACTCAAACAGATGCGCCTCAATACGGGGGCCGCCAACAATACCTTTACGACTGCCCAACATGCCGCCGTTCTCTATAGTACAAGTCAACACCGATCCGGATATTTCGTCGACGGTGAGCGACATCAGCCCGTCGTCGAGGTAGATCCGGTTGCCCGGCTCGATCACCGATTGGATGTTCTCGTAGTCGATGTACACCATGTCCTTGGTGCCCTTCGATTCGTACGCCTTGTCCACCGTCAGCTTGATCTTCTCGCCCTTCTTCAGCTCCACCTCGGCCGAACCGCCCTAAAAAAACACCTTTTATTCACCGTTTTCGATACGAATTTAGCGAGTACTTACGCCTTCGAGTAATCCGGTACGGATCTCCGGACCTTTGGTATCCAGAGCTATAGCCAGGGGATAGTGGATGCCGATTTGTTTGCTGTAAACGGCTTGAGCCTTGCGTAGGTTCTCGATCGTCTCGGCGTGGTATTCGTGGGAGCCGTGCGAGAAATTCAAACGGGCCACGTTCATGCCGGCCTCCATCATCTTCACCAACATATCCACATCTCTAGACGCCGGCCCTGAACAGTAACAGACCATTAATCGCTACACTAATCTACTACACTCATCGCTCACCTATGGTACAAATGATGCCGGACAATCGGATGAACGAGGCTTGGGAGTTGATGTCCAATTGGCAGAGGTGCTCGAGGTGCGTGGGGGCCGTGAGGGCCTGCATCTGCTCCGGCGGTACTTGGTCGCCCATCTAAAATATACAGATTGTTTAGTACGTATGGGGTGAACGGTTCGATGTGGTACAAGTGCAGGGACCTTTTTGTTGGCAGCCTCTCGATCGAACACAGTATCGAACACCATGTTTTTGGGGCCTTTGGAAATGCTTCTGAAAGAAACCGATACGCTGTTCAGAAACGTTCTGGGCGAACTTGGCGTACCCTTGAATAGAACGAACGGGATCCCCCCTCTAGGAGACGCTAATAGACATCTTCCCCACCACATTCGAGCGGTTTTAAACAAATATTATTGAGGTTTTCGGGGGGATTTAATTGTAAATAGGGTGCGAAAGAAAGGACAAGCATATTGTAGTATCCAGAGAGACAATTGGTAGTTTGTAAATTGATTATTCAAGCCTTCTAATGCCATTTAAAATTAGCTACGTAGGGAGTCTATAAATAAACCTTAGTACATCAATTGTGCCAGGTTTATGTAACGCAAACGAGATAAAACCCGCGAAAAACGAGAGTAGTGCGTTAAAAAAATAAGGTAATAAAATATTTAATCTCTCGAGTAGATTGTTTAACTCGTTAATTAGTACCTTTAATTTTATTATTACCATACGTGCACATCTTTTGGGAAAAATTGTAGTGTAACGTAAATAATACAGGGTGTCCCAATGGTTTCGCATATCAAATTGTGTGCTACTTTGGGACACCCTGTATTACGCTTAAACTTCGGTTTTAGGTGCATTTTTGTTGGGCTCGAAGAGAATTAATTTTTTTCACGTGGTGAAGGTGTTGTGAATTTTACGTTATCTCTGTATAATTTAACGAAAAGTGATTAGATAAATCGGAATGGCTGCTGATAAATTAACCTCAAAGTCGGGTGATATTTATCGGCAAATATTATTTAATTAGTCAAGGCCGCGGAAAAGTAACCAGTCGAATTAATGTGTTTAGATATTTTTTCGGCTTTATCCCCAACGAAATACTTACCCTTTCGCCTGGATCGCCGTTAAAACGAGGGCAATTTTAGCAAAAAGAAAAATTAGTAAATTGCGTTTTTTTATAAATAAAATTTGGTGACATTGTCACATTTATCGAATTTGGAATTTTTTACCTTGGTTTATTGGCTTCGTTTAGGGACGTGTATTGACGATGCGAACGCACGAATTTCTACCGGTTTGCAGAAAATCGAATTTATATTAACAGTTCTTTACCGTTCGAATGAAAGCATTTAATTTACAACCGGGAGGTTAAGTGGGCAAACCTTGATTAATTTGCGAGAAAAAAATCTGATTTCATTGACAGATGACGTTTGTAGATGTTTGTTCGTTTGTTAAATTCCACGAAATTTCTACAAAAAAACGTACACAAATGTCAATGTCACAACATTTGAATTCGAATATTTTATTAATCACGAGTACATTTTTCTTCCAAATTAAATAAAAACGTAATATCTACCTAATAAGTATTTTGCAAGTTCGATATAAAGTAGTACATACAGATAAGAGTAAATTTGTACGCGTAAATTTGTTGGTGTATAATATGTGTGCAACAAAGACAACATCCGGTAATCTTGTATAAAGGAAAATGATACAGTGATATCGTGAGAAGATAGTGTATCTTTCTCACTCTAACCACTGTTACTTTAATAATCTTTCTTTGTTCAACTCATCAAATTGCAAACAAATTATGCACTTACATATATATTAAACGCATTCTCTAAAAACAAAACGTCCTTACCTCATCGATCTCATCATCTCTAATAACAGCTTGCATTTTAGCAGATCTAGCACACTCCGTGTTTGATGACCTCTACGATAGCACCATTAAAATACTAACTAAACTTTGCTACAATGCAGCTTTATAACATCTTGCGCTAAGAACATGCATAACTTGTGTACTAAAAGTGTCAAAAATGCGTGGAAATCACTCCGGAACGGGCATGTTCATCGCCTTATCAAAGTTTAACACGAATTAATTAACTCTCACATTACCATTATCTCCTATAGGTTATCGTCTTGAAGATTTGTTGTTGTGTAAAAGCTCTCCAGCGCTTTTTTCGTATAGAAATATATTAAATAAAAACAAATTTATCCAACAATAAGACACACTTAGTTACGTAGATTATAAAATAGTTGTTTCACAGCTAAAATAAATACAATAAACCACCTCAATATACTAGTAAAAACAACCGAACACAATCGTAGCTAAAACATTACAAGCAGCAAACAACAAGGCGTACTTGATAACCCTGCTGATTACATAAAACCTCTTCTGCTTCGCCCGGGCGATCTCCAAAGTATCATCGTTTTCGTTCAGCAGATGCACCCTCAAGCCCCTGATGTAGCCCCTGAAGAACATCAACCAATGCAAGGTGGTCGCGCTGAACGGAAACATTCTCTTGTCCCTTTCATCAAGTTTCTCCCACAGGTTCCTCACGTTGCCGTTGGAGAAGGTCCAGCTGCGCGAGGCGAAGTACGAGAGGATCATCGAGAACTTGTGGATCTTCTTGTAGATCCTCGACATCCTGCCGAACGAAATCGATCAAACGAATGCGAGGATTAAAGGCGATTTGTGGTACCTGGGTTTGTTGCCGGTGAGTAGAGCGAAGCAATCGACCAGCAATCCCGGTAAGGTGTGCAGGAACAACGAGAGTATCCAGTAAACGTAGAAGTTGTCGGTGAGGATGAGGAAGGTCTCCCATAGGGAATTCGCTGCGGGGTACTTCTTGCCTTGGATGTAGTTCAAATTGATCATTTCCCGCCATGTTATGGGGTTTTCCGGCGACGATACGTAGTTGTACACCGGCATCTCGGACGATCTGAAGCGGAAAATATGCGGATCTAGTTTAGAAGGAAGGATGAACGGGGGTCCTGGAACGTTGGCTGTACAAACAGGTTGTAAACGTGAAAGTTGCGTTTGCCAAAGTAGACTCATCCAAAAGGGGTGATTAGATCTCTTAGAATCGAATGGGGGTGATGCTATTTGGTGGACACCAAGAGAGGATAAGGGGCTATGTTTATTGAAAATTTCAGGTCTTTACCTTCTCCATAGACAATTTTACAGGACTTTAAAGTAATCTTAACGAATAGCGTAGGATGCCTTATACAAAGGGGAAATTCCACCAGTTAGAATTAACTGAGGACCATGCTACTTGGTGGACACCAAGAGAATATACGGGGCTATGCTTGTTGAAAATTTCACGTCTTTATCTTCTCCATAGACAATTTTACAGGACTTCAAACTAATCTTAACGAATAGCGTAGAACGCCTTATACAAAGGGGTAATTCTACCAGTTAGAATTAACCGAGAGCGATGCTACTTGGCAGATATCAAAAGAAGATACAGGGCTATGTTTGTTAAAAATTTCATGTCCTTATCTTGACCATAGACAATTTTACAGGACTTTAAAGTAATCTTAACGAATAGCGTAGGACGCCTTATACAAAGGAGCAATATCTACCAGTTAGAATTAACCAAGGGCGATGCTACTTGGTGAAAACCGAGCCAACTCCCGAGCATTCATCTGACGAAAGTTTCACAAATCTACATTGGCTCTAGCCAACATTAGAGGGATCCAAAAAAAACCACCGAATCGATACTATCAATGTACACAGCCTACAACTTACTGATGATGTTCCCGTTTGTCCGTCGAAACATCCCAAGCCGTGGCAATCAGACAATCCACGCACAAATCCACCGGCACCAAATCGGCGAGTTTCTCCTGATGACAATAGAACACCCTCATCACTCCCGACAGAACTGCAGCGCACACTCCCGTCGGTCCGTACAAATTATCAATCCAACCTTCTATGGGATCCTTGTAAGTGGAAACGACTGAAACAAGAACCAATATAACAACTCCATCAAGAGATGTAGAGCCTGGAGGTTTCGAGACAACAGCCACACTCACCTATGGACGGTCTGAAGATAGCCACGGGCAGGCCGTTTCCGATGTCTTTCACCAGCGACTCGGCCAGCGCTTTGGTGAACGTGTAAGTGTTGGGCCATTGGCCGATTATCCTGCAAACGGTGTAGCGTCAACAGGACCTTTAGAACCAGCAGATTCCGGCTGGAAATATTTACCTGGACGTCAACCGTTCGGCATCGAGCTCGTCGACCTTCTCCAGCAAGGCCTCGACGTCTTGGTAGGGCGCCGGGAAATCGTAGATTTTCTCGTCGATCTCGGCCCGAGGGCAATTCGAATAGGCCGTCGACACGTGCACGAACGACTAAGAAAAACGTTTCTTCCATGTTAAACCATGTTAAACCGTGTTAAACCATGTTAAACCCTACTCATTTGTACGTTATACTACATTATTTAGGTTCTTGTTAGACGGGAAAAGAAGCTAGAAGGTTCTTCTTGAGAATCCCCTAAAGGAGGTTCTTGATTGAAGGATTTCTACAAAGTTGTGCGTTGTAAAGATGAGTAAAAGGCGAGTAAGGGTGAGGAAAGGTAAGTAGAGGTGAGGAAAGTTGAGTAGAGGTAAGGAAAGGTGAGCAAAAGTGAGTAGAGGTGAGGATAAAGGTGAGCAAAGGTGAATAAAGGTGAGTGAAGATGAGTAATTACGTGAATTTCTAGGTAACATGGGGACATGTTATACTATACATTGTTTAGGTTCTTGTTAGATAGAAAAAGAAGCTAGAAGGTTCTTCTTGAGAATTCCCTAAAGGAGGTTCTTGATTGAAGGATTTCTACAAAGTTGTGCGTTGTAAAGACGAGTAAAAGGTAAGTAAGGGTGAGTAGAGGTGAGGAAAGGTGAGGAAAGGTAAGTAGAGGTAAGGAAAGGTGAGCAAAAGTGAGTAAAGGTAAGGATAAAGGTGAGCAAGGGTGAATAAAGGTGAGTGAAGATGAGTAAATTTCCGGGTAACACGGGGACATCCAGTAACGTGGGGGGACATCAAGTAACATAGGAGGGACATCTAGTAACATGGGGGGACACCAAATACCACGGGAGGACATCTACTAACATGGGGGACACCAAATACCACGGGAAAATCAAGCAACTTTGGGGTATTCTCTCACCTTCAATCGTTTCATCTGCCTGGCCAGATGGACCACCTCCTTGGCGGCGTTGACGTTGACGTCGTAGGCGACTTTGATGTGCTCGTCGAATCGGACGGTGGCCGCCGCGTGGAAGACGACGTCGATTTTCGACGCCAGCGTCTGTCTGTCGTCGATCGACAGACCGAGACCGGAGAGCGAACAATCGCCGGCGACGGGCTCGACGCGGTGCCTGAACTTCGGCGTCTCCTTCTTCAGTCTGTCGAACACCTGCGGAGGCGGCGGCGAATTTTATTCGGGGGGCGGTTGAGCGGTTGATTGGCGGTTTGAGAATGGATGAGGGATGATTAGAGAACGGGCTAGTGGATGGGGATGGTTGATGAATTGAGAACGGAGGAATTGTTGATTTGTGAATGGTTGATTGAGCGAATGATGGTAAATCATGAGGTGATTCATGAGGTGAACGATGATTTGAGAGTGTGTATGATTGATGATTAGAGAATGGATGATTGAGGAATTGAGAATGGAAGAAGTGTTGATTTGAGAGTTTATGAATGATGAATTCAGTATTGGTGATTGATTAAGTGAACGATGTGAATCGTAATGAGGTGATTTATGAGGTGGGTGATGATTTAAGAGTGTATGATTGATGATTTGAGTGTGTATGAGAGGATAATTTCAGGGGAGGATTTTAGGAGAGGATTTCAGGGGAGGATTTGATGAGAGGATTTCAGGGAGGAATTCAGGAGAGGATTTGAGAAGAGGAATTAAAGAAAGGATTTCAGGGGAGTATTTCAGGAGAGGAATTCAGAAAAGGATTTGAAGAGAAGATTTGAGGAGAGGAATTCAGAAAAGGATTTGAAGAGAAGATTTGAGGAAAGGATTTCAGGGGAGGATTTTAGGGGAAGATTACAGGAGGGGATTCCAGTATGGATGAGTAAGGATCGATGATTTGAGAGCGAGTGATTGAATGATTGAGTGATCGAGTGATCGAGTGATTGAATGATTGAGTGATCGAGTGATTGAGTGATTGAGTACTTACGACGTTATCGAACAATTCGTCGATTCGAGCATGGGCGTTTTTGCCCTTCTTCTCCCTGATTAGAACGTAGATGGCGTCGACTTGGGTGGATCTGAGCAGCTTTTCTATGAGGATTTTTCCCATGAAACCGGTGCCGCCCGTTACGAAGACGTTGGCGCCTTTGTAGAATTTCTGCATCGGCGAATCTTCGTCCATTTCGTCGCCTTTAATTAACTTATTAAATTACAACATATATTACGAAATATTAACCTACTAGATTTAGATGTTGTGTTTCGTATAGACTATATAAATATTAGATTAGAGCTATCCTAGGCAGTTTAGAACGTTTTAAATATAAGTGGAACTGTCCTGGACAATTTGGAATCACTTTGGAGCAAATTAGAACTGTCTTGGACAATTTGGAACAGTTCGGAGCAAATTAGAACAGTCCTAGACAATTTGGAACATTTCGGAGCAAATTAGAACTGTCCTGGACAATATGGAACCGTTCGGAGCAAATTAGAACTGTCCTGGACAATTTTGAACAGTTCGGAGCAAATTAGAACTGTCCTGGACAATTTGGAACAGTCTGGAGCAAATTAAAACAGTCTATTAAAAACCTCGTTCGGTTGTTCCTCCTTTCCATCAATTTTTCTTTTCCAATCACGTAAAACCGCCGGTAGGTATCAGAATGAATAGGTAATATGTAGCCGACGTAATAATAAAGTGTACGTTATTTTTTTAAACATTACAAATTCATTGACTAAAAAATGCAGGTATACAAATACATACGTGATCATTTTTTAATTCGTCGACCTTGTGCATATGTGCCGAAATGCCTCTGCAATATGGCGTATGCTTTATATCCATCTCGGTTTACTCTAATCTAATCCATTCGGAATAGTAATTAATTAAATTTCGACAGATCTAATATCCATTCGTCAAGGCGGCTGTGTATTAGATATACGTCAATATACGGTGCCTTGTCTAAGGTATATCGATTAGTTCGAACGTATATTTTTTTAAACAATTATTTATTATTAACTGTAGAGTTGTAAATGAACGTTTTTCTAGTTTATTATTCGATGCAACAAAAATTAAATGGAAAATAACTTTTTTAAAATGACATTTTAATATGTCAAAAAGCTACTAGATTTATACTTTTAATATTTTCATTTCCGGTTGAATAAATGCAATTTTTTGACATTGATGACATGTTTAAAAACAGCCTACTATGTTGATTCCGTTCAAAGGGATTCTTATTTGGGTGAAGTTCCTAAATGTTGATAAATAATATACAGGGTGAAAAATTATTATTCGCATTTGCACGTGCGTACATTTTAATAATAAAAATAATAATAAATTGATTGTTTTGTTCGTGTTAAGTCGTCTCTAATTTAACGAGGTCACGGTCAATTTTTTATTTTTTTTCGCTGATTTCGATAAATATTTAAAATTTGCATTTTTTCGGCATTTAAATTAGTTCGAATTAAATTCAATTTCGGACGGGACAATTTCATTATCAAATTTTTAGTGTAAATTTTTCTTTAATTTTGCATCGAGGCCTAAAGAAATTTTGTATGAGAGAACTCGAATCCTTCGGCATACCTATTTAATCTACTGCAAATAAATCATATTTAGAAAAACATATTTGTGTACAGAAAGTTTTCCATAGGTTGAATTAAAAAATATAGGACAAATTATCTTAAAATAAAAAACAATCGATTATTTCGAAAAATAAACAAAACATAGACTATTAACTACAGATTAATTAAAAATGTATAACTTACTTTTCTTCGCAGATACGCTAAAACCACATCAATACCAAAAAATCGTCGACAAATTAAAATACAAACCGAAAATTTTTCGAAAAATCCAAAACAATTATCTCACAAAAAAATAAAACAACAACAACAAAACGAGACTCGTTCAAACACCTCTCCCAATATCGCCTATTTAACACTAATTGACAATAAATAAATTTTCGATCAAGAGCCCCGGGTATTTGTAGCGCTCACGCGAACGAGCCTACTTCGTTATATTACACGCAAATAAATTAAATCTGGTGGGGTATCCTCCGCCATAATATTTCCCATCATCATATACAACCTGTAAATACAAATATTATTTTTTCTAAAATTATATTTACAACGCCAATGTTTGATAGTAAGATATAAATCGATTCGTGTACTTATAAGGGTTCGAAATGTTTATTTGGTCAATTGATTCAATAAATCGGTAATTTATTGTATTTGTATACAGGGTGTCCAAGTAATTTTGAACAAAAATTTGAGCACCCTGTAGCTCGAAAACTAAGAGGTTTAGGACATACATTGATATAAACTTTTCTTCTTAAATTCAATCAAATATTTCCATCCTGAAGTATCGGCATTCAAATAATTAACACCCTGTATAGATAATAGAACTTCAATAATGTTTTTTATAGCACCAGTGAGTATTTTCAGGTTTTCAATTTATTACACAGCGTACGTGCTTTGGAAATTAATATTACACTTAATTAGGATGTTTAAAATATTTTCTAATTGCCTTAATTTAGCAAATGTTCTTGAAAAAAAAATAATTAAAACCCGATTTTTCTCAACCATTTTTTTTGCACAATTTAATTTACGTTAATTTTCGAAAAAAAAACTGCGAAATGATGATTACTCAAATGGAATATTTCCTCCGTGAAATGACAGTTATTAAGTAATTGTTTAAATTCAATTCGAGCTTGCGAAGCGAACGAGAACGCTATATAGAAACACTAGAAATTCCCCAATTATTTCCATATTATCCTGTTCATAATAATCTCCGAATAAAACAGTAAACTCTACAAATTCTCGACACGTTTCGATTATCCAGCGTCAAATGATCGCCATTTGCATATTACATATGCGTCAAAGAAGGAAATTTGTACGATTTCCACGTACAAATTACGCGATTATATTCGACGAAAATCGAAGAGAATCCCCCGGTAAATCACAGATTTCCGAGGCGGCCCCAAAGCGGGGGGATTCCCCGAGCTCGATAGCTCAAACATCCCTCCAGAAAGGGCTCGTTTTCAACGCATTTTTTTCTCTCCCGACTATTTCTAAATACTTAACATACTTCGGGGGCACGTACTTCACCGACGAAGGTCGGATTTCCACTAAATTATTCTCCACGAATTTCGTATACGGTCAACATTAATAATTATAATAAGTTTGACGGGCTAATTGGCATGCAGGGGACGCCGTCATTAGCATTTGTGTGTTATCAATTAAATGCTCACATTTTATTTAAAGCTGCGAGAGTATACCGGATAGAAACATTTAATTGCTCGAATTAATAGTAAAAAAATGTATTTTTTACACGGTTCTATATTTCTAAAGTCTGGAAACTTAGGTTGAAAAAGTGTCCCGTTATGTAAGGATAAAATAGGGTTCCTAAAACAGCCGCTAGGAGGCGATGTTGTAAAGGACCACGGTTTTTTCCGTACGAATTATGTAGAATTAGCATTAAAAAAGGTTTTATTCAAACTAAAAATAGATAGAAAATATAAAAGTATACTTACATCAACGATGATTTTGTTGTAAACATCATGCCTCACGTATCTTCGGTTAATGTATTTCTCCATTTTCTCCTCGAAATGTAAAAAAATAATTTTTGAAGTTTTGACAGCTCGAACTGTCATTTCACACAATCGCGATTTATATGTAGCGTGACGCTGATTGGTCGAGATAAGTTGGCCCTCCGATCGTTCGCCACCTTGCGGCGAAAAAGTGAAGCTCAAAAAGTCCTCAAATAACGGGACACATTCTCTAATGCATAAGAATAGGGAGATTCCAGACCTTAGAAATTTAGGACTGTGATTTTTTGCATTTCATTAAAAAAAAGGAGAAAACGTGCGTAAAAACAAAAATCACTCGTTCAGTTATAAGGCCTCTTCTTAGATAAGGAATCTTTCTGATTATTATATTCGAAAAAAACCCGTAATTGTTATAATCATTATATAATAATCGCATTGGACTGTATCCAAATGTTTTAGTGATATTTCTGTAGATAACCAAAATACGGTTTAAGTGAAAGTATTACGTTACCGATCGTAGACAAGTAAATTTTATTATGCGCCCATTTATTCGCATAAATCATCTCGTAAATACAGTGGAAGATAATCATTTGCGTGCGATCGTTCCGGTTTATTAATCCAAAACGTATCATTTTCCCTAAGACCTTTTAATTTACATAATGTGTAATCTGTGTTGCCTGCCTTAGATACAGAGGTAACGGGATAACTGTACTGTACAAGGCGCATTTTTTGATGATTAAAAAATAATCATTGTTTAGTAATTAAACAAATTGGTGACTTAAGTACGTTCTAGCCTTTCGCTATTTTTGAGCTTTTTTGATAATTATTTGTGAAAATATTTGGTTTTTTATTAAGGCGCATTGCGATTGGTCGAGATTTACTTCTTCAAACTTATGACAGTTTTGACATTGACGTTTGTTCAGTCAAATCGAAATAAAACATGGCGTCGATCCTAAAATTTTCGAGATCTTTTTCAAATTTAAAGAAAATCGACTCTATAGTGAAGGTAAGAGAGGAAATAACCCCGATAGAATCGAAGCCACATTATACTCGTTTCGATTTTACCCAAGTCCACTCAACCGACATTCGACATTACGTAATCGTATATGCGATTGATCTAAGGTCTCATTTCCTCAGGTATCCAGCAATAAAATCCGGGGAGCCTCCACACAGGCCGAAGCCAAGACCGTTCTACTCAATGTCCCCCCGACCAGAGTCACCTGTTTATCAAACGGTACGCATTTATTTATAAAATGTAATACACTTTTTTGAGGTTAACTAATCGGTATTCGATAGGCTTGAGAGTGGCCAGCGAGGACTGGGGCTCCCAAACGGCCACCGTCGGTATCTGGATAGACGCCGGCAGTCGATACGAAAACGACTGCAACAATGGCGTCGCCCATTTCATGGAACACATGGCCTTTAAGGTACATTTAATTACCATCAACGAACTCTTCTAATCCAAGATGTAATTACAGGGCACGAGCAAAAGAACGCAGAGCCAACTGGAAATAGAAATCGAAGATTTGGGGGCGCAACTGAACGCCTACACGAGCAGAGAACAGACGGTGTTCTACTCGAAGTGCCTGGCCAAAGACGTGCCCAAGGCCATCGAAATACTCGCCGATATCATCCAAAACGCCAAGCTCGGCGAAACGGAGATCGAACGGGAGCGAGGCGTGATACTGAGGGAGATGCAAGAGGTGGAATCCAATTTGCAGGAGGTGGTTTTCGATCATTTGCACTCGACTGCTTATCAAGGCACACCCCTAGCCAATACGATTTTAGGTGAACTATTAAATAAAATTGTTGTAAGGGATTGTGATAAATTCTTTTAGGACCTACGGCTAATATTCGATCGATAAACGCCAAAGATCTGCGCGATTACCTAGCGAATCACTACAAAGCATCGAGGATAGTCGTGGCCGGAGCGGGGGGCATTAATCACGATGAATTGGTCAAACTGACCGAATCAGCTCTAGGATGTTTAAGTAATTAGCTTCTAGTAACCTCTAGTTGAAGTGTACGATTCGATTTATGGTTTCATTTTTTAAGATAACGATTACCCTGGTGAGATACCGGAGATCGGCCCTTGCCGGTACACCGGCTCGGAGATCCGCGTCCGGGACGATTCGCTGCCGCTGGCGCACGTCGCCCTCGCCGTGGAAGGGGCCGGTTGGACGGATCCCGACACGCTCACGCTGATGGTGGCCTCCACCTTGCTGGGCGCTTGGGACAGATCGCAGGCTTCGGCCAAGCAGAACGCCACCACGTTGGCCAGGGCCAGCGGCGAAGGGGACCTCTGCCATTCGTACCAGAGCTTCAACACCTGCTACAAGGTAAAATGCGAAGAGGATTAACGAATTAACGTACTGTGAATATCGCATTTTGTAGGATACGGGTTTGTGGGGCGTTTACTTCGTATCGGATCCGCTGAAAATCACCGATATGGTGTACAACATCCAGCAGGAATTCATGAGATTGTGCACCAGCGTCACCGAAGGCGAAGTGGAGCGCGCCAAGGCCCTTCTCACCGCCAACACGCTCCTGCAGCTCGATACGACGAGCGCCGTTTGCGAAGACATCGGTTAGTTAGGAAAAGGATTAGGAGCGAGAGAAATTGATTGGGATTTGTGTTGTAGGTCGGCAGATGTTGTGCTACGGCAGGAGAATCCCGCCGCACGAGCTCGCCCATCGCATCAACAGCATCACGGCCAAGAACGTGAAAGACGTTTGTTACAAATATATATACGATAGGTGTCCGGCCGTGGCGGGCGTGGGGCCCGTGGAGAATTTGCCCGACTACAATGTCATCAGGTCGCAAATGTACTGGTTGAGAGTGTAAAATGGGGGTTTCTAATCTATCAGGAGCGTATTTAATACTACAGAATGTATATTTTTCTTTTCTTCTACCAGTCTGATTCGTTCGATAAGTTTAAATACCGAAAACTTTGTTTTGTAGTATTACTTGGTGGTTTAAATGTTAGTTTAATTCGACAAGTTTCCATAATAAATTATAAACGGTAAAATGCCTGTGTAATATATTAAATTGTGAAGTTATGCGAGCTGTGTATTTGATTATTTTTATTAAAATTAATCTTAAAAATCGATTTGTAGAATCATTTATAGAGCGAAACTAAAATTTAAAAGTGGTATTCGATGCAAATTTTACGCAAAAGAAGCGTTCGTTGGGGGTATATACGAGTATACAACAAATGCTTCTAATATTTTTTTAATCTACGATAAAAGTTGAATAACAAGTTTTTTTTTTTCGAATATATCGGAATGTAAAACATTTAACACCACAATTAAAACTTATGTAATAAATAGATTAAAAAAAAAACGAAACCACCTACTACCTATAGCTGTCGTATTTTCGCAATAGCTCGTTAATTTCAACATCCTCCTTGTGTTCCTATAAAAAAATAAACAAAAATTCTCAACTACAACTCGCTCTACGCACGCGCCGAAAGACTCACCGATTCGTCCTTGGGCGAGACCCTCGAGGCCTTCACCAGCCATTCCACCGCCTCCTTATACTCCCCTTTAGCCACGTAACACTTGGCTACCATCAATCGATTCGTTTTCCATCCGTACGCAGTCAGTTTTTCCGCTTCGAGGAAGTGGCCGAGCGCCTCTTCGAACGTCGAACTCGGCGGCTCGCTGAACAGGGCCGCAGCCACTTTTCGTTCGTACCACCGCATGCCGGCTATCTGGTAATCGAACATGCCCAGCATGTGGTGCAAAACGCCGTCGGCGGGGCTCAGCGCCAACGCCTTTTCCACGTGCTGCTTGAACAGGAAACCATCGTTGATTTTCTCCTGTATAGAAACGAACTCCGTCCTCAAACCGATCAGGATGGCGTACCATTTGTGCACGTCCGGGCTGTCGTCTTTTAGTTGCAAAGCGGACTGGCACGCTTCGATGCCTACGGAACGAACGTTATCGCAAATAAAACACCATTCGTTGCGGTTTGTACCTTTCGTAACGTGTTCTCTGATAACGGCCTTGTCTTGAGAGTGGTCGGCCAATTTCTTGTGAGCCTTTCCGATCCTCCACAGCAGCTCGGGGTGCTGGGGGTGTTCCAAGCACAAGTCCGTGAGCATGTTTAGCACCTCTTCTAACGTCGCCGCGTTGTCTTTGTCTAACTTGTGGTCGACTGTATCTAGTAACTAATAGAAATGTAAGTATATTCCGATTAAGGATTAGATTGTGTAGGTGAATACCCCGGAGAGGTTTGAAGATTTATCGGCTTCCAGTTCGTTATCGCTGAGGTCGTAAAATTCCAAATCGGAGCTATCGAGGTTAGTGGAGCTGAGGTATTCGTCGAGTGTGGATGAAGATACAGCGGAATTGGCTTTCTTTATGGAGGATTTCGCTCTACGCCCCTTCAGCGACCTACAATTTAATACTATAACGACGATACGATATAATAAGAGGGAGACAATTCACCTGTCGCTCGATTTCTTGAGGACTTGGTCGAGTTCCTTGCGAACTTGGGACAGTTCCTGATCCAAGCGGGCCAGATCTTTGGCCATTCGGTGTCTGACTTTCTCCTGTCTGTAGTGCTCGACGAGGAACATGCCGGCGGCGCTGATGACGCCCAGAAAGGCGGCCCCTAGGAAAGCGTTCAGATTATTTTGCAGGGGCATGGTTTTGTAGGTTATGGCAAGCGATTCATGGGAACGGGGGCGATTCAAAGAGCTTCGATTGCTAAGAACGAAAGGCCTAAAAGAGAGCTCGCATTGTACTCTTCATTACGCATTTTATTTATAAATTCATTTCTAAACTTGCACTTTTTTCTACAAACGTTTAATATATCAAACCGTGTGTCATCTGTCATCAGTGTCAACGTCAATCAAATGTCACACAAATCGGGCGCTTTCGTGTAAGTTCGTTTATTTTTCAAAATAGTTTTAATAAGTTTAGCAAGAATAAATACTATATTTAAATAATTTAATAGGTATTAACTAATTAGTTGGTGTAATTATACGAAAATTGCGAATTATCAATAAGTTACTGTACATTTTTTTAAATCAATAAACTCGGATGCTCGTACCATTTTGGTACCTAGATTTCACAACAATACTATAACACAAACAGTAATTTATTAGGAATAATAAAATTGTGTTACATGTTACAACTAATCAATAGGTCCAAAGTATTTGAAAGTATTGTAAAACAAGTTATTACAAAAAAACATTTACTCACCTATTAAAGTGTTGTTTTTCTTAAATGACGTAAATTTATCACCCATACTAAAATGTCTAAACGTAAGTAGCCGCGTAAAAACATTGCGCATTATCGAATTATTTAATTATTATTTAATCAAAGCAATTAATAGATAAGAAAATGGAATAAGTTTCAATCAAGCAAGCCTTTCGTTTTAACTCTACTCGTCGTCTGTCACTAGTCGCAGCACTCTCGGCAAACTTTCTATTTTTTCTAGGTCATTAATTAAAAAGGAAATTGTTAAATCGGCATTATCAAGCACTTTATACGGTTTATCGTCTTTATCATGTCAATTTGTATAATGGTTTCTACCCAAACGAAATTTAATACGCTCGGATATAAAATATTTTTTAAACGAGCAAACTTCTATTGGCAACCCTGAAATAAGTTATTTTCAGAGGTTGGTATGGAAACTGTCAGTACACCGTTACGGCGGCAAACAGGTTAATATCAAACAAAGGTAGTAAAATGGACTTGTATATTTCAAAAATGCATTTTTCACATAAATACCTACAATTTTTACTTTTATTATACTTTGTATTTTTATTGAAATTATTATTATAAAAAATAAACCGAACGAAGGTAAATTAAAATAAAAAAAAAGAATCTGTCACCGCGCGGGAAAATGTGAAAATTACAGGCGAGGCTTTAGAAAATTCGAGAGCGATCAGATGAATTCTTCGGGCTCCCTCGGTGCGTCCAAGTCCCTGTAGTGGATGACCGGCCTGAAATCTGTCTGGCCGCCCCTGGTAAAAATTAAAGAATTCTTAACAGAAATATCATATTTACTTCATTTTATAGAAAAAACGTTTCTCTACAATTTTCGAAACTAATTATAAAAAAGTATATTCAAGTCAAAAACCTTTTGTACCTCGAACGCGGCTGAAATCCCCTCGATCTGGCATAACCGGAATTGAAATAGGGGGCGGGACGTCCGTAACCCTGACCCCCAAACATGCCGCCACCGCCGCCTCCGAATCTACAACAAAACATCATTATTACCATTTTTAACAATCAATTCATACAATTATCACTCCATATGGACCATGTAAAGGTCGAAAAGAGATAGTTAGAGATGAGTAGATTCAAAGTAGAAGAGATTCAGCGTAGAATAGGAGTAGAGTAGGAGTAGAGTAGGTTTAGAGTAGGTTTAGAGTGGGTTTAGAGTAGGACATTCGAACGCGACTTACGGATGACCGTAATTGGCCGGCTCCTCTCGCTTCGGCTGCGGCGCCTCGGCCAGCATCGGCCTTTTCGGATCCTTGAGGTAATTATTGAAGAATTCCACCTCCTTCTTCACCTCCTCCAATTTCTCGGCGTGCTTGTTGAATATGTGCTTCCTCACGAAATCCGGACCTGAAACACAATAAAATATGACAAAATTGACATTAATGACAGTTAGTATGACAGAAGTTTAATAGAGGTGGGAAGCGATTTTTTTGGTATAGAGGTACTGTAACGACTGTTACAAAATAACCGTTATATTACAAATATCGTTCTCCTGATGAGCTCCTCTCCTACTAACTATTAGTAGGAGAGTAGAATTAAAGTATAAATAATAAATTACCTTTGAATTTCTTTCCCGACAGAGGACACAGCCATTTGTCCTTGGCCAATTCTCTGGTATTCGCTTGGACGAATTTATCGATTTCCGTATCCACGTCTTTCAGGGCCAAATTCACCAATTTCGATTCGTTCTTGTCCTTCTCCTCCTGCGGCTTGTCGGGCAGGAAAGCCGCCATTTTGCTTTCCACGGCCGATCCGATGAATTGCGTCATGTCCGTCTAAATAAAAAAAAATAATTGTTTTTGTAGCGTTCCGATAGAACTGTTGCCAAATCATGAAATGTGCATTCTTTAATCTACTCTCAATGTACTCCGAATCTACTCTAGTGTAAATCTACTCCGAATCTACTCTAAATCTGACCTCAGCTCTCTACCCTGAAATCTACTCCGAATACACTTAAGAATCTACTCCTGATCTACTCCGAATCTACTCTAAATCTAATCTCAATCTACTTCGAATCTCCTCCAAATCTAATATCAATCTACTCCGAACCTACTCTAAATCTAATCTCTAGCCTGAAATCTACTATGAATACAATTAGGAATCTACTCCAAATCTAATCTTAATATTCTCTCAATCTACTCCGAATCTACTCTAAATCTGATCTCAGCTCTCTTCCCTGAAATCTACTCTGAATACACTTAGGAATCTACTTCTGATCTACTCCGAATCTACTCTAAATCTAATCTCAGATCTCTTCCCTGAAATCTACTCGACATTACTGTCAATCAAACAAACATCTTTTACAACAACTTTTCCCCGAATCGAACGAAACAATAAACACCCGGCAACAGCGTCCCGACCAAATTCCTCGCGTGCGCAATAGAGGATGCGCGGCAATTAAAACGCAACAGGGGAAACGGTTACCTTGCTGGTGGGCGGGGGCCCTCTGGCGTGCAAAATGCCGCACCTGTTGGGCATCTCGTCCTCGTTCGGATAGTCGCAGTGATTGTAATAGTCCACCGAATGGACGATGCGCAAATAGAGGATGATCCGGTCCAAGACGGCCACGAGATTTTCGTCGCGTTCGACGGCCGACGTGGCGTCCTGGTGCTCGGTGGTGGGCTCGAGCCCGAGGAGTTCCTCCTCTTCGGCGCTCGCCTCTTCGATCAGATAGTCGGTGATGTTGTGGAGCACGGGATTGTTCGATACCAAGCCGAAGGACTGCGAAGAAAATGATGATTTAAATACGAGGGGAGATGGGTTGATTGAGTTATGCCTTTTTTTTGTTGAAATTTGAAATAGAAAAGCGTTTGGAGTAGGTGGTTTTGTGTTAGTGAGAACGTGATTGAAGCGGTGGAATTGTTAAAAATGTAGAAATTATCTCGAGAATTAAGCGGTTTTTGAAAATTTACGATTCTCCGAAAATGGTAGAGAAACGTTTATTGTACGAAATGAAATAAATGTGATGTTTTTATCTCGATTAGTTTTCGAGATAATTGCGATTTTCTATGGAATCGCAACAAAATTACTAATTCAACGCGAATCGTAAAAAAACTCGAAATATTTTGAAAATTAGGGGGTTTTTGAAAATTTTCTGTTCTCCAAAAATCTCTCAGAAACGTTTTTCCTTCAAAATAAAACAAACAGCACGTTTTTATCTCGATTAATTTTCGAGATAATTGCGATTTTCTATGGAATTGCAACAAAATTACGAATTCAACGTGACTCGTAAAAAACTCGAAATATCTCGAAAAGTAAGCGGTTTTCGAAAATTTTTTATTCCCCAAAAATCTCTCAGAAACGTTTTTCCTTCAAAATGAAACAAACAGCACGTTTTTATCTCGATTAATTATCGAGATAATTGCTAATTTCCATCGACTCGCAACAAAATTATTCAACACGAATCGTAAAAAAAAACTCGAAATATCTCGAAAACTAAACGCTTTTCCAAAATTTTCCATTCTCCAAAAATCCTTCACAAACATTTTTCCTTCGAAACAAACCAAACAACACGCCTCTATCTCGATCGCATTCCGAGATAACCACCAAAAACATTCACCGAATCCCACCCTTACACGTCTCTCACCTGTTGCGGCTTCTCCCCCTTCCGCCTGCCCTCCTCGTCTTCCGTCCACAAACCGGCCCTGTTGTCCAAATGCAACGTCACCTTCGCCGATATCCTGATATCGGATCTGACCACCTGCTTGTGGGCCAGTATCCCGTTGACCGGTCGAATTCTCCTGCTCAAATCCCTGTTGACGATGGCGCCCAATTCGCACTCTCTCAATCGCACGTTGTTCAAATTCCAACAGATCTCCTTGATGTTGGCGTCGCGCTGGAACGTCACCCAGCCGCGTCTCAGCCAACGCCTGTCCGGCTGCGGATCGGCCAGCGCCACGCGCAGGAAACCCTCGTATCTACAACCGAAAAAAAATCATTTATCGATTTATTAACACTTTACTGTTACTAGAGGGTAGTTTTTATTAACACTAACTAACTACTATTACTAGAGGGCGGAAGGAATCGCGGAGAAGCGACCCTACGGAAGACCGGTACACCCTAAAAGGGGATAGTAAGGGAGGTTAAGAGAAAGGGTTAAGTGGCTTTTGAATTTACTCTTAACCTACTCTGAATGCAATCCGATTCTACTCTCAATCTACTCTGAAGCTAATCTCGGCTCACAATCTAATCCGAATCTATTCTTAATGTACTGTCAATCTACTCTAAGTCTAATTTCAACTCTCTACCCTGAAATCTACTCTGAATCAACTCTAAGTCTAATCTCAGCTCTCTACCCTAAAATCTACTCTGAATACACTCAGGAATCTACTCATGATCTAATCCGAATTTACTCTAAATCTAATCTTAATATTCTCTCAATCTACTCCGAATCTACTTTAAATCTGATCTCAGATCTCTTCCCTGAAATCTACTCTGAATACACTTAGGAATCTACTCCTGATTTACTCCGAATCTACTCTAAATCTAATCTTAATATTCTCTTAATCTGCTCCGAATCTACACTAAGTCTAATCTCGGCTCTCTACCCTGAAATATACTCTGAATCTACTCTAAATCTAATCTAAATCTACTCCGAATCTACTCTAAGTGTAATCTCAGCTCTCTACCCTGAAATCTACTCCTGATCTACTCTGAATCTACTCTAAGTCTAATCTCAGATCCCTTCCCTGAAATCTACTCTGAATCTACTGAGGAATCAACTCCCGATCTACTCCAAATCTAACGTTTGCTCTAAATCTACTGTCAGCTCTGTACCCTGAAATCTACTCTGAATCTACTCTAAATCTGCTCTGAATCTACTCGCGATCCTACTCGAAATCCATCGAATGGATCTCATTACCTGGAACACATGGCCTCGACCTCTTGCTTCGTAATGGTCGGCGCCAAATTTCTCAAAAATATCGAAGTGGTCTTGTGCAACGACTTCGGTTTCTCCGCTTTGACGCCGTCATCTTCCACCGTATGCACCTCTCTGTCCTCCTCTTCCACGTTCACCACGGCGCCCTTCTTTCTCTCTCTCGCCTTCGCGCCGCCGCCTCCGTCCTCTCCTTCTTCTCCTTCCTCCTCCTCTTCGTCTTCGTCGCGTTTCTCGCCGTCCTCCTTCTTCTTGTCGGCGCCGTCTCGCTCTTCCGCCGGCTTCGGTTTGTCCTTGTTCCGCTCGCTGGAGCTGCTGCCGCTCGACGAGCTGCTGCTGCCCGAGTAGGAGCGCTTGCGTTTCTTGTCTTTTTCTAGATTAAAAAAAAAAAAAACGCGCGAGGTATTAGCCGTCTTTGTTCGATACGTTATCGTTAATTACCTTTAATTCTATCGCCGTCTTCGGGTACCTTCGGCTCCTCTTCCGCCTCCATTTTCTCCACGTTCTCGTCGGATTTCTTCGCCTCCTCCTCGTCGTCGTCGATCCTCGCCCGATCTTTGGAGTCTTCTTCGTCGTCGTGTTCTCCTTCTTCCATGGCGTTTTTGTCGCCGTCGTTCTCTTTGTCATCGCCGGGACGTTCGTCCTTGGCGTTTTCCGATCCTTCGACGGTTTCTTTGGCTAAGGAAATGTCCCCGTTCGATTTCTCTTTATCCGCCGGTTCATCGTTGGATTGGTCCTTCGGTTTTTCTTCGTCTTCTTCGCGTTCTTTCTTCGGCTTTTCCTCGGTTTCCTTGACGGTCGATTTGGTTTTCTCCGATTCGGCCTCTTTGGCTTTCTGTTCTCGGTATTTTTGCTCCATTTCTACCAAAAAAAGAAATAAAATTCGGTGAGATTTAGAACGAGAATGGAGTAGAGTAGATACAGAGCAGAATAGAGTAGATACAGAGTGGAGTGGAGTAGATACAGAGCAGAGTAAAGTAGACAAAGAGCAGAATAGAGTAGATACAACAGAGCAGATTAGGAATATTTAGAGGATTATTGGACGATTATTAATAAAATTATGTATTTTAAACCTTCGTATTCTTGTTCGAGAGCAGTCAAATCTTCCTCGGTGCCTCCTTCTAGTTTAATGACGACTGTATCGAGTAATTTTAGCAGTTTATTCGTTTCGGAAGAATCGATTTTGGCCGAATCGATTTTGCCCGATTTCAGAAGGTCCACAAACACTTCGACGCGTCTCTAAAAAAAATACATTTTTTTTTAAATTTTAAATCGTTAATTAATTCATTATTTATTTCTTTGTACCTTCAACGAAGCCATTTGTTCCTCCTTCCTTCTCACCGATTCCTCCGGATGATATTTCAGCCTGAACCTATTTTTTCGAACAAAACAAAAAATCAATCGTATTAGTAATAATTTAAGGAAACGAATAAATCAATAGGTAAATAAATAAACCATTAATGTTTCTTTTAATACGACAAACAAGCATACTTTACACATTCACTCGTGGTGATTTGGGAATAAAAATAATGCAAACAATAAAAACAGATTACAATTAAAAATGTAGCAAAATTAGGATATTATTTTAAATGTTTCTTTTTTTTTTTTTCGGAATAATATTTTACACCACACTTTCGCTCCAAATACGACCAATTACAATAAAACAATTAATAATTAAAAAATAAATAAATAAATAAATAAATAAAAAGCTTCTTCATGAACGTGAATCTCACCTGTTCATATTTCTTTGCAATTTTCAAAAAACCCTACGAAAACAAACGAAACGCGACAAGCATGTGCATTGCGCGCACAGCCAACTTAGACGGAAATTTTGCAATTAGTTTAAAAAACACCATGTTTCGCATTCGCCTCGCATTATTTTTCATTTTTATTTTTATAATACAACTGTGCTTATTTCGATTAAACGGTTTTAAAAATACGCGATTTTGAGATCCTCTGCCGTGAGTTTTCTCGAATCCTCGGCTGTAGAGAAGAAAACTTTTATAATATTCATGTGTGAAAATCGCACAAATCGATCAAATCGATTTATCGTATTTTCTCTTATCGTATTTACCATTCGTTATGCTATTACAATCGATTTAAAATGTGGTAAATAATAGCGAGTAAATTTACAATTTTTTTTATAGATTCGTGACCGATAATTTACAATTTAAAATATACAGGGTGATTTAAACACCCGAATCCATATAAACTCGCAAATTTACCGTCACCTCGTATATAGCAAAACGAATCGTAATCCAACAAATCCACCATAAAAAAAAAACAATTAAACCTAAAACAAAAAGTGCATAAACCTTCCGACTAAAATTACGCATAGAAAACGCGTATTTTCAGTCCGAATTAGATCAAGCAACACGAAAATCGTAAAATAATCGATAATCATACTGTATTAATCGATTGTTCAATTACCATTCGTCATCTTTGTGAGCAACGAAGAATTCGTTGAGCTGTTGCCTTTGAAACTCCAATTTGTAATCATTGTACTTCTCGATGGCTTCGCTGTCCGATATATTGTCATCTTGGGTGGCCAGGAAGGCCTTGAAAGACATCATAGGCGGCTGTTGGCCTTCTACGTGCGAAGGCATCGGTTCCCTACGAAATTATCGAGATTAATCGCTGGTTAACTTAAGTGCGTTGCGATAACCGACCTGTGTATGGGTTGATGATAACCGCCCCCGCCGCCGCCGCCTCCGTAATGGTTATAATAACCCTCGCCGCCTCCGTAGTAATCGTGGCGCACCCTCTTCGGGGCCGGTTCCAGGCCCGGCGAGTAGCCCCTGTCCCTGATGCCTGCCCTGTACTCCCTCGGTCTAGGCCTGCTCCAGGAATCCCTGCGATTAAAAGGGTTCGATTCGATTGTTTCGGGATGTGTTTGGTTATGTTTACCTTTCGGCCCAATCGTCCCTGGGCCTCGCCACACGGTCGTTGCCCCTGTAACTGGCCTCGGCCCTTTCTCCCCTGAATTTATCCCTGCGTTTTCTGTCGTATTCGTCGTCGCTCTCCGCCATTTCCGCCGATTATCCTCGAATGGTTTTCCTGGAAGACAACTCGTTTGTAATGGTACGTTCCGGGGAAAGTTTGGAAAGCGTCGGTGCTTTTCTGATAACTCTTTAATTGCATGTTTTGTATACTATTAGATACGAAAATTGCGGAAAACTTACGATTGGCTTTTCGCGATGAGTTTTTCACTGCGTTTAAGTCGAATAAGATGTTAGATTATTAGAAAATTGAAGAAAATTCACCAACAATGCAATCGCAATGGAGAATTGACAAGATAAACGTCAAAGTCAAACGTCACGTCATATGTCAAGAGAAATAAAAATTATGTGGCCTTTTACTGTTCAGATTACTATTACAAAATGTCAATTTTAAGGCAACTAGTGGTACGTCAACGTCAAACCCACGACCTTTTTCACATAATCTAAGGTCAACTTTTTCTTTCGCTCGTCGAATTTAATCGTTATTTAACGGGAAAAAATAATCCAAAAACATGTTTTCTAGATTCGTAAGACCTACAGTGATTTCGGCGAGAAATTTCAGCACTTCCAAACAGGTCAGTATTCGAATAAATTTTCCAACCCTTTTCCCCACATTTTCCTTTCTCAACGTTTTCCAAAACGCCCCAAACCGGTCCGTTTTATTCCCTTCTACCACCCAAACCGCCCCGAATATTCCAGTTATTTCCCGTTAAATTTTTACGAGTTATGTAAGCGTTTTCGTAGATAAAATTTTTATCTCATTACACATACAGCAAAACTACAAAGTAGCCGTTTGCGGAGCCTCAGGGGGCATCGGCCAGCCCTTATCCCTTCTACTCAAAATCAACCCGTTAGTGAGCGAATTATCCCTCTACGATCTAGTCCACACCCCCGGCGTAGCAGCCGATTTGTCCCACATCGAAACACCAGCCAAGGTCAAAGGGTAAGTACACGTTTTAATAACACTTATCTATTAATCCATTTGATTAATTCGTAGTTTCAACGGTCCGGAGAACCTCAAAGAAGCCCTACGCAACGCCAATGTAATCATCATACCCGCCGGCGTGCCCAGGAAACCTGGTAAATATGACATAGGTAAAGTTAGTCCCAAATTCAAAATGCAGAACAACGATTGGTGATTGGCTAACTTTTGGGGCTAACTTTACACTACCTAAGTTAAATATGGACATATTGTAGGTATAGAATCTTCTATTACCTAAGTTAAATAAGAAAAAGTAGTTATAGAATCTTCTATTTTAAGCTTTTATAACCCTTTTAGACTTCCGTATAACCTCGTAGAAGCCTTTAGACCCTTCGAATCTCCTATATTTGGACTCCCACATAACGTAGTAGAAGCCTTTAGACCCTTCGAATCTTCTATATTAAGCTTGTAGAACCCTTTTGGACTCCTACATAACCTAGTAGACGTCTTTAGACCCTTCGTAACTCCTATATTAAGCTTATACAACCCTTCAGGAGCACCCTTTAACCCCCTAAATTACTCTCCGCATTGAAATTGTGCATTCCGCAGGCATGACCCGCGACGATCTGTTCAACACCAACGCCGGCATCGTCAAAGCCTTGGCCGAATGCGCCGCGGAAGTGGCCCCGCAGGCTCTCATAGGCATCATCACCAATCCCGTCAATTCGGCGGTACCGATAGCGGCCGAGGTGTTGAAAAAATCCGGTAAATTCGATCCGAAACGGCTGTTCGGCATCTCCACGTTGGACATCGTCCGAGCGAACACCTTCATAGCCGAGGCCAAGGGCCTGAACCCCAAGGACGTGAACGTACCGGTCATCGGGGGCCATTCGGGCGTTACCATCATACCGCTTCTGTCGAGGGCCACGCCTTCGGTGTCGTTCCCCAAAGATCAGCTCGAGGCTCTCACGAGCAGGATACAGGAGGCCGGTACTGAAGTAAGTACAGGGCTTTAGTAAGACTTTGTATAAAGGGGTTTTAGAAGGGTTATGTTACCTCGTACGATCCTACGATTGTAAGCGAGTAAATTGTGATGTATTTGCAGGTGGTTAAAGCGAAAGCAGGCGCTGGTTCGGCGACGCTTTCCATGGCCTACGCGGGCGCCAGGTTCGCCAATTCCTTGCTGAGGGGGCTCAAAGGGGAATCGAACGTGATCGAAGCGGCCTACGTGCAATCGGACGTGACCGAAGCCCAATACTTTTCCACGCCGTTGGTTTTGGGGAAGAACGGTATCGAAAAGAACCTGGGCTTGGGCAAGCTGAACGATTTCGAGCAGGAGCTGCTGAAGAAGGCGATGCCGGAGCTGAAGAAGAACATCGAGGCTGGAGTGAAGTTCGCCAACGCTTGAGTTTGATTCGTTTCTAGTCCGTATGATGTTTGTAAGTGTATGAACTTGGAAAATATGTGCATTTTTATAGAGTATATACGTTATTGATTACTTTAATCTGGAGTATTATTTACTGGAAATTTGTTTTCGAGTTTATTTGGTGTTACAGAAACCTGTAAATATTGTATAGATATCTTGCGCATAGATGGCGCTGATTGGAAAAAAATGTTGAAAATTCAATTAGAAAATATAAATATAATGGATTGCAAACATAAATGTGTCGAATATTATTAAATCAATCGAAAAAACGTACAATTGACTTCTATAAATTGGAGAATTTATTAATAATCGCGTTGATCTAGGAGGTCTGTTTTTGTGTGGGATGCGCCATTTTGTTTTCGTTAAATTCTTTAAAAACTACCAATAGAAATGTAGGAGGTGGTTGAGTGAGGGTGTAGGTAGTTTTCAAATATACCCTAGCAGGTAAAAATCACTTGTATATAATATATTTCATTCTCCATTAAGTGGTAAATAGTTAGGTATACAGGGTGTCAATACTTAAAAGCTATTTGAGGTACTTTAAGAATTGCAGTTTTCGAATTTATAGGTAACTTTCTATACAGGTTGCTCCATTTTTTATCGCAACGTATGTTATATAGGCCGTGGGTGCGATAAAGACAACTTCCATCAGACACTTACAAAGGAAAAGGAAAGAGTGACATTTGTGTCATTGCAACTTTTCACTCTGACAACTGTCATTTTAATAATCTTTCTTTGTTTCACTCATAGAAATGACCATGTTGCAATCGGAAATGGAGCAAGGTGGTATATAAATAGTAGAAGAGTTTGTGGAGAACATTCCCGGTAAATTTTAGGAAAAATCGTCAGAAATATTTCCGAAAAAAATCGTATTTTCCAAACGACGCCATAATTTATACAAGTTTATCCCCAATAGTTATATATTTTGCCTATCTAGTTACCTATGTAGGTACCTAGATACCTAAAACAATTCCATTCTGGTTACATCGCAGCGCACAAAGCGGGACAAAAGTGAAAATATCACGATTTCTCCGCATTTTCTCGTTTCCATTGCTCGATACATCGACGGCGCGCACGCGCAATGGCGGAAAATCAGACGCTACATTCGAGGAAAATCAGGTCAAGGCCCGCTCGGATCAGGAACGCGACAAATCCCCTTCACTAACAAATCGATAGTTAAAAAAATACACGAAATTGTAATTATTAATTAATCTATTTATGACGAAAGTTTCTCGTAAGAAATAGATAGATGTGATTTTATGCGGCGCCTACTGTAATCATCGTCTATATTTGATTAAATTTGGCGTTTGACATTTGCGAAATTGACAGGTTCAAGTTGTTCTTTTTAATCGCGAATAACGAAAAAACTAGATTCATCGGCGCTTTCGCTCGTTCGAATTATTCAAACGTGAAAGTTTTTGTTGTTTAATTTGTATTTTCAGCTGATGTTTAGATCGTTCTTTCTTTCTGTAAGTAAGTAGATACTTTTTTTTTTGTTCCCAGCATAACCAATTTGACCTCATGAGGACGGTGAACTCTTCGTGCACCGACCGTTACGGCAGGTAATATACCTTTCATTGTAACACTTTCACTTCACGCGGCCCGTTCAATGACTTTTTTTCCACGCATTCAACACGCGTTTCATTTTTAAAAAGTATAATACACCCGTTAAAAATTTGAAATGACGTAAGTGACATTTGACAGGTGTAAGACGTCGCCTTAAAAAAGCCTCTCATAACACTTCACGTCATCGAAAATGTCAAAGCAAATTAATTCTCTTTTAAATAATAATAGTTTATATTTAAAATGGCGTCAATGATAAGTGACATTTGACAGAACGCAGCCCTAAAAACTCCTCTCATTGAAACACTTTCACTTGATGCGCAATTCATTTAGAAATAACGTATTTCAAAGCACATCTATTCCCTGTCAAAAAGTATCTAAATATTCAAAATGGCGTATTTGACAAGTGACATTCGATAGACGTATCTATTAAAAACTACGCAAATTAAACACAGTATAGAAATGGCATCATTTTCATCCACATTTAGGCCACTGGGTCGATCAATGCTCCAGGCGTCCCGGCGCCTGCAATGGCCGCACTTCGACGCCCGCCCTCTCCTCCCTTCTACACCCCCCCTCACGCGAACCCCCTTTCTTCGCCCCGGTTTCCCCCACGTTCGCTCTCACTGGATTTTCTAGGTCGAAATCTAGATATCTATAGCTTCGCTCCCGATATATGTTCTATATTTCGCTCTGGATAATATTCCAGAAATATCCCGAATCGTTTATGTATCTACTAAAAGGGCTCTACAATAGATACATCATCATTTAATCATCATAATCACGAATTCTTGATGCATGAATCTCTATAAATTCCCTATAAATCCCGATTCTCTATATTATGTATACCTGAAGGATCATTTGTGAAAAAGAGACGGCGAATAGATAAATAAATAAAATCGTTTCGAGAACAGTAGGCTCTGTGACATGACAAGAAGCATACACGAAACAGAGAATGATGGAGATAACGAGAAAGAGAGAGTAGGAAGAGCGCACACGTGTCGAGAATTCGTATAGGAAGTAGGTCACAAATCGACGAAACGGTTACGTCACTTTTTCGGAGAGGGAGGGGGGCGGTGGAGGGGGGGGGAGGAACGAGGAACGTCAGCGGAGCGCCGGGGTCTCAGGCGGCGCTGGAACGGAACGGACAGGACCGCCTCCGGCCCGATCGGACTCGAGTTTTTTTTTCGAATCGATATCTCGGATAATATTCGTTAAAATTCGTTAGTTCTACCAAATGTCACTTATGTCAGTTGTCATGTGTCATTCTTAACAATTTTTAGTCGTACCATCCTGTCAAATGTCACGAAGGACCTCCAGCTCTGTCAAATCGTCAAATTTTCAAAGAAGGGAATTTGTCCTGTCACTTGTCACATCTCTTTCGGCTGCAAAATGGCGCATTTTCCACAGGACCGGCTTGGAATAGACGTCAGAGCTTAGAGCATTCAAAAAAAATAACCGATTTTTGAGCAATCTGCAAAACCCCAACGAAATAATTCAAACGTGACCCGAATAACGGTCAAACGTCACCGTCTAACGTCGGGGATTCCCGTAAATCGGAATCCCAGGAGGCGCTTAGACTGCGACCGAGCGGCCATATTGGAGATCGCGTGATGCCGGAAGGGACCCGATCGATGGGGCGCCCGGGGGGGGCGCGGGACGGGGTGATTGGGGGGGAAAACGGGGCGAAGGGGGATGAGGTGGAATTTGGGGAAGAGAGGGTTCGTGTGTAGGGTTGCGGGTCCCAGTCGTAAAAGTGAACTTCGAAGTCGAGGGTGCCGTGGAGAGAGGTGAGTAGATTGACGGAAATGAATATGTTAATCGATTAATCGAGAAGTCGAATCGATTAATTTAGTAAGTATTTTTTTGTTGTATGTTTATTCGATGTTTGTATGAGCAGTGTAGTTGGATAGTTTGATAAATATAAAACAACGAGCAGTGTACGACATAGTACACTTTCATATATTTGAAAAATGAGCAGTGTATAATGTAGTACCTACAATTTTGTAATGTAAAAACGAGCAGTGTTTTATTAAAATTTATTTATTTTCATATTTGTAATTTACTTGTGTAATTTAGAATAATGTTACGAATTTTCAGGTTTTTATTTAAAAAAATTCGTTATAAACAAAAGGATTTATTTATTAGTGGCGGCCTTTTGCTTAGTAGGTAATTCGAACAGGCTCATTAGCCTTGAATTGAAACGATTGCGAATGCAAAAGCGAAGCGAAAAGTTTATTTTTCTAGTCGTAATTTTTCCGATTTATTTTTAGACCTTTCATTTACGTTAAAACGTTTTTAATTTAACTATTTTTTTAAATTTTATACAAACCAAAAAAAAAACAAATTTTGCATTATTTGACAACAAAATTGATTTGAATTTTCTACAAAAATAGTAGTGAAAGTACGTTATCTTTATTTATTTATTGTGTATTAAATTAATTCGGCCATTTGGTCGACTAAAACTCAAAATATCTTGAAAAATAGGCGGTTTTCGAAAATTTTCGATTCTTTAAAAATTGTAGAGAAACGATTTTTCTACCAAATGAAACATTTGAGGCGTTTCTATCTCAATTAGTTTTCGAGATAATTGCGATTTTTCAATCGAATTGCACTAAAATAGTAAATTCGATAATCCACCAAATAACTCGAAATATCTATAGAAAATTGAGGGATTTTCGAAAATTTTCGATTCTTCCCTGTAAATAAACATTTTGACTACGAAACGAAACAAAAACTGTATTTTTACCTCGATTAATTATCGAGATAATCGCAATTTTAATTAGCAATTTAGATATCTACAATCCATATAAAAAATACATGTACCAAACAACCGGCCTACTTGACCCAACATTTAAACGACCATCCAAATTAATAACGCCTAAAAAAAAGATCAAGAGAACGTCCTGAGAAAACAAACGAAAACCCATCCGAGCGATCGCCCGGCCTGCTTCGTTTTATCTAATAAAAACCGTACGAACAGCCAAGGACAAATTCAGACACGTGTATTCCCTTCCTGACCCACTTTCGAATCTCCTGCGGATCGATACACACGAAAAAACCGAGGCGGCGTTGCCGGATCGCCTCCCCATTGATCGTTGAAATCGCGCCGGAAGCGGCAACGCCGCTTCGTACATTTCGCCCCAGCGCCATCTTGTCGTTTTTTGTTCGTTGACCGCGCACGCGCGGCTCCGCTTTCACGGCCGACTGCGTTTCTTTGTTCCGTTGTGTTTGCGGCGCGGCGTTGCCGTTCGTTTGGTAGTTTTCTGGGATCTTGTGAAATTTGATTGTTAGGAAGAAGAGATCGTTTTGGGGGAAGTAATTTGAAGCGAAAATTCGGTTTAATTGGGCGTTTTTGTATCGTTTTTGATCTATTAGATTTTTGTGTAGGTAGCGAAAGAAAAATCGTTGGAATTATT